TACTCGTGTTCGTCGGGGCAGCTCTCGTTCTTCAGCTGCGACGGGAGGGGAATGGTCTCCTAGCACAGTATTCACTCTATATCCTTCAATGGCTTTTGAGACCGCATTAGAGTGAATGCTATTCAGTTCCGCTTGATAGGCCTGTTGATCTAGAGACTCTCTCTGTACCTCTCTCTCTCTCTCTCTCTCTCTAGATCATGAAGGTCTTTCCCAACGTGCCTGGGCGGAGGTTGCATATCCACAAGATGATGATTCGGATGCGTTTGTCTATAACACCCAAGCAGGTATTGCATTGACAGCATTTTGTTATGCTGTCGCACCGGTGAGACCTTCGCCTCCTCATGTGTCAGGTGTCATGAGAATGCACCCTGTTGCGGTTCTAAGTGCGGCATTCTGGCGCTGCGTAGCACTGGCGTTGGCGGACCACACCGGAGCTGCATAGTTTACCATAAATTACAAACATACAAACATTTTCCTCTTTTATAGATTTGGACTATAGTTAAGTCCTGCCTCATTTTATCCTTTGCGTTCTCCTTTCTGTTATGACAAAAGTGGTATATGTATGAACCTTTGAGTTTGTATGTGTGTTAGTGTGTATTTATGTAAGTAATTAAGTTGTTGTCAAACACAATATCTGCACAATTGCCGGACTGCCACAACGCAACATTTGTCAAACTCAATTCATTGAGTAAAAGCAGAGGCGGGTAGTTATTCCGTATTCATTGCAAAGGCGACTGGTCATTAGTATTCCTCCTGTCACAACTCCGTTGAAGCTTGCGATTTGAATTGAAAACGTGAACTGTCAAATGCATTTCGGATGCACACACGGCACTCGGAGCACGTTTATGTAATCGCTCTGTAATGTTTCAGTTACTACGGATTTCGGGAGTTGTCTGTATGGCATACAAATGCCAACCGCCAAATTCTCCATTCCACATTGACGAGTGCCAAATGCAGAACTTAGATACGAATGTATGCACAAAGCTATGTTCTATGCAGCTGATATGGGGGATGGGATTCTGGTGCGAATCTGTCCGATGTTTTAGTCAGCTTTTTAAGTGGCATTTTTATGGAGTGAAAGTCCATCATTGGGTTGTTAAATAAAATTAAGCCAGTTGCCCGCCAATTGTGCTCGTTAAATTTATTTCAGTTCAGTTTTTTTTTTTGCTGGCTGTGGTCTTAAGACGGCAAGCCGCTCTCAAACTGATGATCGCTTAGCTTTCGTACACGTCCATCGCACCGCGTGCGTATGTGACGGAGGTGTTAATTTGTTTTGCTGTTATTACAACTTTGTCTGTTGTTGTTGTTCTTGGTGGTGGTGGTGGTAGTGGTGGTGTTATTTGTTCAGAGTCGACCATAATAAGGTTGTGGATCTTTTTCCAGATTCAGCTTCAGATTCGCTTTTATTTGAATAAACAGCAAATTTGGCAATCGAATCAGTTGCAATCGTCAATTTGAGACAGTAAATTACGCCAATAGTGGCGGCACTTTGCTGGGGCGTAGTCTTAATTTTTTTTTTGAATAACAAAGCACAGGCGAAACAATTGTTTGGCTATGTTCGACAGAGGCCCAATATAATTTATATAATATTTGTAGTTGTTGCTTTCGACAATATTGGGGCAGACTTACCAAAAGTCTTGTGTTTTGACGAGCATTCCTTAGCATGTCAAGCCAACGTGTGTGGTTGGATACGGAACACGCTTGCAATTGTGGAAGCGTAAATCGTATTTACCCTCAAAAAGGTGTCAATAAATGACGAAATTATTTGCAAATTGGCAAAATTAAAGATCAAAACAAAAGACTTAAGCCACAAACTTGCTGAGTCATTGAATCTAAAAAAAAGGTATTTGTGTCGCTTTCGGTCAACATCATCAACTAATGAAGACAGCAAGAATTCCAAAGAAACCCACCTGGATTGTTAATGAACAAATCCTCTCTGTCCTTGGAAATGACTAAAATAACGCTTATTTACTCCCAACATTTTTGATTGAGAAATTGAATTTCAATGGAAAGTGTTGTTTTGCATCAAATGGTTGGCAACTGAAAACACATTTAAATGACTAACTGTATATCTTGCATAGATTTAAACAGCATTCTGTTCTATTTATCAATATCAATAAAAAAAAACCTATGTTTTCAAAATGGCATCACCAATTTTTTACAAATTTTCAAATATTTGAAATCGTATTTTAGGCGGTGATGCGAAATGTGAAGTTGAAATGTTTTTTTAAGAAAGAAATTTTTTAAGAAAAAGAATTTACCACACAAGTAAAACACAATTATTCCTATCAGAGTTACCCAAATACGTCTGAAACACAAAATTACTCAGCTTTGTAATAATTGGAAAATATGAGCAATTGAATGAATGTTAGATTTTAGATTTTAAGATATGGACCTGGCGTATTTGGGAAATACGGGCGTACAAAACATTTAACCATTGTGGTGAAGTTGAATATTTGTGAACGCTACGTCGAATTTTGGGTGACGCTGATAAAGAAAATGTTTTTCATTTCATGTTTTCATAGAACAAGAATCCAGCCACAGCCTGGGCTTGTTGTGTTACAATTTTAAACTGTTGAGATAATCAAATCAAAAATACTATTTATGTGGTGAAATATTTGTTTCTTTTTTTTTGCATATTAGATAATTTAAGTAATTAAATTATTGCCGTCTGTCACCAAACAGTTGATTTTCGATGAGCTGCGGATAGTTCTTACTGAGAATCCTTTTCCTCTCTCTCTCTCCCTCTCTCCAACAGTAACTCAACTATCACAATTTCTCTCTTCACTCGCCCTTCGCCCATTCACTAGACTTTGGTTTATTAACCAACGTTTCGCAATAAACTGCCCAAATTGCAGGACTATCGTAAAATGGAGGAAGTAAAGAATATTTTACTTCGATGGCCATATTTACATGAATGACCTTTGCAACCTGGCTGCGAACGTTCTATAATGCATTTCGTTTGAGCATTTACCTGTTGGTAGGCAGCCTACATTGAATTCCAACCTCTGTTCAAATGGAGAACTTTCTTCACAAAATTCAAAGTTAGAAAACAAAAAGATAAAGGTCTAGTGACACATTTTTCCTTGTTATTGAAAGCTGTTGGTGTCGACCATTTGCATATCAATGGGTTGGAACTACGTCGTTTTGGGGGGTTGGGGAAATGCCAAAGGTATTCAAATGACTATTTAATGCAAGTGGAATAAAACGAAAAATCCATCACCTGGAATAGCAACTTTTTCAAGTTAATATCGATACCTGTAAAGAAGGTGTAATAAAGTTGTGGCTTTTAATGGCTGCCACGAAATGGTTGCCTTATTTTTAGAAATTCCCTGCAAAGCCAGCGCTGTCTCTGCGCGCTGCGCTGTGGTGGTCATGGACGAGATGAAACCTGTTTAAGAACTTGAACTTAAACTAATATTTGGTTTCTTTAGTTAGTTGCAGAAGACGCTGAACAAACAATGAACTTCAACAATCCGAATAACAACAACAATAATAACAACAGCACTGAACTGCATTGGAGGCACTGTCCACTTTGGTCAGAGATCAAAAACCCAATCAAAGAACAGAAACCATCGAAAGCTGCCGGTTTGACTTCTTCTGTTTTTTTGTTTGCAACATTGGCAACTTGCGAGGTGCCCGACTGCCTTTCCGTTGAAGATGTGTACTTAGGTCTTCGTTCTGCTGGTGTGCGTTGCGGACGAAGATGGCAAGAACAAAATCACGCACATTTCATTGCAAGAGAGGCGGTCAATGACATGGTCTGATATCGAGATGTTGCATGAAACGTATCGACACACACACACCTTCGTTCATTCTTTACCATTATCAGCTGTTGGCATTATCCGGATATATCAAATGGATTTCCCTACAGTTTTAAGGAAAGTAGAAAAATCTCCTTTGAAAATGTGAAAAATCAATCCCATACCGTATTGCCGTATTGCCCAAATACGCTTGGTCTAAATCTTCAAGACAAGTAAATAAAATCTAAACAATTAAAAAAACTATTCCGAATTTAAGATTTTCCAATTTCACACATTCAAATGTTTTTCTATAACTCCTTTTTATTTTCAACCCAGCTAACATTTTATTCCAAATTCTTTCCGAATTAAGTCCGAATCTTTGATGAAATTTCCGAATTCCTTCCGATTTCAGTACAATGTTGTATGGATGTGGTCAATGAAATCGGCAAGTTTTTCTAAATCTGTCTTCCGTTTCTAGTAAAATTTAGAATAATCCGCAAATTGCTGAAAAAATAATTAGAAATCTCGGAGAAAATTAAAATCATTCACATATGGTGTAGAACGACGAAGGAGTATTAGGTTGGTGTTTTTAAAGTGCTTATGCTATGGTGCTGCCAATAGAAATGTTAACCTACTTTCGAGTGTTGGCTGAGCCGGGCTAAAAACGTTGGTCCTGATAGTTTCTTTATTTTTAAATTACAGTTTAAAATTCTCCGATCAGAACATGTGACTCCATCTCCATGTACCGCCGCACAAAAACGTACACCCTTTGGACTCGATTTTTAATGCTTAAATAATCATGTTAGAGATCTTTGTTCAAACATTTTTCAAATGGAAATTATCGTCTGCCAAATTATTACTTACACCTCAACAATCCTCGCAATAACCACTAATGAAGTTCCCTTCACTTTTTAAAATTGATATAAAATAATTCAAATGTGCTACAATATGCTTCCGAATCGATGCAAATGATGTTTCACGAGCTCTACATTCTATTAAAGAGCAAAGCAAAAGCGACAACAACGACAATCCCAACTTGTGAGCTGGGTAGAACCCTTCTTGTAATGCACTGGGAAATGCAGGCAGTGAAATGCACACAGCCACAAATCTGGCCATATCATTGACGACATAGCTATGCGAGTTGTACAACAACATACTACGGACGTTGAAGTTTGAAATGGCAGCGACAGCCGCAGCAACGGCAGCAGCAGTGCTCCCACAGGGCATCGAAAGCTTGTCGTATAAATGCGCTTCTGCCAAATAAATATTAAACAGTTGGCGGAGTGTACTGAAAGTGTTAACAACGTCGAAGTGTATAGGAGTATTGGTTGGCCGCTTGCTTGGAATTTATTGTGGATTACTTTGGAACTATTAGCAGACGTCTGAAAAAAAAACTAAAACAACAAAAATGCGTTTCTCCATTGCTGTTTTGGGGATTTTCTTCTTCGTCGCAGTGAGTCAAGCGGCCGTTGTTCCCAGGCGCTACCGGAACACCGAAGAAATTCTAGTGCCAGTGACTATTATCCAAGATGGTGAGGAGATCAAAGAGGCCGGCAACGATGCTGATTTGCAATCGCAGGTGAAAAACATTGCTACAGAAGTAATAGCCGAGGAAATTGCCAAGGCAGTGGATGAAGAGCAAACATTAGAAGCTGTTGAGGCTGTAGTCGAAGCCCAGCGCCGCCTCGATGAAGACGCTGTCAAAGAGGAAATCAAAGAGGCCGTTGTCGAAGAAAACTCAGAACTGTTAAAAATATTACAGGCCGAAGAAGAGAATGCAAAAGAAGCCCCAACAAAGGAGGAAGCGAGTGATGTGAAGGAGGAAGAAATCGTAGCTCAGACAATCAAAAGTCTTCCCCAAGAAGAGGAACTAGCCGTACAGCCAGACTCAAGTCAAGCGGACGACAAGCCAGCCGATGTGGAACCATCCGCACAACAATTGAAATCTCTCGTGAAAGCCGACAACTCTGAGGAGGATGTACGCTCACCATCCGCTACGAACGATGACGAAGAGAACGTACCCGAGGCTACTCTGCGTCAAGCCACCCAGGCCACACCCGGTCAGACCACACAACAAAATTTCGTACAACAACTCATTCAGAGTTCTCCACTGGGCCAATTCTTCAACCAAATCACAGGTCAAACTCAAAATAGTCAACAGGTTGCCAATGACGAGACTGCTCCAGCTACCCCCAACCCCACTATTCCGGCTTTCTTAGCCCCCGCCATATCGACGGTGCAAAACGCAGCTCAGTCGGTCGTCAACACAACTCAGAATGCATTCCAAGGTCTAACTAGTTTAGCTACCAATTTGGGAACTACATTCCAAAACACTCTGTCCAGCTTTGGCGGTCAACCGCCGGCTCAGCAACAAGCCGCCGCAGGCGATGCCACGACTGCACGCCCACAGGGACCTTTCCAACAACTCGTTAATACCTTCATGGGCAACAACAATCCACAAGCCACCCCGGCTGCAGGCAACCCGCCCCAAGGACCCTTGCAGGGGTTGTTGAACATCTTCCAAGGCAACAATGCTAACAACGCCAACGCCACCCCACAGGCCAGTACACACTCAGCTGACACAACTGCCACGCAACCGGCCAATCAGCCCGAAGGTGCAGACCAATCTATTACTACTGCCGAGGAAGTAGTCGTCACTGCCAACAACCTGAGCAATGAGATTCGCAACAGCGCCGAGGTGGACGACTCCTTCGAAGACACCAACCAAGCCGAGGAATTGATAGTGGTGCAAGATGATGCCTCCCCGACTCAGGACCAGCAGCAGCACTGATACGGACCTGCAGCGTCGCTCTAGATTGTAAGCCTAGAACTCTAAGATGTGTCATTTTTCAATACGAAATCATCGCCATTTTTTCAATTATTTTGAAAACAATCCATATTCGCTAGTATCACGCATGAAAACAAAATTATTTATTTTCTCCCCTTGTATTTAGTTTAAGAATTAAATAAAAAAAGAATTCAATTAAAAATAATAGTTTTATTTGCAACCACAAGAGGATGTTGGTAATGTTGTACTTTGGAAGGGGATCCAAATAGGGGACGACCTGGCTAGGTCATAGTTCTTTCACTGAGAGTTTGCAATTTTTTGCTGGACCAATCACCTACAACTCTTCTTCATTTGCAGGGATTCCATCGGTTTACTTTTCATAGATTTTTTGCGAAAGAGTAAAATTCCTCTCTCTCTCTCTCTCTCAGAAAGAAGTTGCTGAACAATTTCTGCAGGAAAAGTAATCAGACAAAACTAATTTGAAAACATTTTTATTTTGGAATCCCCAAGACTAATTTTGTTTTGCATTTTGGAGAACAACGTTTGGAAAATTCTTCTTTTTTACAGTTTTCCGACAAAAGATAACGTAACTATCTGAGAGATGTTGTCAGACAATTCTTGCAGGAAATGTAACCAGACAGACTTCATGTTTGGTATTCTACTAAAGCGAACTTGCAATGGGCTATTATTATCGACGGCATTACCTTAATTAAATTGCCAAGGCATCAAATAAATAGAAACTACACTGATTTATTCGTATTAGAGTATAATTTTTATTTGTGTGTTCATTATAAGTCAATATACATACAGTCGCATTTAAATGGGTTTCATTTACTTTGCTAGCCCGTCTCGTGAACGAGATTTATGCAATTATTAATGCATTCAAGATGCTGTTGCCAGAATTACATTTTCCATTTCGAACTTTATTTGTGAGATGATGTAGAAGTTGGTTTGTTGGATTTCTGCTTTTGACTGTTTATTCATTGTTTTACACATAATAAGGTAGTATTATAATGAGCAGGTAATTGTAAAACATAAAGTTTGAAAAATAATAAATTAAGGCATCACCATTGAAAATATTCATATTATTATAAAAACAAAAAATACATTGTAGTTTTCAAATGATATCTAATGCATAGCTTATAATGCAAGCCACACACGATACAACTGGTTGTATGAAGTTGTGTTTCGGTTGTACAAAAAATTATTTTTTTTATTTCCGATTGTAACGTTTGTGGGCTATATACGACATGCCCACAAACGTTACAATCGGAAATAAAACGTTACAATCGGAAATTAATTTTGTGTTTATTTTCGAAGAGACAACACCATTGTTGCGCACATCAAAACAACACCACCCTCCAAGTTGTACCAACGATCGTATCGTGTGTGGCTTGCATAATGACCGTTTTATAACATAAAATACATGAAACATTGTATTTTTTGTGAAAATTTGATTCTCCGACATTTTCGAAATTGTCCACGGGACAATGAATAAAAATATCCTGTATTTTAAAAGTTTTTTTTCTTTTACCTCAAAAAGCCCCGGATAGTCTTGAGAACAATTAAAGGCTTGCTTTCAAATCGATACGTTATTAAGACATTTTGACAAATGTTTACTTGATTTACATTCTTAAAGAAAATCAAGAACACAGTAGGTGTTTCCAAAATATTTAATACATTTGTTTTATAGCGAAGGACAAACCCGTAGTGGCATTCTTTAAAGTGGCAACGACAGGTTTTTATAAATGCTGCATTTTATGAACGTCATACAAATTACATAGTTGGATTTTTCCAATTCCAGTAGTTAGCACTACAGGGATTTAATATAAAAATATCAATTGCTATAGAACAAATATTAAAATACTTATTTTACAAATTTGTAGTTGGTTCCGGCTGCACTCAATTTTCGTCACTAAAGAGGCTCATTGTACCTTTGCGAAGTTAATAGTTCATTGAAGAAGCTATACCAAAATACTACGTCGAATTCAAGACTCGTCATCTAATATTTCTTTGATGTTAAGGAGCAAGAAATTTTTATGTTGGAAAAAGCAAGAAATTTGATTTAATTTTGTACGAAAAATTATATAATAAAACAATATTTACATACAAATATTTATCCATGTATACAAATATGCCTGTCTGGAATAATATTTAAATGTTTGTATATGCAATTTGTGTATATGATTAGATTAATAAATATGTGTGTTACGACAAGGTGGTTGGTTATATAGAAAGTAAATATATATATTTTCTTGTTGTTATTAAATATGCATGTTTTGTTTCATTAAATGTTGTTGGACCAATAATTTATAAAAATGAAGCCGTTTATAGATATTTAAATAGTTTCTTTATGAGCTTTAACGTTATTTATATTTCTAACTACCTAAGTAATACTAAAAGATAAAAGAAAAAAAAAAAACAATATATAAAATTATAGTTTATCATAATCTTGAAAATGAAAATACTCTATGATAACTTTCAATAAAGTATTTTAAAATAAAATTTATTTCAATTCAATTCAAATTTCAATTCAAGACATAACCTTAAATATGTACAAAGCTTCAACTTTTACCAATTTTGCCATTACTACTACTAAAAACCCGTCCTCTTAGTAAAAAAGAGAACTCAAGCAAATATTACGTTCTCGTTTAAAACTTTTTACCTGACAAATGCTGGCTAAGTAAAAAGTAGTAACAGGATTGCCAACTTTTGATTGGCTAGTACGATGATTTTGAAGGAGTTCCCTTTAGTTTTCGAAGGAGTTTTCATCTCCAGATTTGTTAAAGATGGTAACTGCCACTTTTTTTCAGATATGTAAATGCAACTAATGCCACAAGACAAAATAGAGATTTTGACGATCCGACATTTAGAATGGCTTAAGCTTTTGTACATTAAGGAAACTTGAAACACCAACACTGGTTCTAAATGGCATTAGATATAGGTTGTGTATTGAAACTGACTGATTGAAACTGAGAACACAGAAATTAAAATAAAAAACTTAATATTCGAGTAAATTTCGTATTTGCACATTTATTCAGACGAAGCTACAGTGTATATTTGATTCCGTTCGACAGTACATGCCAGATGATTTGATTTATATTCTGTTGTGAGAGCTTTCATTAGGTAGTTTTGAAGGAAGGATTTGATTTTAGTTCGTAATAACTTGTTGTTACATTACTTAGATTTTATTGATTTCCATAGAAGAAGGTACTGTATTTAATAAAGAGTTTAGACATTGAATGTAAAGCACATATCTTAAATGTAGATGGATGTGTGAGTGTTTTGTTTTATATCTTTCTTTCCGTTGTGTAGGTAAATGGCAGGGTGTCAACATGAATATATTAGACTATAATTCGGTTACATGTTTTTTGTTTTTGCTAGGCAATGAGTAGAATATACAGCGAATAGAGTACAGTGTCTTTGGTAGAGGATATATTTGTATTAGTCTAAATTGGTTTGTTTTTAGTTTTGTTCATAAATTATATGATATACTGTTATTGCTGTCGGTTTTCAGATTTTCTTCGATTGGAATGATTACACAAGTATATTTTACATAGGTATGTGTATGTGTGTGTATTGCTTACTAAGCCTATCGTAATTTTCTCTTAGCTAATTTCTCTATGGAGGCATTGCTAAATGCAGTTGGTTATAGTTTAGCTCTGACATCGAAGGTGGCCTGGAATTCGACTCAGTCATAGATTCGGTGACATGCCGCAACAGTTTATTTCAGTCAGACTGAAAAACAAGTTCTATTTAAGATCATGGAAATGCCAAGCGTACAGTTTCTCATTTTTCTTGAAATGGTGTTGGCCTCGCGTGTGCACTTTTAAAAGGACAATGGTAGCAAATTACTTATAAGAATAAAGGAAATTGTAAGCATAAACTTGAAAGTCATACGGTGTTTTTATTGTCAATTAAGTGTGTGTTTTTTTTAGATTTCTTGTAAATAAATCGACGAGCCAATTGCTCCAGGCCACAACTTATCCCGTCAAAGTCATAGGAATTTATTTTGGGTTACAGCTTAAACTCTTATATAATACATTGTCGCTTTTATTTTTGCTATAGCTGCACTGGTATAGGAGAATATTTACTTAGCTATAGCTGTCTTTAGAGATTAATTCGCTTGCAAAAGAGTACAATACTTTGCAACAGATTTTATTTATATCTATTTTAAATTCTTTTATTTTTATTTGTCTGACAATTTTATTGTCATCTTTAAATGTTTGCAATCGCACTATAGTATCCGGATACGTTGGAAAACTAAAATAAACCTCACGCTTATGTTTATACGAAAATCTTACTTTAACTATTATAACAACCACAAAGAATCTGGAAATGCTGACAAGTACAGAATGAATAGTCAAACTGTTTGGCTTGCCAAAGGATGTTCGTAAACACAATTCGTAAATGAACAGTTAAAAACTCAGGACTGATTTTTAAAAAAAATTATATCGTAATATAAACATTCCAAAGGGGTTTGTGGATGTTATCTACACCTGGATGTTATTATCTATGTTTATATGTATATGCAGTTATGTACATTGGTTAGGTTTGGCATTTTATAGGCCGCATGGAGTATTAAACAAGCTTAGATTAGAGCTGCACAAAACGAGTCGTTACGGGCTTAGATTTTTATAAATTCGTTTCAGTTCTTTGGGGGATGCCACCACAAGCGCCATTCGATGTCGACATCATGCCCAGGGAGGAGTGTGTTATGTTGGGCCCACTATTTATTATACGCTCACATTTTCCAGGTCCAAAGCCAGCAGCGGAAGTCGAAGAAAATAATTTAATGGGTCTTGTGGACGTTCGACTTTGCGTGGATGCAGCAGTCGACAGACTTGTGGTCGCAGTGCGCATCGACCATTCATTTTGCTTCAGCAGAAATTGCTTGACGTTGTACTCCATTTGAGCAATGTCTACGGTTTCCGTGCGACTGGCATGAGTATTTGCTTGCGAGGATCTGTTCTTGTCACTGTCGCTGGGATAGTACTTGTAGTTGACTATATCACATGTCGGCTGTTCGGTTGCAATTATTTGCGAGCACTGAGAACTAGAATCCTGCGGCTCCGATGCGGTATATGCCACGGGAAGTCCAGAACGCGATGTTCGCCGATAGTAGGTCTGGGGTGTGCTATAGATGTGTGTATTTGGCGAAGAATCTAATACCGCCTGTGGAGACTCAGGAAGGTTAACATTGGAGGCAGTGTTGGCGGCATCTATACTAAACTGTGTGGATATTTCATTGATTAGCTCCGACTTGGGCGAGAGCGACTCATCGGAAGTCTTTATGGTCTCGTCCTGACTGGAATTGGCTATTTGTTGGAACTGTGGCGTTGTTTTGTAGCCGGAATCCGTGGACATTTTCTCCACAGACACAGAATCGATCTGATCCAGTGTAGAAAAGGATGATGACTGCTGGTCCGTGGGCGAGGATTCACAATGGTTGAGCTTTTCCATTTTTTGCTGTTCTCTCTCCATTTGCTTGGAGTTGTTCTGGACCCACTCGGCTACACGGCTCAGTTGCTGCCGCCGCAGTATCACCGTCTCCTGGAAGTCTATATTATCTGCCATTGAACTGTATTGAGTACCTGCCGAATTTTTACAGCTATTATCACAAGTCACAGGGGGTGGGGCCGCTGTGGTCATTTCGGGTTTTGTGGTTTCTACTACCAACTTATCAGTCTTTTCATCTTTGGCAGGTAACACAATTTCTTTTTGGTCTGGTGGTCTCTCCGAATCCGTGCCTCCGCTCGTAACATTAGCTTCGCTCTCACCATCGGCAATCACAGAGGAGGTTGCTAAAGCAGATGTTGTATTCTCGATTTCCAAAGCCTCTTTACCCGTCTCAACGGCATTTTGTATTTGGTCTTGCTGCTGCAGTTGTAACTTGGCATTTGCCAGTGCTACCTTGGATGTAATGATGTCCTTGCCATCGTCGAGCTCTTCATCTAGAAGACGTTCCCGTCTCCGGTATATGATCGGCGTGATAGCCTCAATGGATTCCATATTATCCAGGAGAATATTACTTTGACCATTTTGCTGTATGCGCATGGCGCACAACCGTGGTCCTCTATTTTTGGGATTTTCAGCCTGCAATGAAGAGGATGTGATGCAAATCATTAATTCGCACAAGAGTTACCTACTCACCTTAATTGTTTTGATGAGATTTCGATTGAAGTTCTCAAACATTTTCGCCCCCTCACAGCTGCTGCTTCTACTCCAGACACTCGACAAGCTGCCAGTCATGGCACTCTTCACCATACCCTCAATAGACGTCTTCGAAGCCTCCAAAGCACTTTTAGTGCTGGCGGTCGGCGATTTTATATGATCCCGAATTACACCCCTCCTAAGTTCACAAGAACTTTCTGTTCGCAGTTTTGTCTTAGCGTTTAGTGTATCCTCGGCTGGCTCCACGGGTATATTTTCGTTCAAACTTGGACCCAAGAGGGGTTTCTGCTCATCAAGTATGTCATCATTGCCGTTGATATCTTCTAAAGGTTTTTTAAGCTTAACTGGTGCCGTGTTCTTGACCTTTTCCTCCAGCAGGTCCAGGGCTGTTCCGCCGCCATCTACAAAGCGTCGCTGATAGCTATTGGTCGACTTCATGTTGTCCAACAAAGTGTTGTATGATAGCTTGGCTGCAGTCGATAATGTCAGACCACTACTTTTGTGACCGTAAGGTCTGTCGTATATTCGGTGGTGGCCCAGAATCGGATTAACCATGAGATCGTCCTTTTTAACGGGAGTAAACAATTTGTCCATTTCATTCAAATCCGACACGGAACTCTTCGTCTCCGATATGACCGAATCGCTGGATTTGAGTAAGTTCTTGTTGTATGGGCTGTTTGTACGTGAAGGCGAGTTCAGATTGCTATAGCAGCGCAGGCAAAGCTGGGTCGTAGTATCGTTGAGATTGCCATTGCTGTTGGTCAATGTAAATGGTGTCTGGGTAGAGACGGAGTATGAGTGGGACACATCTGCCAACACCGTAAGGTCTTTGGCACACTGGCAGGTGTCGCAGTGCTTCGTTTCGCCCGCTTTGAGTTCGTCGTGCAGGAACTTGGCCATCAAAACCGGCGAGATCATGTCATTGTCATGCATGTGCAACCCGCTTGCCGTCGAATTGTTCAGAGAGTTGGTAGAGTTCTGTATGACACTTGGACCAGGCATGTTGTTGCAAGTGCCACTGTTGTTATTGTTATTGTTGTTAAGAGAATCGCCACTAGTACTGTTGTTATTGTTATTAGCCAGATTGAGTGATGACTCGGAATTAATGCTAGCATCTGGGTAGAAGGGAAAGTGTTAATTAATACGATGAGATCAATATTAAATTTAAACATTCTAAATGGAGCATCGCCTCGAACTTAATACAACTGTTGGGCATGAGATCACAAGGAGTCACACAAGTATTGAGCATGTCAACAAGACCAAATTTTTAGAAATCGATTTTTTTATTTCGGACAAGTTAAGCGATATATATTGAGAATTGTTGTGTTACTTACGCGCTACTTCTTATTTTATTTGCTGGATGGTGTTGGGATAACGAAACAGTCAAAACTCGGGGCATTTTGTTAGAAAACTTTGTGAATCGAAATTTTCAATTTTTACAATGGAGCATGGGTTTGATTTGATAATTTTCTGGGGAAAGTAAATTTCTATAAAACATTAATTTTTGGAATATTGAATTTATTCGAATGGAGGAAAGTAATAGAAACAACAACAGAAGCTTCAAAAATCGATTAATTGATTTAGAAATAGTCCAAAATATCATATCAATAATAATCAATAATCAAGCCACCAAATATATTCTTTCAAATACGATAAGTAAGTAGATCTATGTTTATTCAGAGCTAGTTTTTTAAAACTTCTAATACTACTTTCGACTTTTCTCATTACCTTATATCAATTCTCTTTGCTGATCGTTCCGTGAATAACTCACGAATAATAAATAACACACTTCCTAGTGGCTCAGATACTTGTTGACCTCAATCCATTATGTTATTTTGCTTTAAAAATTCTACATATCAAAATCTGCAATCTAATTGAATTTAAAAACAATGCTCCATTTAAAATATATTTCTTTTAAAACAAATATTATTTCTACATTAAGTATTGAATAAGGTAAATAATATATTTAAATCAATATGAACAGCTTAATTGCTAAAATAAACGTGTAAACAAATAACAAAAAAAAAAAATCAGGGAAAAAATGAAAAAAAAAAACAATCAAGGCTAACAAATATTTACAATTAAAACCCAATGAAAGCGACCACAACGACACAACGCCAATAGCGATTTTCAATTTTACTTCGAAAGCCACCGAGATTTGTTGGTGTAGGGTTTGAAATCGTTGCGTGATATTGAATATTTGCTGTCCTCAAACAAAGGCTTCAGCACAACGGACACTGCCACGTTCCGTCTCACATTTGAGTTATACAAACCGAAATAGGCCTTAAATGCAACTAAAAACCACAAAATTAACTGGACACACAGCACGACATATGACCAGCCAGGTGCATTGGAAAGGACCCTCTTCATCAGAATGTTAGCTCTCTTAGAATGCATCAAAGAGAATGTACACCTTTGTCTCTGGTCTCTATGTGTGTGTGTGTGTGTGTGTGCAGCTAGCGTACTTGCACTGAAACAAATACATATTGTGCTACTTGGTGGGAGGATGGATGTGGGTATATGTGAGTGGGGAAGCTAAAGCAATTAATTTGAATAAAAAAATTATAAACTTAAAAAGAAATTTCAAAAACTAAAATTAAGGCAAATAAAAATTGGTAAAAGCGTGGTCTACTAACACTTACCAAGTCCCCTCATCGAATATACCATGGCGGTGGGGGGAAAGGGACATGTTTCGCGCGGAGGCGAATCATTTGCGGGAAGCACTTTATAGGCAGTTGTTGTTGTGATACCCACTCCGGTAATGCTGCCCTCCGAATCGGAATGGGAATTTGTATCCACACGCATGTACGATGACACTTTGGACTGGATGTCGATGGGCAGCTGTGGAAAGCATAAGAGGGGCAAAGTTACATATGCGCATATAAATACAATTAATGAGGCATTATATAAGAATTTCGAACGATAAATCCTATTCCCGAGAAAAGGCCGACCGATATGCTTATTAAAGTCCCCATTCCGAGGCAATGTTTTTGTCCACAATCCAATAAATGTTTCTAATTAATCTGCATGTACTTCCCACGTATTCCTCCGGTATCTTTTAGTAATATTTTCTTCTCCTCATTATATTTTTTATACTTACCGAAGAAATCTTTTGGGGCACAAAGCTATCGGGTTTACACTGCAGTAATTGTATAGCCAAATTGATGTCAGTTTTGTACCGTTCCTAGAAAATACAAAAATATTGAAATGCATTTTAGTTTAGTTACCGCGATAAATGTACATGTCAGTATATGTGTGTGTGTGTTTGCAAACAATCACAATTGTGAGAACACAATTATATTTCGATTCATTTTCAGAACAACCCATGTTTCCGCCTTGGCTGCACTTCAAGGCATCATTTGGGGTGAGCGGAGAAAAGATGAATTGACCCAAATACAAACAACGTCTGCTCATCCCTGCAAAAGTTTATCGCCCCTTTTGAACTCGAAATTGTTTTGCCAAATTTGGTGTGAAGAATTTTAATACTAAAACAGTAGCTGCAGCAGCGGGGAGCAAAGGCATTTGCCGTTATTATGTCTTTCATTCCAAAATTGGTGCATGTAGGAAGCGCATGTAACACAACTATTCGAATAAAATGAAATTCCGACAGAATTTAGTCCTTCATTTTTGGAGGCAAGACTTGTAGTTACATATTGAAATAGTTTTGGCACTCTTACATGTACGGACGTAGTATATGTATGTGACTGGGGAAAGGAAGGAGGGCATTGACGCTGCACAGTGGTCCCACATGTATGGGAAGGTGTGACAAATTAGATTAGCTTCATAATGAGTAAAAAATAATGTAATCATAAAACTGTGAAGATTGGCCCACGTTTAGCTACAGTCCCCATATAACCCTCCGATTTTAAGAAATTTTAAGATTTTAGGTACATCTTGAATTGAAATGGACTGAGATTTTACATTTGATGTTTTCAATGGATACCTGATATCCTTGCAAAATAATGTTAATATGGGTCCATAATTTGATATAGTTCCCATAGAACCCTACCCTTTCCCTATTGAAGTGTGAAAAATTGTCTTGATGTAATGATCTTTATGATTGTTTTTGATATAAAAAAACCCTGACCCCGATTTGAGGGATTTTTCAAAATTTTGGCATATATTTTCAAATGATTTTTCAGATTCACATCTTGTTTAATATAATGTTTGAACTGACTATACTGCAATGAGCACTTAAAGATCCTCCAATATCATAAAAAATACTTCAACATTCTCTGCTTTAGGTTGTCAAATGCGGTTTTAAAGGTAAACAATATTTTTGGAATATTAAAGTTGAAATTTATTGTATTCGGGTTCTTGATTTTTGTCATGGATCGGAACCACTGTGCGATGTTTGTTACTGGTTTATTTTTTGTTGCCGCTGTTAACAGGGATACTTCCGTGGGTGAATTATTCCGTGGACTTCAACGTGTGCTAGTCAAGAAGGAAAACGTTTAACAATAATCCTTCCATTAGCTAAATGGTGACGTTTTACTGAACGCAACCTACAAATGTTTAGGTAAGGAACTACGCAAATGAAGCCAATTACACAAATTAATTACGAAATTACGTTTAAAGGCGCAGGGTCCAAAGATAAGATCTCACGAATTAAAAGAAAAACAAAACGAAGCCTAATCAATTATTAACGTGCTCGACAACGTGACCACTTGCCTCTACTAATGCTTAGGCCATTTGATTCAAAGGACATTTGGGCACAACCAAAACTGTCCCAATAACAGTGCATTCGATAGATCTGGTCTGGCAAAAAGTCTTAAATGAATGCTGACTAATTTTTTGCACCAAAAACTTTTGATAGCGAGAAACGACTTAGACCCGAATTCGACCCTTCGGCAATCTTGACTTGAAACTGTAACAAATAAGATTTGGCTACACTGTTTGTTGTTGTTTTACTCTCATTATCAATTTCAATAATATCAATATATGTATATATAGAGGTTGCAATTGAAAGTTACATCTCTGGATTGTAGGCGATATTCTATAAATTTCAAATGGTATCTTAAGATATAAAATTTCCAAAATACTAGTGGTTTCTTCTCAAATTTTCAAATTCCGAATATACTATAGAGAGTATTACTGCTTATAGTATATTCGGAATTTGAAAAAAGAGACATATTTCCTAAATATTTGAAGCAATTTAGAAATACATTGGACTTTTTATTTTTGGGTTATTTCAAACTCTAGTAACTAGTGTGGAGACTAGTAGTGCAGACCCAACATGCCAAAAATAAATTAAATTAAAGTAACTTATCTAACGTCTGCCTGCCTTCGTTGGCAAATTTGTTTTTAATTTTTGCGAATATTATCGGTACCAAATTGTTCTTTATAGTAAATAACAAATGCCAAGCTAATTTTGGACACAATTATATGTCCGAACCACATTCTTAAGGTAATGGTGAATTCATTTAGAGAGGTATATTATTTCAATTCCATTTCAGAGTGGACGTATCAAGAAATTGCGGAAATCTAACCCAAGTTCACAAAGTTGAGAAATGAAGGAGAGGCATGAGCTCAAAATGCGAATCAAAAGTGAAAGCAACAGGAGACAGTAACCAGAACCAGTAAATTGAATTTAATAAAAATTGCTAATCATTTGCGTTTGTAATATTAAAAGAATAAGCTCAATATAAGTTTCGTAAGCTTTTGCTACAATTGCAAGGATAAGCCTATAAATATATAAATATATATATATATATATATATATAAATATATAAAGGATACAGTTTCAATTATTCTACAATTTGTGAACAAGCATTACACGTCCATTTCAAACTTAAGGTACGTTGGGTTAATGGTAGTTCATACCACCCTGGTCTTCGTATGTATGCATGTGCGTATGGGTGCGTTCTTGTTGCAGCTACTGTACTACATCGATGGTCGAAATCTAATGTTTCTTTGTTTCGCAGAGGCGAAAGCGATTCCAAATACAGTCTGTATTTAGCTTCGTTATGAAGTCACACTCATTCGACGGCAATTTCCGGACTCAACACCAATCGACAGCATCAACATGGCTGTCAACAATCAATGGCTTCTTCCTGTACACCCTCTCTATTGCTTCGTACGGCTTGTGTCGCGTCCTTGGCATTCTTTGCCTCCGTTATAACTTCAGAGAGACCAGGGTGGAGAACACGGCACTCACTTTCGCGTACAGTGTCGTAATGCTGGTAATAGCTGTGTCCTACACGCCAATTGCCCTGCAGATTCTCTACTCGGACATGGTGTTCCTGCGACAAAACGACCTGCTCACATACGTAGGATACATCCGCTATGGCGTCATGTTGACCTGTGCTTTGGCCACTCTGTTCATGCAAGTGATCTTCAGGAGTGCCATCATTTCAAGTGTGAATCAAATGCTGCATTTGAGCGGTCTACTGTTGGACCGCCCCAGCTTCGTCAATGGCTATGTCACGTGGAAGGTGGTTAGCAAGTGTCTTACTGTGGTCTTGCAGGCCCTGTGGACGGTCTTCCTGATTGAAAACGATAATGCTGTGTCGAATATGTGGTACCTGGCCACCCTGGTCTTCGTTCACTATTGCCTGATGGTCTTGCAGATGACCTTGAATATGCTCTACTTTGGCGTTCTGTTGATAACTTTGCTCATCAAACAGGTGAATGCAAACCTTGTCGGGCTGCTACTGAACCTGCGAACTCTGCCCCATCACAGAGGTGGTGTTAATGCACAATCCAGAGACAAGCTCTGTAAGGATGTTGGCCAATTAATGCATTTTCATTACATCTTGGTCAAATTGAGCACGACCTACGTGAACTTATATGGCTGGCAGTTGCTCAGCTTCTTGATGTCAGTGATAATGGAATGTGTCACTCAGATATTTATCATGTACTTTGTGCCAGCCGAAATGGCGCGCCGGGAACGCAAAAGTAATGATGCCGAAGCCAGACCGCCTCCCATCCCAATCAATCCGTTCGCCCTGATGTATGTTATTGGACTGCTGTGGGACATGTTCCTCATCGTTGTGATGCTGGACGACATGCGTTTGCAGTTCTTTCACACCCGTCACCTGTACACATCGAGCATTTGGCTGAGAGCCTTGGCATCACCAGCGAATGTGCGGTTGGAGGGCTGTGTAAGTTACTGGCATTATTGAGCCATTCGCCAGCGAGAAATGGCCATAACATTGCTCTTGACCATGTTTGTGTTTTCTTTCTTTCTTTTACGTTTTCACTCTTCGCTCGGATGGAAATGACGTTGGTGTTGGTGTCCAACTGCAGCTTTCGCACTTTAACCTTTATTTGCTGCACGCTCAACCTCGAATATCTTACTCGGCCTGTGGCCTCTTCACCTTTGATAAAACTTTGATTCTAGTGACGCTGGAGAGGATATTCTTGTATTTGGTGTTGTTGATTCAGTTTGATTTGATTACCAATTAAAGTGGCCATCCGCTTCGTCACCTTGGATTATGTTCATGCCTTCGGCAGAGTGTTGTCTCAATCTTGCTGTAAGCACATCTGCTGTCCTTCACCACACGACAAACAAAAAAATCAAAAAAAGCGAAAATCCTTTGAAACGGCTTTATCCTAACCACAAAAGAATTTTGACACATCGGTTCCATGCAATCAGAAAAAATCTAGTCTTAAAGCATATTTAGGAAGTATGTAGGATTTTAATGTGCAATTTATATAATATATATATATATATCTATATATATATATATATATATATATATATATATATATATATATATATATATATATATTTTATATATATATATTTTTTTTTTCATTTCGTTGAACTCAATTGTTACGTCGTCGTTTTTAATTTGCAACCAAATTTTGTAAATAAAAACAAAAATAAAAATAAATTAATAGCCATGGTATTTATACTCTCAGCTGTATTTTGGCTCCCAGAAACTGTTATTTGATACAACCAAAATGTGCCTCAACGAAGTAACAATTTGGACGAAAACCTTTTCAGCATATATGGTGTCGATCTAGCTCTATCCCTCTGCCCGTTCGGCATGCAGGAAAAATATCCTGATATAAGCCTTGTCCGTTTCGTCTGGCAGCATACATAGAGGTTATTTTTGTAGTAACAACAAAAAAGATAGATTTTCTTTTTAGAATTGTGCCATGAAGAAGGTCTTTCCAATACTGTTTAAGGATGTATCCATTTGTGATGAACTGGCCATAGTTCTCGCCTTTTAAAACCACTCACTTTCACAAATGTATGAGTGAACATGTGTCTGACTTTGGTTGGGGGAAAAATAATTTAATTAAAAATGTCAACAATAACAGAGGACATCATGTTTATTTTTTTCCGCATGTGCGTGTGTGTATTTGAGCGTTTGATTCATAAATGAATTCAATTTTCACATAATCATCGTTTTGTTTAGCACGCACTTTTAAAACTGCCAATTCCGATGCAAAATGTTTGGTATATTTGAACATAAATATGAACATGTGGTTGCGTACACACATGCACACACGTGTACATGTGTATTAAATTATGCACACCGCGTAAAAACACTACAGTAGGCCGTGGCAAATTTAATTACTTGGCCCCTGTGGTTGTTCGCATTTTCTATACCAGTAAAGAAAGTCTTAAAGTCGGACGGGCCGACTTTATGATACCCTACACCACTTTGCATATTTAGAGCTATGATTATGATTATAATTTAAAGTTAAAAGAACTAAATATGCCGAAGCATGTGCATCTTTGCAATTCGGGCTTGTATTGCCTATTTGGCGCACAATTAACTTAAAATCGGATATAGATATATATGGGAGCTATATTCAAATCTGAACCGATTTCAATAACATTTGGCAAATATATTTCTGAGCTGTATTTGATATATTTCCCTGAATATCGTTGTTACGGAGTGCATATTACGGCTGTTGGGAACAAATATAACAAATCGGATGATAAATATATATTTGAGCTACAGCCATATCTGAACCGATCTTCCAAATTTGACATACAAGCTTCAGTACTCAATTCGGTCTTAAGTGCCAAATTGCATCCAATTTGGGCTAATATTACACGTTTGGTGCACAATAAAATGCAAATCGGACGAAATTATATATGGGAGATATATACAAATCTGACCCGATCTAGATAATAACAAAATTAACAAATTGGATGAACAATATATGTGAAAGCTATAGGAATATATGAATCGATTTCTGGTTTCTCAGATGAGCATTTTCTAGAGCTACACAGAAGTTATTCGCGTAAGCCTATGATTTCATATTGAAAACCTTCCTTCAGGAATTGATTTCGCAATTTAAATGTAAATATTTTTCTGTAATACCGTGCAGAATTTTTTACAGAGGTGTATATATGTATGTATGTATGTTCGTCGACTTTTATGTTTTAGTTCAGCCTTTTATATATAAGCCTTATATATATATATATCAGCCTTATATATATATAAGTAATTACTCGATGCAAGTAATTGTGTTAACACAAGTGGTCGATATTGTTTTGCTGTCGTCGCTCACATCCCACAGAGATGTGTGTAAGTGCGCTCATTACTTTTCCTTGGAAAGAGTACACATAAATTCATCACCGATGGCTGTTGGCTGTTGGGGATAAAACCGCTTGTTGGGCATTTCATTACGACAGCACAGGAGTGCAGACGCGAGCGCGCGCACGCACACGCATGCACATATGTACACACAATCTATGATCAATAGATATTATTGAGCCCTTCCCATTTCAGAAGTGATAAGGTCCTCCGTCCATTGAATCGATGGATAATTTTCAAATGGCAATACATTGGCAACCATAATTCAATTACAGGGTCGGCTACTTTATGGTCATAAAATTTGCAATGACCCAACGACCGCAAACCTTATTCAGCTTATGATGAAGATGCTTAATGGGGAAAGTTCACAGTGGCTATGTAAGTTTTTGTTATGAATATCCCGTAAGTTTTTGTTATAAAAAAACCTAACAATATTCTGTTGTTGCGAAATTAATAACTCTGTTGTGTGTAAAAATGATGAACCCGGCGCGCTTTGCGACCCCTTTTGTTTTTATATGCATTCAAAATTTTATATACTAAAATTATTAAAACGATGAGTTACCGGCGGAATATACATATATGGGAGCTACATGCAAATCTTAACTGATTTCTAGTTAATTTGTCAAATTTATTATCGTAATAATCAAATCGTAAAAACAAATTATGAATTTCATTGTAATCGGACATACATATCGTGTTTGGCGCATAACATACAAGAAATCGGCCGAAATATATATATGGGAGCTATACCCATACCTCAACCGATTTCAATATAATTTGGTTGATACCAAATCTCGTCTCTCTGTCCGAATTTCATTGGAATCGAACATACATATCGTGTTTGGTGCATCAAATAAACTAGATCGGTCAAAAATATATATGGGAGCTATATCCAAATCTGAACCGATTTCAATATAATTTGGCAAATGTAAATTCGTTTTAAATTCCGTTACACATTCCAAATGTCATTGAAATTAGAGATACATAGCGTGTTTGGTGCGTCATAGACATTAAATTACAAACATTTTTAGATGCTTCTGTCATGAGCTGTTATTCAAGATAGTATAGCCACAAACCATTTTCTCTTCTATTCCGTAGATTTTCCCAATTAATTGTGTATTATCTTATCGGTTTTAAGCACTTAACTTTGGTAACTATGTTGTTACGACATCACAACAACAGAGCTATTTTCGCCTGAAGACAATATTTTGACTCTGTGTTGTCCCATTTTATATTTCTATGTCTTTGGTCTGAAAGGAGTATTTCGGGGAGTTACAGAAGGAAGGAAAAATAGTTAACATACCTTCCAAAGTGTGGTGAAGGTTATACAAATCATGTTTCATACCAGCAAAAGGTACACGCCTATGTGCATTCTTGATCTTTTGTTGTGGATGACAATTGGCCCCTCATCCTTGACTTAAATAAGCGTTTTATAGGATCCATCAATTATTCATGATGTCAACAACCAAACACACTCTGGCGAACCCAAACAAACACACAACTAAGACGCACATAACCCACGATAGACATGTATGTTATAACAACCGGCATATTCATCCAATCTAAAATTTTGATAAAAAAAAAAAAAATATGAGAATTGTGGGACAATCAAACCCTTAAAGACATTGATCCGTCTCCTGCCGATTATTGAACTGATTGTCGATTGAAAGAAATTTTTTATATAACTTAGTGCAAAATGCCAAAATTATAAAACTTTAATCGATGAGCCTTAAAGCTTAATGGGTTAATCTTTTTTAATCTTTTCTTTTCTTGGACAAAATACAGAGCTTTATAACAATTAAGGAAGTGTTCGTACACAAAATATATCCTAGAGATACACAAACACATAGATTTCTTATTCTAGACAAGAGCACACAGCAATTATATGTAGGTTTCGCAATAATGTTTCTTGTCCAAAATAGACTAGGAAGTGTTCGAACTGATATAGAACTGTATTCGAAGAGTACATCTTCAGAAGATATTCTAACCATTCCAATATCTATGTTAATAAAAGAGTAAAGTGCTTTACTGACAGACTTAACGATTCATCGACGTTCAGACGAAACGGCTGAAGCTTGAATCTTGAAATTTTGGGCGAGGGTCACTATTAGTTCGAAGGGGTCAGGTAAGGCTGGGTTTTTGGAAATTAGTACTAGGACGCTACGAAAAGTATTACAAGGTACACAATTTGGTACCCTTTGTTTTTTTTTTTAATGAAACAGTAGAGTTAGACCTTTTTAGTTTGGAATGAGGGTGACTGATGGAGTGTATGATAGATGTGCCAAAGGGTTTTTGGAAATTCAAACTTTAAATTTAGGAAATCTTCTAAAATGGTACCATTTGCTATTATGTGAACGGATAAAGTTAAAAACTTACAATTTTGCATGAGAATAAGGGTTGGAAATTAAGTTTGACAAAGGGAATTGTACTATGTTTGAGATTTGGCTGTGGTTTGGAAATGCGTCATGTATTTGTACGAAAAGTAGTAAATGGTACTAAATTTTGTATTCGGTAATAGTAATCGATATTGAGGTATCTAGAATTGAGATATAGAGGTGGTTTTGGAAATATGTACTATAATTGTACGAAAGGTATTAAATTGTTCTAAATGTTGTTGATGTCTAGGATAGAGAGATGTTGATTGTTTTGAGTACACGAACTAAACGCCACAATTTTTTTTAAAAAATTTTGATTTTAAGGTCACTGTTGGGTGCTAGGGTTTATATTTGAAGAGGTTGAAACCATTGTGCAATGTTTTTACTAATATGCTCCTCGGTAAACTTCAAAATAAAAAGCTTCTGTGTCCTGGATAAAAATATTTTTGACTTCTTTGGTGGCATCACCTTCACATTTTAAATCTTTGTTATTAACAATATTAGTATTTTGTTAGTAAATCCATGAAAATCAGCCTAATCTTTCTTTACAGATGTGCGACAGATATGACAAACTGTCACTGCTTCCTTCATTACCAAACTGCCAATAATAAACTCACGTCATCAATCGGTAGCAGACAGTAACGAGACAAACCACCGACACTGATGTCATTCAAAGGGAAAGCGTTAGATGTACCAAAATTCTGTGCGCGTATGTGTGTGTGTGTGGGAGCAAGGATATTCGTGAGTCATTTTTGTGGTAATTCTGTAAAGGCTTCCGAGTACGAGTGCATGATGGCAAGACGAGATGTCGATGTAAACAAAACGATATTTCAAGTGCAGATACAAGACTTACAAACATATATGTACGTGCACAAACACCCATACAGTATGTGTACATATTTGTCTGTACCCATTCCTACTAACAACAAAAAAAGCTCAGGCTAAGAAGGAAAACAAATAAGTTTAAAAAACAAGAAGATTCCCGAAAACAAATCGAGTAAAGACGCTGAACAAGTCGGCCGCAATAAAGTTATGACTTCCTTGGAAGATTTTCAGCCGTTACATAACGAACTGCAAGAAAATGATTCAGTTTTTGCTACCAATAGTCAATACTTTGGTTCAATATTAATACTTTTCGCGTATTTGATGGCAGTAAATGCCAAATATGTCGAAGCCGAGAAGCAATCTACAAGCGTCGCATGATGTTATTTCTAAAATATACAATATACATAACATATTTGGTCTGTTCCAGAACTGCGAGAATGTAAAAGTTTTTACTACGATAACCGATTTTCCCTTTATGATATCGAAGAAAATTGCAACTAGTAGATTCTTGCAGTTACTGGAACAGAGCAATTGTTACGTTGATATAACATTCGAGCTGAATGATTCGAAACACTAAATGATTTAGGGCATGCCCAGCGAACCAAATTTGCAAAACAAACGTCTTCAGAAGTAAAATTAAGGGAAAAGGTGCATGGACATTGCCTTTCCTTACTACTGTTGTTCTCCAGTAAAAATGTGCGATTTGTTTTCATTTGCACTTGAAGCCAAATGGTAAATTGCTATTTTATTGCAAATTATCCACCAGGCACGATAGCGACTCCACATAAGAAACGTTCACTAATGCTCTGAGAAATTTTAATTAAAATTAAATCGACTGAAATTGTTCTTTTCGGAGAACCACGTCACACCGCAACTCCACGAAATGAAAAATTAAAGCAAAAGTACGTCCGTCATTTCGGGGGCTATGCCACAACGTTGACCGATAAAAAAAATATATACCTACATGACATTTTTTTCTGACTAACAAACATTTTATGTTATTTTTATTGCTGTTTTACGCACTTGAAGGTTGGCGCCTGTTCGACGCCTTTTAATACGAAATTGGGGACAAGGAGAAAAATCAATTAAGTGATTAGACTTTTGGAAGGAAATTCAGCATTTCCACGTGTATGCCCCTTACAAGATTGTACATTTTGTAATAACTATTGCGTTATTTTAAATCCTTCGAAGACATATTGTGCCATTTCAAATCAAAAACTGTGTAACAATTATTACTGTGCGATGTTCGATGACCCCAAATGTCCAGTAAATGAGTGTTAATTTATTACACACCAACAAATAACAAAAATGAAACTATTAAAAAATGCAATTTTGTTTCGGGAAGCTCAACAATCCTAAGAGGGAACACATACATTTTTGAGGAAAATGAGCTTTCTTGCCAGATTTTAATCTATTTAAAAAGTTGCTGTAAGAAATTTACTGAAAAAGTAAGATTTAATTAAAAACATTTACGCGACTCCTCTTCCTATGTTGAATAGGCAGGCTAACAATCCACATAAATGAAAACGTATCCGACAATAAAATCTAGTTAAACCCATGGTAAATGTTTACTTTTGATTTATCACAACTCATCAACCTTCGGGTCTGTCATCAATTATCTGTCGGGTCTGTCATCAATTTTATGTTTAGCTAGCTAGCTAACTTGGCCTCAATGCGATATTTGTTGCAGTTGCCATTGACGGCCTTTAAGTTTTTTGTGCTATTTAAATTGTGCTGTCATGAGACCTTTTTATTTTGACCATTGTTGGTGTAGTCAAGGATCCGTTTCAGATTCCTAAGAAAACATACACGAAACTACGTTTATATTAGACGAGTTTTCCAGTCAGTAATTTTCATGCTGTATTTATAATAGACCAGACAACGGAGGTCATGTTTGTACAAATGTGCCTCAGAAAATTATAATGACCTTAATAATTGATTTTTAAGTACGAAAGGCTGTAGAGAAGTAAGGGGTCTCTAATTTCCTTAACTCTCTCGCCCGGAAATTATAATTACCTAACGAAAATCAGGAATATTATTAGTCACTGGTAAACATTACCATCGTTCTCCACTAATAAACAAACGTTTTTTTTTTATAAAAACAAGAATAAAGGGATTAAGCCTGACCATTTGCATCAACAAAATATACCCCATTTATGTATGATAAGCATTTTACAACATACTCTCAAGTTTTTTCAAGGCTAAGAATTGCCAATATTATGTTTTTATAATAGTTGGTCTGTTCCGGAACTGCATGAATGTAAAAGTTTTTACCGATATTCCCTTTATGATATCGGAGAACATTGCAAAACCAGTAGATTCTTGCAGGTTCTGGAACACACCAATTATTTTCTCAGACATTTTAATACATTGGGTCACCAAAAGATCGCAACTCTGCAGAATATGCATTCCTGTTGTCATTTTTAATCTGAAGAACGTTTCATATAAAATCTACAAACTTTTTGAAACCCATCGACATTTTATTAATACAATTCCAATTGCAGTCACATTTACATTTCAGAAATCTCTTCCTAGCTGCTGGAATAAAGGCAGTGCGAGTGTTTGTAGAAGTAAAACAAATAGACAGGACAAAGCAACACCAAGAGGCCATTAGCCTTTTTCCTTCTTCAAAGTCCATTGTCTGCGCAATACAGAATTGCAACTATAGCAACACACACAAACACTGACATGCACAAGTCGAGTATGTTGCGACGAACACGCGCAAAGTTTGCACTCAGCATACTATATGTGGCCGCCAGAAGGGTGTTTCATGCTTCGAAATAGGAAGGGATCGGTAGTGGCTTTTTCAATTTCAACAAACTTGTAACCGTACACACGAACATACTTGGACCCAATTTCACTTTAAATGCAACGAAAAACCGCAAATCTCAAAACTTGATTAACATAAAATAAGCCCTGCAAGAAGCTGAGTCCTCGGTACTGTTTTTATATAAAAGATAGTTAACAAACATGTTTGAAAAATATTAAATATATATATTTATATAAATATTAAATATATATATATATATATATATATATATATATATATATATATATATATATATATATATATATATATATATATATATATATATATATATATATATATATATATATATATATATATATATCGAAAGCATTCAAAAAGAGACAAAAACAACACAATAATCTAGAAAGTGGATGAAAATGCCCATAATTTATTATACTCTCAGAACTTATTTACATCGTAGCGAAAGGCTACCTCTCGATATTTTTTATGTCTGAGACAGATGGTCCACTTCAGTATTTCAAGGTTATGGATTTCGTATATTTCGAATATCTTTTATATATTTTACATAACTTCAATACTAATAAAGTAACTTGCTGCGCTTTAGTAGTGGCGAATGCTTTGATTTTGTTTTGCCTATTTTTTTTACTTTGACTTGGACTTCTATTTGTGGTGCTGAGATTCATTTATAATTGTTTAGAGGGAGATTATTGCGAACCGCCATACATGGGATAAATTATCCTTTTAGACAAAACAAAAACGTTTTATTTACATACATAGCCAGGAGGGAACAAACTACATACATACTTTATTTCGCAAAAGCCAAACAATCGTATTTGAGGAAAGTACGCGTTGTGGTCTATTCCAAAGACAAGTTTATCTGCCACAGCAAAAATGCAGCATCGAAAAAAAAATAATAATAGAAAACTTTTCCATTTTTCCTTCAAGTATTCCGCAAATGGTAACTGGGAGGAAGAGGAGTGGTCGGTGGTGTTAGTGCTTGCTAAAGTGTGATAAATGGTTGTGTAAATCTGGTCAAGTGAATAGTTGAAGAAAGTGGATAAAAGCATTACTGGTCGGGTTATAAAACGTTATCAATGTCTTTTCGTAAGACCGTCCGGAAAGATAGATGTTTAAGGCTTTAACACTTTATCCATCCAATTGAACATTACTGCTGGAAGGTTGCTATGGTAATGCCATTCGGAGACGACCCAATGTGTCATTTATGAAAATTGTAAAATGGAGAATGTATTTTGTATGGCATATATAAATACAATAGAAAATACATTCTCATACACTCTCTACATTAGCCAAGTTTCAGTAGGCCGCCTTAGCTCTTTTTGCGATAAAAGTCGTTCCGACGTAGTCAATGGCAAATCAGTTTAAAACCCAAAATAACAAAATATTACAAAAATGGACACTGGTATGAGTCATTTTCGCTAAATGTCTTCTTAGCTATGGAGCCGAGCATTGGCCGCAACAATTTCGCATTGGATGCAATTGGTGAGTGCAACTGATGCAGATTTTATGACATAATGTGATGACAAACTAAAGATGACTTACACATACGTACGTGTGTTATAGTATAGTAACGCGATAAATTGCCTTCAGACTCCTGTTAAAACTCTAAAAATTAAGACACACAAACGATGTCTGAAAACAAATTAGAAAGAATGCCACAGCTTGATATTGAGGAACCGTGGCTGGCACAGTAACTTTGGCAACAACATCAATGACTAACAAAAATGCCAATGAAAGAGTCAATAATGCAGGAATGACGTAGCAGCTGTTGTTAGGTGTCAGTCGTTGGAGCTCCGAAATGGCGACAGGTACTTATATGCACACTCACACACACCATGACGTTCGTGTCTGCAGGATACATGTAATTTCTCAGCGTTTGGCGCCGCACGGATGTGCTCACTCTATATTACATAAACAATGAACATACATACATACGCAACAACAATAAGAATAGCAAAAAAGCAATTGTTGGTATGGCAATTGGTAGGAATACATGAAATGCACGCTTTTGGCATTTAGTATTAAGCGAGTTGAAAACGTCTAATTCAGGAAGAGAACGTTGATTGTACGGCCACAAACGCTACCCACCAACAATGCCTTTAAACACCATTGTCGGGCTCGCTGGCGGGCAACTAACGAACAATCAATCCCGACACTGCCCTTCCCCGTATCGGTTGGTACAGAATTGATTGCTAAGTTTGCGTTACAACAAACAATTTATTCCAATGGGGACGGAATATTGACTTCCGACGATGTAATGACCTGCAGAGTTTCGTTTATCGCACGCGATTTACTATTTGCGCTGTTTACTTTTTTGCACTCGGATCGGTCATTTGGAGTAAAACGTTGTTGATGTACATGTGGTGTTAGGACAATGTGGGGGCAAGTATAATGTGTTTCCAAAGAGAACTTGAGATTCCAACTAAAAACGGACAACAAAGGAGAAGGAATAAGCCGCATAGGCCCGTAGCGGAGTTTTTAGAAAAGAAAAAAACATAACACACATATGAAATATGATATTCCACGGTGTAAACAAGAGCTGAGCAAATTTTTATAAAGAGATTGTTTAAGAGAAAATTGAAACTGTTTCTTTTTTTTCATTACCATTGTTTCAACTTTTAAAATTAATATTAAAACTAATTTTTAAAGATTTTAATGAATAGTACATGAACATTAATTGGTTGCTTGTTTAACAATAACTAAGAGAAATTGACCAAGTGGGGCAGAACACCTTCTTGCTCAGCTATGGGGTAAACATATACCCTTTACGAACTGGTCGAAATGGCTATCCACACCAAATATGCCAAGCTGTCTCTCTGGCTCTCCTTTTTACTGCAACTTTTTGATCGTTCAGCTCGTCTCAAAAGAGAAATAAACAAAAAATGAAATTTAATTCAAATAAACTAAGGCTATGGGAACGGATATCTCAGTTAAAAATTTATAGTGCATAGTATTTTTTAAAAGAATCAGGGTCGTATTTTCGACAGTAAAATCATCCAATGCTCAAAACGAAGGAAATAGCCTTAAATTAAGTGACCTTTTTTGTTGTGCAGGTAAGCATGTGAAAGCTCCCATACTCGACAATTTTTATCAAAATCATAATGGGTAGAATATTTTCACTGTAGATCGTAAAAGCATTTCGAACTTTGGTCTCCTTTACTTGTTGCTAAAGTGAATTAGACAACGTTTGCGATAAATATGGTCTAAACGTGGGTTATGATTTACAATTCCAGTTAGCAATTCCAAAGTTTTTTGAGTAATTTATGCTAAAATGTTAAATGTAAAACTAACAAATTCATAAACGCCTTTGTTCGCTATGCTCTCTTGTTTCGTTCAGAGCGAAGGGCTATTTCTTTCATATCCTGTTACTGAATCATTTCCAACAGACGGAAGTCAATAACCCCTTTTCATTTCATATCCTTTGAGGCGGTTTGTTTCTTTTGTCACTGCATACCTATAACAAATGGTGGTTGTTCGGGAAAGCCAACAAGTCTCTAAGTTCTTGGTTTTCTTAATGTCGCAAGCACTGACAGCCAGCCAGCCAACCAGCCGTCTCTTCAAGAATGACTAATAGAACGTCGAGAATGGATTTCACCTCTTTGTCGTATTTATTTACCAGTCGCCCGAATATGTATAGTGACAAACAATAAGGCATGGGAGCAGATCCCATCCCACGCAAATTGAAAATACGAGTATATATTCACTGCCAGTGAATATTGTATTTGGTTAGGACTGCCGCAATGGCAATGACAATACAAACCGTTGATGACAATTATGAGATATTTGTAATCTACTTGCCAGAAACCTGTAGGTGCGGAAAGGTTTGTATCTCGGCCCTTTGGACAAAATGTATAAAATGTAACTCCCAACAACAAATAATTAAAGTTAATTTATAATTTGTTCTTTTTTATCGGAAAGAATAAGGATATATGAAAGCGACTAATTGTCGATAAGCGGACGCATGTGTTTTTAGCTATTATCCAGAACGATGACAGACACAAAGATACCCGTCATTAATGGTAACGGTCCTTAAATTCTATGTTAGTTTCCCACTTGCAGCAGAATGAAAAACGAACAAGAGACATTTGCTGTACCTTCTCGGCTAGAGGATTTGCAGCTTCCTCCCAAGGAAATCTTGCTCTCGACTACGAATTTGAAAGAGCATAAGAAGGGAATGCTGATTGCATTCAGTTATGTCGGAATGCGGCCGGCTAGAAGGCATGGCTTGCACTCATTCCATACAGCACACAAACAAACATATAAGCAGTGGGGTTTTGTAGGCGAAGTGGGTTTTGTTTTTGAAAATCGAGGTGAAAGAATCAACAGACGTCTCCATGTTAACGGAAATTTATGTTTATGTGCTCTCGTGTTAGTGAGCCAAATTATTTCAGAATGTTCACAGCTCTATACATACACATACGTGCCTGCACGAAACATACATCCGTGCATGCATGAACAACATACGAAGGGTTTTATACTTTTCGTAAAATTACGCTATGGCTGCAAATATAAAAAATGAATTAATTTCACTGAAATATAAATATTGATTTCAAAAAATGTCAACCCATCAACGATTTGCTAAGCTATGATTTTGCACAGATCTGCCTTTTACCTGAAAACAGGTCTAGTTCGAAGATGAGATATATCGGTCACGATAGACATTGGTAAACAGTTTCTCTCGCAGAAATTGTCTAAATAGGTCTACCTTTTTCGTATGACCCCCGTACGACGGTACCTTACAATATTCAATATTTTAATGATTTCAAAACTTCCCAAAATTCCGTATTTAAGTGATTTTCTTCACACTTAAAATACAGCTATTGTACGCTGAACGCATACTGAGCCAAGTTTTTTTTATGCACCGAACATTAAGGACATTGGGAAAACCTAGTTTGGTATCACACACCCATAAGTTGTGTGTGTGTATGTGCGAATGTCTACACAAAGGCGCATGAAAATAAAAGTACAAGAAATTAATGAATGTACAAATGGCACAAATATGTTTTGTGTATTGAAATCAGAGGCTCTTGAAACCCGGACGCCTCCCGCCGCCATTTACACGCGACATCGTCATTACATAGCGTTAACCTACATTTGATATAATGTCAAATAGATTTGTGCCCTAAGTCAGTCCTGACCCCACCATACACCACGACGTACAAACAACTCTCATTAGGATGTGGCTAAATCTGTGACAAGAGATCCATAAAAATTGGTTGCCTTTGTAGTCCTCTTTTTAACGGTTTCATGTTGCCGGCTATGGTTGTGATCAAATAAAATGCTCGATTTATTCTCATTAACACGACCTTGTATGAATTTTTACAAATCGTTACAGACATGCATGCACAATCTTGCGTGTACCTTAGTGTGTCGTACTTACAATTTCTCTCTGGAGTTTCGATATATTGAAGTTCGCCTGCGCCAAACGAACACTCAACGTTGCGACATCACTTGTTAGCTGCGCCCTTTCGGCGGTATTACGATCTACTAGCTTCAGTAGCTTATCCTCCAGGCCTTGATTGACTTTTTGAACACGTTTGTGTGACTCATAGAGACGATCGTATTTATCCTGCCAGGCAATTATGCTGTCTTCCAGTTCGGCCTGATGTTCGGACTCTGAGAGGCATACCTGCTCCATAACTAAAATGTGGTTCTCCTTCTCTTGCAATGTCTGTTTCAAAGTCTCGATTTCTTTGGCTGCCACGGCGACAATGCTGACAGCAACTGGAGCTAAGGTATCGCAGGATTTCTGGAAAAAAAGAAAAGGACACATGAAAAATAAATATACTGCAGATGTGTACATGGTTCGATAAATGATAGGTCAGACTTTTGCATCCAACTCTCACGAAATCGTGTTGTAACACTTTGAATATTTTTTACAATAAAAATCTAGGACAATGTAATCGAGGGCATTGACAGTTTTATTGTAAATTGTGAAAAGTGGTATCGCGACTAACGAGAAAGAAGAGGTTTGTGCTTTAGTCTCCAGACCCGCCGTGTCAAATAACCAAAAAAGAACGTGTTACAACTTTTATAAAGTCAATTCGTAGATTAGAAATACAAGCAACATTTTTCAGTTGAAAAGTTTTTGACCAAAATATTGTTTTGCTAAATTGGGTATTCCAAAACGTCGTTACACCATACTTTTCACAAGGGGCGGGTCTTAAGGCTAATAAAGCTCTGTTGTCACAAGAACTCAAGGCGGCCGACAATGTGGTTTACTCCTTCCTTAGGGCCCACGTGAGAGATAAGGTAAACGCCAACAGCTCAGCTCAGGTTCTTTAAGCGCCGAAATAACATCGCTTTACATTTCCTACAAAGTTTGTTATTGTTGTCTTATATTCGGTTTATCTTTCACTAAAGTGTGGCGTATTGAGTTTGAATTGATTAGTAAATAATATAAAATGTCGAGTTTCAATTGTAGCACTTTGAGCGAAAGCCGTTCATTGAAGAACATGGCCCGCCGTTATTTTGTTTGTTAGAGACGTGTTTGGCGGTGTCTTTCGGCACTCTTCAAAATCAAAATTAATTTTGCAGCATCAACATTGATGTTGAAGGTAAAAGTTACGCCTTCAAAACTATCCTCAAAAATTCCACTGCTTCCTTTGACAAATATAGAATTTGAAAACTAGCAGGCATATGCATTTACTTTGGTGTATGCTTTTGTTATTTGTTTTTGATTACACCGTCTTCTTGGTAATTCGGAATCAAATGTTGACCGACTGGGCTCACCGATTATTTTCTCCGGGGAGAAAAGGAGAGGCGTAGCACTTTTTATGAACGAGATTAACGGGTTGTTGTTTTAGCAAACGACAGAACGGCACTGAACTCAAATGAATCAAATCTGATGCAGGAACAACAACTACGCCCGAAGAGCAAACTGTATTTCAATCTGTCCGGATTGTCGGGAGATTATCACCGCACCATCATTCACAATCCATACGTCTGAACAGGCATCGTCATTGTCATAAACCACAACAACGACATAATCAGCAGCAGTCCCAACAACAACAGATGACAAGTAACAAAATATTATCATAATTATCAGTGAAATGTTTAAAACAGAAACAGAATGAACGAGCACTACTCGAATTGGTACAATTAGACGCGATAGCTCCGCATTCCGCACTCCTCTCTCTCCCACCAACCCACCACACGATACAGTTCAGTCAGAGTCTGCATTATCAGTGCCAGTGCCCATAAGCAAATATTGTGGATGCTATACAGTGCGTTCCGAACTAATGTCAACTGAGGTTCAAGTGCCAGCCATGAAACCAAATGATTGTTGGAAATGGAAATTGGAAGTAATAAATAGAATGGTCGGTCCTAGATCATTCGAACGAATGTAAAAATCTGCTGTGTATCGCATTGAGGTAACACTCAAATAATTAAATGTGTTTAACTTGTGCGATGAAAAGCGGTCGACCGATTACGTTATTTAGTAACGCTTTAAGGACCGCCTTTCCATCGCTATTATTATCCACCTCTTACTATTACCAGATAATTCTGAGAGTAAAAGCCTGGAGTGAAACTTGAAACCTTCTTAGCTATTTAAATAAAAATTGGAGATTTTAATGCATCTCATCGTACAATAAAAGGACATTGTAGTGCTTTCGGCTGATTAAAATTAACTTTCTGAGTGTACTCGACTTCTGACAATTTTGTGTTTGTTTTTATTGCTTTGAAAATAAAACAAAAAACTTGCAAAATCAACGAGTATAGGAAACGTACATTTCGAGGCACTCATTTAAAATATTAACTACATTTGCCATTTAATTGAAATATTAAACAGTTTGGAACACTTTAAAAAATATATCGGAATTTTATTCATATTTCTCCATGTTTATCTTATTTCACAAATGTGTAAAAATAATTGGAATCAACATATTGCTAAAATAGACATTTTGAATAATTCTAATAGAAAGCGTAGGTGACATTTTAAGTAATATATAAACTAATTACGTTAAATTACTATTAATTATCAATTTAAATTAATTTTTAAATTATTATTAATTCAAATTATTTTCTAATGATATTGAAATGTTTGAAGAATAAGTGTTTGCGTTTTATTGGAAGAAAAAATACTTAGTAATACTTAATACTTAGGTATTGTTACGTTTCATTCATTCGCCTTCGCGATTTTCCCTTAAATTAATAATATGTTGTGAAAAAAGTGTCAAATAAACAACAAAACAACTAGTTGCATTTATTACTTGTAAATTTGAAGTTACAAGACTCTAGCTTATCACATGGCTTCAATCTTCTCTACCTTGTAATTATTGCATCATATAGCCCACTTAGGGCTGCAGCGATCGTATTCATGGGCACCCCAGTCCAGTTTCTCTTTGTACTTTTAAATCGTCAAAAAATGGGTATTAAAGCATTATTTTATGGCATTGTATATGGTTAAAAACAAACAAACGCTAGCGTGCATACTTGCCCATCTGTGATTTAAAGCAGCGCTTTGCAAAATAAAAAGAAGATAATTTAATGCGTTTAAATTGAATATGCTCTTCCTCTACCTCTGCGCACATAAGACCGTTACAGTATATACAGTTATATACAAGGTAGGGCAGGTTGGTCAAATTTTAAAAACATTTTTCTGAAGCTACATTCTAGCTACTCAGAACGTTTTCTCGGTAAGAATTTGTAAACTCTCAGTAAGTCAGTACCAAATTCAATATCAAGTGTCTGATGCCATTAAAATTGTTCTCCTTTTCATGAACTTTAATTCAAACAGAATTTTCAAATGATACAAATATATTAGTTACAACAATACATACACATACAAAAGCTGTGTATATGTTTTGGCATTACAAGGGTTCCATTAGAAAAAATTCTATTCAGGCGATTGCTATGACACACCTCGTAAATTATTGTACCATGCTTTAGCTATGTTTTTGTTTTAAAATGAATGAAGAAGTAGTTGAGTTCTATTTTCTTATTCTACTCATCAATGCCAAAAGCATTTACGGGAGAAAGACCCATTGATGCCCTCTTTACACAGTACAAACAGAATAAAGCAAACAAAAATATTATAAATAATATTTTTAATGTTATCGTAAAGGTAAGTACTCGCCCACAAATCCCCTTATCAGAATTAAGATGACATTTTTCTGATAAGAACACAAACGCATTGTTCTGATTTTATTGTAGACTATGATAAAAATTCATTTCAGCAGCTATAGTTCGTGCCGTTAAAGCGATTATTCGATCCTCTCTGAAATCTTAAAGTTACCAAATACTAATGACTGAAAAGAGTGAATTTGCTTAATTTAACTGTAAACCAATACCAATGCTGAGCAACAATGTGTTCTAGGCCAATTTCTCTTAGTTTTTTTTATTATTCATTAAGCTCTATTAAAATTAACTTTAATAACAATTTAAGACAACAATCGTGTTTAAAAAGTTTATATGAATTGCAAAGTGTAATGAAAAATACAATTTTCATTTTATCTTAAACAATCCCTTTATTTAATTCTGCTCGGCCCTGACTAATACCTTAGATGAACAAGTGTGCACGCTGGCGTTTGTTTCTCTTATTCCCTGCCATGATTGAAATATCAATAAACAGACATATTCGAATTATTTTTAACAATTGTTTCAAACAAATTGATTTTGGAAATTGGCAATTATACTAAAATTCTTTTAAGAATTTCTCATTCATTACATATTTTGCTCATCCAGGACTAATACAAACTCCCAAAGAAATTTGGCCATAAAATGCACTAAGAATCTCAGACTGTAAAATAAACGCTTCACCAAATGTTGATGTATGTCTTTTGTTTACTCAGATCGAATCAAGGGATAGATTTCGGCAGTTGTGTTACTGAGAGAAATACGTCCAATAAAATCTAGAAACTTCAACCACATTCGTTAGAGATATTTAGTCAATCAAATCAATATTTTTTTTTTAATTTTTTGCAAAAATTGCTTTAATCAGTGCTGCTCAAAAACAAGAGCCCGCTCTCCAGTCAATTTCCCTTTGTTTTTGGAAATCATCAACAAATCATTGTTAAATAAATATTTATTTCTTTATCGTTAATTATTAGCTTCACCAACACTTTTGCCAAACTTCATATTTAATTCTGTGTTCCCGTACTTTTTAGAAAGAGAAAGCATAGATGGGCAAAATAGTGAAATAGAAATTCTTGTGAGAAAATTAGTATGACTGTCCTGCATCGAATTTTAAGTTTTAACAAAAATACAATCAAAATTATCTTAAAAACTAATTTTTAGAAACAAATGTTGAAAATGATTTATCGTTATTGTATGTATGTCCGATAATGTTTATAATTTATTATTACCTTCATTAATACTTTTGGACAAACTTCATATTTAAAAAAAAAACAGTTGGAATAAACCGTAGAATACAAAAAAAAACAGAATATCAATTTTCTTCCTTAATGTTCTCTTTTGCAGACTCATCTGCTAGCACATGGTTTTGAGCAGAGCTGATGCTTGCCAATATATGCCAGAGAGTACGCTGATGAAAAACCAATATAAATCAGGAGTTACGGAGTGGAATATTTGAAATTATCTGCACTTTGGAATCATCTGAAAAAGTATTTATGCACGAATGTGACTGGCAGATTTACGTTAATTTAGAGAGTATTTTGGTGATTTAAAAATTGAAGTTATAAGATGAAATCATGGTAAAATTAAGAAGGTAACGTCTTGCAATCGTATGCTTGCAATATTTTCAACGACAACATCTCATTGTCAAAATGTCTATTTATCCATTTATTTAAATACACTACTCAGAGTATGTTTTCAATGAAGTAAATTTTGACAAGGTAAGTTACAGAAAAATGCAGAGCTGGATATAATAATTTAAAATAAGGTTACCTTGATTTAATTGTACCATGGATACAATTATGTTACGCAGTTAATTTATTTGAATCTCTTCACACCAACAACTACTGCATGTAATTCTCCACATTTCATTTGTTATTGTTTATCACTATTGTTCATGTTTATTTTCCTATTGTTATTGTAGTATCTCCTATCCCATGCTTCTTGCTTTGCCTATTAATTTTAGCTTTATAGTTATAATATTGTCATTTCGTTGAAATATTGTAGAACGTCCTGAATTGGTAATCTCAAAACTTCTATGTATAAATGAGTAACTAAACATACGAGTGTGCAGGAAGCCAGTCGGTCAATTTAGTATTGAATCGCGTATTGTAAACGCCAGGCAATGAAACAAAGCTGTGTGCTAAAAAAAGTGTCAGCTGATAAAGCAACACGGGGAGCGCAAGAAAAGGCTTTTAATTGCATATAAAATCGATAGATATATATTGGTTTTGTATGTCTGTGGTGTATCCCATCTTAACCTACGGATGTAGCTCGGAATGACATGAGTGGGAGCAGAAAAGATCAAAACCAGACAGTGCCGCCACCTTTGCAGATGAGTTGATGTTGGAGGAGATAGCAGGTGGCAAGTTGTGATCAGTCCTCTGATCCTAGCCTAGCAAAATGTGTTATTCCATTGACAGAGTCAGTAAGTTCTAACAAGAGGAGAACTGTGAGGTGGACTTTAACTCGTGGAATATGATGGAATAAAACTGACTGACATTTTATTCTTCTTTTTCAGAGCTAATCTACATGTATTTCTTCCATTCTTACTATGCCTTCTGTCCCATTCTCTTTGTTGATTTTAAAGAATTGTCACCTGAATTGACATATTTACCAGATTTCCGTTACAGTACTTTTAGCTTTACCAACTATTCAAACCTTTGTCATTTTTATTCGTTTTTACTATTATGATGCTGAAATATCCAACACGCACCCTTCTAGCTTCGCTCACAGTTTCGAATATTAATGGGTTTATATGGGGTTATATATACATGTAACAGCGGCGATGGTGCTAATAGCCATTCTTGTCAGGTTATTTTCTAATTGCATGCATTTAGAACTGCTCTTCAATACAATTTTGTCTTTTTTACAACGCCTATTCTATAACTTTAAATTAATGTGATTTGTCAAAATTGAGTCGAAGATAAACTTAGAATTGTAATAAATGAACCCTTGCCTCCCACACTTAGAAAGTATGCACTGAATCTGTTATGTGTATTCGTTACAGAACGTGGAACGGACATTACATTTCCTATGACGGGGAAAGGTTTTAATATCTATTTTTAAATTGAAATATTTTCATCCCCAAATCTAAGGATTACATCACGAATTCAGTATTCGGAAAATGTGTCTCCAAGAGGAAGTCAGGCGTTAAAACAAGAAAGATGCTTTTCTATTTCTCAAGAACATGAAGCCGAAATTAGAGCTACCGATTAAAAAGGGTGGCTGAAACCTCCATCTGGGAGATCTACAACAAAACCTTGGTCCTCATAACACCACATTTGACCAATATTTTTTTCATTAATAACGAAAATTACATTCAAATAAGTTAAAAGTGTGCTCAAACATTAAAATCACTCATCATTTTGATAGGGTTTCTATATGTAGGAATTGAATAATTGCTGTCAAAACAAGTTCGTATGACACCACCAATAGAGAGAGAGTCTGAGGGGTCCTCAGAAAAACTAAAAGGTTTATTATTTGTAATGCCAATCTTTACAGCCCACATTTGTGTTACCTCCGTTTCGTTCTCTTTCGGTTTGTATTATTTATGTTATATCGATTCTTTTGCAATGTGAAATAAATCAAAACTAGTGCGTATCTTGCACGCGTCCATGCGTCCCCAATAGTATTACTTGGCAATAAACAAATCTAAATGTTGTACAATCAACTGCTCACAAACCCTTGAATACACATGGATGCATTTGCATGCAATAGATACATATGCGTGTATGTGTGTATGGATGTCTTACAAGCTATACATAGAACATGTGCGAGTTATTGCCTAGAATGCAATTTTCGAATTCACTGCATCGCGTCGAGATGAGAGAGTCAATTGGCCGACACCTGTGACAATGTACCTTTTCATTATTGGTAGACATTTCCGCTGCGTATTTTGTCGATTACAACTTCCGACTGGAGGAAAGGGTGGATGAAGACGTATAGGTGCTTTTGACCCTCCTTGTTGATTTAATTGTATTTTTATTATTGGACTAGGTATGACGCGTCTTTGCCGTTTCCATAGCCGACACTTGGGCACATTCTGCACTCAAACGCACACGACGAGACGAAACTAAACTGATATTTTGCCGAATAACCTTAAACGATTTTACGTAATTTTTGATGATTTTTCTAGCTTCCTTCTTTTTCCTCTTCCCAATTTAGGTAGCAAAAAGTTTCACTTGTTTGACGTTTCCGCTATGCACATTACACTTGAACTTTGTGGTGGCTCGACATTGAAGATTTGTGGCAATCGAATCCACTAATTTTAGATTGCTCGCTACTGACCACAAAATGAAAAAAGAAATTTAACCGCACTTATATTTTGTTATCCGTTATTTGTCGGATCAATACGATGGGGGTAATTCGCGTATACCGTTTTGCCGCAACTAAACTGCTTGCAGTTGAATCGTAATGTGTATAGTATATCCTTTCAAAGGAAGAATGACAAGACTAACAAGTGTGTTTGTATTTGAAATTTCGAACGAAACAAGGACTCACAGCTAACTTCACTTTCCAGGCATGCGCAATAATGTTGCACCTTAGACAAAGACGAACATGATACGATGTAACGATTTCATGTTATGCTGGAAGGATTTGAATGAAATAATCGCGGACTAGTTACACCTAGCAATCTAAAACAAAAACCACCGTGCTCAGAACACATAGACAATTCATAGGAAACTTTGGAACAAATGCATAAGTATTTATCGTTTACACATAGTCACTTCTTTGCAAAATTGTAGTATCGTAGCTTGTATGTGCTCTTTGATGGATTCTACAAGCCTGCAAACTCCTACAGACCTTTTTATTTCAAAATTTCATTACGATTTGCTTCCTAAAAATTTTTTTTTTGCCAAACTTTTTCTTACTCCCTCTACCCCTTACGTTTACGTTTAAATTTGGATAACATCCATTAAAATCCGTCAAAAAAACTGCTGTTTCGAGCAGCATTTGCTTGTGTTCCCCCCACTATGTCTACAGGTTAAAATGTATTCGTCGGTTTGTCGACCGATTTACACACTCAACATATGGTTTGATGTCGATCAAAAGAATTTTGATTTTGAAAATATGCCATGGGAGTTTATTTACGATTTTGTCATCTAAAAATAGAACGGCCCTTATTTTAGAAAACTATTGTATTTAAAACAACCATTTTTTAATTCAAGCGCAAACGCATATTTTGGGCCCAAATCCAATGTTTGGAATATTTGCTGAATTGGATTCATTCGAATTGGCAGGCACGTGCATGCAAGAAGCATGATAGAGAGTGAAACCTCTACACATGAAACCAGTAAGGAAATGCTAAAGTCGGGCTGGGCCGACTCTATGATATCCTACACCACTTTGTATACATAGTAGAGCTAAATATAACAAATAAACTTTTTTAAGGAATTTATTAATTTAGAATTAAAACATACCAACTGTGATCGTTAAAGCAGTTATAATACGAAGCCGAAAGGAACGACTTTAGCATTTCCTTACTGGTTTCATGTGTAGAGGTTTCACTCTCTATCATGCTTCTTGACGAAGGCGTATGTATCTGAACCGATATTCCCCAAAATCCATCTAATTTGATATATATGGCAGCTATATCCAAATCTGAACCGATCTCGATAAATTTTGGCTATATATATATATATATATATATATATATATATATATATATATATATATATATATATATATATTATATTAAGTAGAATACGATAGAAGCCTGCCATATATATATATATATATATATATATATATATATATATATATATATATATATATATATATATATATATGGCAGGCTTCTATCGTATTCTACTTAATTTGACAAAGGCGTATGTATCTGAACCGATATTCCCCAAAATCCATCTAATTTGATATATATGGCAGCTATATCCAAATCTGAACCGATCTCGATAAATTTTGGCTAAGGTATTCCTATGCTGCATCTGTTGACACCAAATATCGTTGTTATGGAGAGTATATTACGGGTGTGATTGAGTAAAATACAAAATCGGATGAAACATATATATCTGAACCGATTTTCACTAAATTTGATACACTTTCTTCCAGGATAAATTTGTTGGTATGTGCCAAAATCCATTTAATTCGGGCTTATATTATATATTTTGTGCGCAATAAACTTGAAATCCAGTGAAGATATGTGAGAGCTATATCCAAATCTGAACCGACCTTTTTTCTGAGCTTTATTTCACATATATTTCTCATAATATCATTGTTACGGAGTGCTATTATGGCTGGATTAGAAATTTTACTATATCTGAACAAATATAGCTATATGTTAACCGATTTCCACCAAATTTGGCGCACTTGTTATTAGGCTCAATTTCATTATATATCAATCTATTTGGACTAAAATTATACATTCTGTGCACAAAAAGGCAAATCCGGCGAAGATATATATGAGGGTTTATCTAAATTTTGACCGATTATCTCTAATTTCAAAAATACGTGGACAGACGAACGGTCGGACCGACATGCATAAATGGACTCAAAATGCGCTTCTATGCAGATCATTAAAAGGAACTATGGGTCTAACGCGCTTCCTCCTCTATGTTACAAACAAGTGCCCAAAATTATCGTGTCTAAAATTATCAGCCATTCCTGAAACACAGTTAGTGTAAAATCGGCTTCTCCGATTGCTATCAAATGAATTCGATTTCGAGCTTATGTCGATTAATCGATAACTAGAACGTCGATATATTTATATTCTGTTCACGTCAACAGTTGTTTCTAATCATTATTCGGTTACCTTTATCACCTTACTACCTTACCGGACTCCAAAATATATCAAAAAAGAAAAAAAAAACAAATATCGCAAATTATAGTACATATTGCATATTCCAATTATTTCAATAAAAGCTGGCATGGGGAATAATTGCTGGATTCGTTTTCAAACATTGTGGGAACAATGATTACGATTATATGAAGTAAAATATGATGTTGAAGTTTTGCTGTGCAAAGAAAACAACGGTTAAGCAGGCAGAGTAACAAACAAAAACAACAACAATAAATAAAATACACAATAGCTTTTATAAGTTAATGAGTAATACAACAATTCGGCTAACAAATACCCTAAGACGAGGAAGGTGCAAAAAAATAAAAGATACCTGAATAGCCATTTGCTAACATATGTTTATACCCGAGCGAGTTGCGAGTTGGCTCTTTTTCCATAGTCGAGAAATTCTTGAAGACAACTGTTGGTGGTAGTAAGGCGAAATATGGGACAGACACGCTACGAATCGCACAAATATGCCCGCCTTAATGGGTTGGAAGCGTCAACAAGGACGTACAATGATGATGACCAGGAGGAAATTGTTTTGAATGACGAGGGGGACAGGGTCAGGTTCGGACTGGAGAGTGACGAAGATGTAGACCAGCAAACACAAGACAATGGTTATTTGACAACGCGCGGTAGCTCCTTGACAAACTCCTCTACGACAGCAACATTAAAAGATCGCCTCAACGATTCTCGCTTGATGCAGATGGCTATTTGTTCCTTGGCGACCATATTACTTTATTTATTTTTGTCCATATGTCTGACATTTTATCAAAAAGGTAAATTAAAGTATTTTACAAGGATTCGCTGATCTGATTATATTTTGCAATTTCAGCTTTAATTAGGGAACTTAAATTTCCGTTAAGTATTGTAACTTACCATTTGGTGGTGAAGCTACTTATAGCGTGCTTCATACGTGCCATTTACAAATGCGTTGTTGGGAAGTCCAGAATTCAACTGGATTTTCGGACATCTGTTCGGAAGATGGGTCCCACCGGTTTAGCGAGCGGCATTGATATTGGGTTTTCAAACTGGGGATTGGAATTGGTACCGATTTCATTGTACACAATGACCAAGTCTTCAACCATTGTGTTCATATTAATATTTGCCATACTGTTGGGATTGGAAAAGAAGGTAAATGTGCTTGGTACTGGACAACAAGAACTTAAATTTGAAGCTTTTTGTTACAGAGTTGGTCACTGGTTTTTATTGTTTCGCTGATATCGTTGGGCCTCTTTATGTTTACCTACAAATCAACGCAATTCCATACGTTGGGATTTATATTTATTTTAGTAGCCTCCCTCAGTGGCGGTGTACGATGGAGTTTAGCCCAATTTCTAATGCAAAAGTCTAAGCTTGGCCTGCACAATCCAATAGATATGATTTATCACATGCAACCGTGGATGATATTAGCTCTTTTGCCATTTGTGATCATTTTTGAAGGTAATGGTGTCGGACAGAATATGTAAGAAATATATATGTATTGAATTTTTCAGGCAAGCCTTTCTTTGGAGTCATGGATAAATTGAGTGAATTTCCCGGCACGGAAATAAATATGGTTATTTTGAAAATAACATTCGGTGCAGCAATGGCTTTCTGTATGGAAGTTGCAGAATTTTTGGTATTGGTTAAAACTTCCAGTTTAACACTATCGATAGCTGGCATTTTCAAGGTATTTTTTATGATTAAGAAACACAATAATTTGCTGACTAGTTCCTTTTGACTTCATCTTATACTGATCGCCCTATTTTTAATATTACACTTCTTTCCACTTCTCATATTCCAATCATAGGATATATTCCAACTAGCCTTGGCCGTCGCATACAATGGAGACGAGCTGACTTTGGTCAACTGCTTGGGCCTTATAGTATGTCTAGCGGGTATATCATGCCATATTCTACACAAATATTCGATGCTTACAAGAAATGAATTAAATTTGTCAGCGGGTGAAGACGATGATTCTTTTGACTTGCAGTGCAGCGACGGCACGGGAAGTGTTGCATTTTCAGCTGGCCATAGCAACGTTGCACACACAAGTGGTATCATTAATTCGGATTTTAATGAAGGTGGAAAGAAGCATTCTTCACTAACTGTTCCACTTTTGGAGGAAACGGATTCCGACGACGATGCACATGGCTCGCCGAATAAAGATAATTCCTCAGATGTCATATTCGATATACTAAAACGGAGAGATAATCAACGGTGAACATATAGTAAAAATTCAGATTGCTGACATTGTTGTTAAAGTACCATTCCAAAAATATTTTTTTAAGCTGTAGATAGAATTTGAAATCTAATGCATACGTATTTTCATTTGATTAAGAAATTCTTACACAAGACAGCCCCAATTATTAATTAAAATTGTTGTTAAGAGTATTTTTATACATGTTACATTTTCCTTCAAAACGTAAAATGATAAGATTAACAACCCCTGTATAGCCGTATCTCAAGGAAAATCCAGGCGTTAGTCTTCTCTTGCTGGCAAAAGTTTTGGTTGCACGCAATCCATGGATGCGGAAAAACGGCTCAGAAAAATTAAATGCGTTTTTTTAAACCTAACTTTGAAGGCTTATAGCAATCAAACCTTTTGGTAGCAAGAGAAGAAAAACGCATGAGGTTGCCCCCGGAAAACCATGTTAAATGGGCCTTGATGAAACATATGGGGTAAGCTCAAAAGACTTAAATGTGTATTTTCGTTTTTTTTTACTTACAATTGAATGTGAATATTTTTTTAAAACTTTAAGGCAATCTTTAAGATATGATACAGAATATATATTTCCAAGTTTATTTAAATTTGCTAGCAATTGTTTTTGCAACAAAAATTGTGAAAAATATATTCAAAGTTTAAAAAGTTTCCTGAAACTAAGGTGGAATTGCATAACAGCATTTTTGTTGAAACAATAATTCGAATTCGGCTCCGGCAGTTCTGTACTCTCCCGACGTTTATGCGCGTTCATCTTTAGGCTATACTTTATCAAGGGAATTGTTCTGAAAAAATAATCATTGAATACATGATGCTAAATACTTCGTATCTCCAGCTGTTACATAGTGATGTTCCTTAAGCAGAGACTTTTATTTATTTTTCTTTTGCCCTTTTTTAAAAGTGCCAATAGTAAGCATTTCTACCTTTTGTAGTTTTGTACTGAATATTCTGTGCAAGAATTAATGGTGCTTATCTTGTACCGATATAATAATTTGTAATGCGTTTATTAAAAAAATTGTATTATTTTTATCTAAACTTGCCCAAGTGCATGTGAGAATTGTTTATTTTTTTTTTTCTTGTTAATAATTTAATGTTCGATCTGTAAAAACTCTGTGTAATTGATGTATTTTAAATAATAAATGATAAATAGTTATAGAATATAAATCTGAATATAACTCTGGTTAACTATGGTTATATATCACATCACAAGATTGTAATGACATAATCGTTCTAACCACAACCACATGTACAGTCCTAGAAAGATAATTTCCAAAAGTTTCCTTTTTTAAGAAAAATATTTTATTTACAAAGTAGTTTGATAGTAACTGTTTTTTTTTTTTACTGCAATTCAATTTTGGAAAATTTACCACAAAGTAAATATTATTTTAACATAAACAAAAATTCCATTTTTATTAAAACGTAAAAAGAAAGCGATACATAAAGGATTAGAAAAGTCGTCTTCTCTTCGACAAAAGTGGGTACTCCAAACAATGATACGGTTCATCTTCATCCTCGTCTGTGTCAGCAACTTGCCCACCTTCACAATTGTAAATGTCGTCATCAGTATCAGATTTCATGGACTTTGTATCATTACCGGATACAATGCCAGAATCCGGACTATCACATAAAATACTGGCGGCAAACGAGTCGACACTTGTTATAGGCGTATTTGGCGTTTGTGTGTTATGTAATTTGTCATTACATTGTTGCAAACGGTAAATAGCTAAAATAGCTTCAACAAATGGTGAAATTACATCAGCCGTACATTCGGTTAAATTTATTAAATATGGGGTCCATACGGGGAAAACTCCGTTCATTTGTCTCACCGCGGCTATGCAAGCTGATGCAATTATCGAAGGACGAGCATTGACAAACTTGTAATCTGCAAACAAAAGACATTGAATTTAGCATCAAACGATGGGTGTCTACGTCACACTGTATGTATGATTGGTTATGTGCGTATACTCCAGAATCTCACAAACTAGAACGCTCACAATTATGAATCTACGCTCAACGTCCTACTCTCAACAGTTTTATTTATTTTTCTTACACAATACAATTACTGCAAAATATAGATTTCATGTAATTCTCTCAATTGTTCTTCCATTGAACATTTTTCACAACATTATGCACTAATAATGGCAAGTGCTAAGAGTCTTGCAATTTTTTTATGTTTTGCCAAGTCGATCACTTTAATCAGAACTTGTATGCTTTGGACCAATATATTTCACACTTTATATAATACCTTTGTACGAAAAATACCAGAATTACATTATCCTATATTAAAACTGATATAGAAATTGATACAGAAGTAGAAATATTTATTTTACCCTGTTTTCACAAAGTTTATGTATTGGGAAAAATCCCCAAAATATGAATGAAATATTGGGGTTTCTCCACAAAATTGAATTCATGATAGAGGGACAATGCTGTTTTATCCCAAAATAACACATTTTGTTGTCCGACAACGTGGAAAATACAAATGCATTTTTGTTGCATCTAAATTTCAAATAATTTCAAATTATTTTTTTTTAATCCAAAACAATACACTCACATATACAAACTGTGTATATATTTTGACAGAATATGGGCACCAAAATATGTTGACATTTCCAGAAATGTTATATGATTTTGATGTTATTTGTGTTTAATAATTTCGGACATAACATGCTAACCATTTGAGTTGACTCAGGCTGACATAGGTAAACAGTCGTAGAATTTTATGCTGATCAAAAGCTCATATCCCGTGTTGGGTCCTAAAAGATTATTTCTATGAATTACAAACAGCATCACACCCTATTATTTTTCCTAATATTGACTAAGAATGTACATATCATTTCATAGAAATCAAGACATATGCAAATGTCCACTAATTTGGAAGGACAATAAATTTGTCTAACAATCGGCCCTATTGTCGAGGCGACAATAATGATATTAGGGTTTTCATTTTTTGTCAATAGTGAAAAATGATTGCTACTCGGCCCTATTGTGGTTGTCGTCGGCTTCACAAAATGAAGTCGAGGCGACAATAATGATATTAGGGTTGTCGTTTTTGGTCGATAGCGACAAATGAATGCTATTATAATTGTCGTTACAACAGTCGACGTGAAGTCGATTTTTAAGAAATCTGTCGCGGTAAAAAATTGAGACGACATTGTATTTTTTAGTCGACGTTGATATTGTAACTTTTTTGTATTTTTTGTATATTTGCCCATGGAAATAACAACAGCAAAACAAATTGAAATATTTGTTTCTGAATTGGAAAAAACACATATTAGGCAAAAGGGTTTACCAAAGATCATTTTCCAGCTAATTTTAATTGGATTGGAGATCCATTGCTACAAAATTAAATGTAAACGGGTCACCGATTAGAGACTCCGATGGCTGGCAAAAAGTATGTTAAAATTAGTTAATTTTCTAAAGTTCTAGGTTTGGAAAGATTTAAAATTTAAAGCTAAAAAACAATTGTGCACAATAAGGGTGAAGCCAGAACCACTGGAGGTGGTATTTTTAAGCAAATGACTTTGTCGCTTATCCATTTTTTCACTATATCTTTTATTTTTCCGAAAGAGACGAAATTAGAATTCAAAATACAAACTAATGTTTATCTTACTTTGTCAATAACAAGGAAGTGTTGCCAATGCTTTTTTTATTGTTGCCAACTCTTATTTTAAACTGTCGATGTCGCTTCCATGCCTTACCATTTTTGAATCGAAGCGACGGCGAGGGCGACTTATACATAAAGTCGACGACGAATATAGAAACGACAACCGTAATTGGGCCGAATATGAAATGAATTTCTATTCCTAACATGTGAATTCGTATACAAATTCTGTCAAATAGAATTCAATCGAAAAAGATAAATCTTAACAGTTGTAATTTTTACAATTTCGGAAATATTTGTTTCAAATATATAGTAAGATATATTTACGTTCTTCCATATTTCTTACGGTGTATTCACAAAAATATCCGACAGCACCTTCCTCGTCGACTGCTCGAATTAAACTAAATATTCTCCCAAATCATTTTATTTATTTATATTCAATTAACACAGTTACCTAGCCCATAGGGCCATGGACGGTTCCAAAAACTTCTATACATAACTAATCTAAATTCAAAACAATTTATTTTTTACAATTGTGTTGGTGAACACACAGACATCCAATGGGATACTCTTTGCTAGCCTTGTTAATACCAAGGCCTACATAAGGTCGGCCAGGAAGACTACTTTTGACAACGTTTTGACAATAAACTTAGTAGTTTTTGCACTATTGTGATTTGAATTTCAAATTACAATTTTTTTTTTGACAACAAACTTGGTTGACAGTTGGGCTTTCTGGCCGACCTTATGTAGGCCTTGTTATATACCTTCATTGTCAATATTATATTTTGAATTACTTCTTAGATATATTCACGTTATGCGCCGATTTGACCACATTCCTCATATGCAAACCACAACGTTTTCTATATAAATCTATATTTGTTTAACATTTTCCGGTTTCCAACGAGATCGACTTGCGTTCTCTCAATACACTTGGAACATGCAAATATTTTTCCACATTTTCTACATCTCAGTACGAAAGATCTTTCATAGTTTGTTCCGCACAAATCTGGAATCAGCTTCCAGCTGAGCTAATGTGGCGTTTCCACTGCACTTGATTCGCTCTCTATTCGTTGTTTGACCCTTAACTATGAAAAAACTACCTAATTCTTCACACAAAATTTCCTGAGCGAACACTCATATTTGTACGTTGTTCAAATCAAATCACTCTCAGAACAACGAAAAAATATGTCCCATCCCTAACAAATGAGAGCATTTATCGAAAAAATAAATTATGACATTTAAAAATTAAAAATAGAAAAATTTAATGAAATTTTAAAAATTTTTGGGAAGACTGAAAATTATGAATGAAAACTATAATGTTGAATGACGTATGTACATTCAAACGAAAGTACATTTTGTTTTCTCTCTCATTCGAGGTACGCATTTTATCCACGAGTTGAAATTTCCACAGAAAACTGCAAACAAAAGAGGCAATATTTTCAAAAACTTTGTATCGGCAGAAAAAATGTTTGACAAGTGTCTCTCCAGCAAAATTTAAAAATAGAAAAATACAAAAATATGTTCAAAATGTCAACATTTACACAAAAAGTTGAAAACGTGAATGAAAATTATAAAATTAATGATATAATAAATCTTTGGGAGAAAAACAATCATTTCTTCTATTCATATTAGTGAGAATTTCATGTATTTTCGTATAAATTCCCATTAAAATCAACAAACAAAATTTTTGAAAAAAGGAATTATTTTACTATGAATTACGAATCGTGCCGTATGAACGGGTTAATTCGTGTACATAATTCTGAGAGCGAACAACGTTGTTCGGTTTCCAATGGAACATTTATCGTTCCCTCTGAAACTTAATACAACGCTATTCCATAAATTTCATTCTAATCCCGTATTTATTGGAGGTAGTAACATAAGAGAAAACTACCACAAAGCAACTTTTGTTGATATGTCAAACTTGTAAGCGAGGCGAATCTATTTGACATATAAAATTTGAAGCAAATTGTTTTGCATCAATCAGATCAGGTTTTGTATGAACTTTTTGTGACATGTAATTGTGGAAATTTACAAAAGCTTCAGCCCCAGACAGCGGAATTTTTCAAGACCCAACTCGTGAAATTTGAAAGAATCTGGAGTTCTTTACAACATCAAATCCTGGATTTTCAAAAATTTGCGGGAAATTTCCATTGATTTTTAAAGAACTACTCCATGAAGTAATCATTAATTTCTTATGATTTAGTATGGCCTCAGAATTATTGTTTTTCAAAAGAATCGAGTTGTTTATTTAATGTCTTCAAGAATTCAATTCAGAGGCATTTAAGATATAGAGAAACCCTGACCGCCAATATGTCTTTAATTTGATAATAGTTAAATAAACAATCTTAACCTTGGTATCATAAAAATGCAGAATATTACACTAATTGTTTCTATCTCAAATTGGATTTTATAAAAATGATACGTTCGCCATTAATAATATGGGAATTTTTTTATCGGGGAGCAGAGTCGTTTGTGCTAAATTTTCTTCGGTGAAACGGTTTCGAAACGGTACTCACACGGTAAAGCAATTACCTCTTGAAAGCTCTGAAACTTATATGTCATAAATTGTGGCCTTAAATAATGAACCGACCGAACCAATACGGATTTCAACGAAAAGACCCAGAGTCCAAAACTATTATTTCGATGAGGCACATGTTGGCCGTACCAAAAGGTATATACCCCATGTAGCCATTTGGCTGAGGGTATACGCAATTCTAAGTTTATTTATTGTTACTGTTTGAAGTTTCAATTTTTTGTTTCTCTATGGCGAATTCAAATTACAACAATTTTTTTGAGATATCAAATTGATACCAGCTGGCGTGAAAGGGTTACCTTGTAATTCTACCATGATTGCCTCCCTCAAAGTTTAAGCCATGCTAGAAGAATACAGGTTGTCGCATCGACACAGCTGCTGGGACGATGAACTGTCAAACCGATTTTGGAATTGAAAATGTTGAATAAAAAATTATTAAAAATTGTTGAAAAATGCATATTTTAACAACCTCTGATTTGCGTCGTATAAAAAACATTTAAAAATCCACTATTTTTCATAAATCATTTTAAAATTTTTGACATATCAATGTTCCCAAGCGTTGATGCATCCACCAATATTCTTCTACTATGGTTTAAGCACAAAACTGATATTTACGTTAAGTGACAAGGTAGTTTGACAATTGTTTATTATTATTATTATTATTTTTTTTAGAAGACTTTAAAAACGAAGTAGTGTTCATTACAATACACTAGAAAATGTTACAAGCTTTAATTTGTTTAATGTGTCGCATAATTAATACAAACTGTTGACATTGACGACTTGGCAAATGAGACTACCTATTAAAGGGCTGCAAATGCGACATATCTCTTTTTATGCCATGTAGAGAAAAAGCTCGTCATGTTATGCCCTGTTTGATCCAAGGCATAACAGTACGTGACAACCAAACAAATGCTCGATGTCTCGTCATGTCGGTCAGATTCAAACCCATCGTCATAACATGCATTGACCAATAAATGAGGATGTTGAAGAGTGTGTCGTACAAATGTGTTCTTTTAAAAAATAGCAACCACATGATACAATTATCAAGGAAAACAGGCATTCACATAATGTGGAGGGAAACAAACGCTACCTGCTTTTAAGATTGCGCTAGTAAAAGTAATAATGTTCCGACACATTTCCTTAATAAAAAACACATTTGATTTTTTATTTTGTATTGAGGAATACTACACATTTTTGTTCTGTTCCAGAACTGCAAGAATGTGCAAGATGTTATCGACAAAATTTCAAAACTAGTGAATTCTTGCGGGTTCGATAACAGAGCATTTGTCGAATGTATACTTCTGGTATAAATTAAAAAGAAATCTACTTTAATTCAGTTTAAATAAAATTTCAATATAATAAATTTACTTCCCATTTATCTACTGTTTTATGATCAGAATTTTATAAAGATGCCAACATAATAGAATTTTCAGCATATTTTCGTAATTAAGAATTGAAACATTTTTATTCATTGAGTGTCAGATCTCTGTCCAAAATTACAAGAGTTCACAGGTTTCAAAGAAAAATATGAAATTGTACTTCATTTTATATTCCCAAATAGGTTTATTGCATCACAATAACGTACACACAAACTCTACTCTACCATCGGAGTAACGCACACTCTACTCAAGTGTGTAGGGTTTGAGAACACCCTGCAAATGGTCGTGTCGATCATGCCACGATCGAACCTTTGACAGTAACAGACATGAATCAAAATTGGGGTTGTTGTTTGGTGCCAATGTCGACCAAATACACATGATTGAGTAGACAAAGTCAGTGTGTCGAAAATAACACAGTTCGTACAATTCGTCTTGTGCTATCCTTCACTACCTACCTCTTGAATTCTGTCATGGTAGGACTACTCAACATAATAATTTAAATGTCATAAAGGGATGCATACTCACAGTTCAAAGTAACATCTATTAGAACAAAAAAGTGTTTACTGAGCGTGGCAAGCATTTCTTCGTACGTTCTATAGGGACAAGATGAACAAACCATGGTGTGTTGTATTATATTATTTTCCGAACTTTGCACTTGATGATTTTCGTAACGATTCGAAACCATTTCGTTATTCCAATGATTAAAAAATGTATGAAAATCCTGTAGCGTGAGAAAGGTATTGGCAAAATACTCAGCAAATGTAGCGGCAGTTGGTCGTATTACGTTGAAGTTGAATGTGCTCAGCACTTTGCGTTCAACGTTTCTGAATTCTTGCAAATTGTAATTTTTCTCCGCCAATTTGTTCAGATCACAGAATTTTGGCATATCCATATCAGCCTCTTCAATTTTGGCTGCGATCATTAGACATGTAATCGCGGTTAGATTTAGTTTGTCGGGACGTATCGTATATTTATCCATAAAACAATCTAAAAAGTATATGGCTGAAATTGAAAAAAAACACTTGATTTAGAACCGTGCATCAAGTTTGATCTTTGCACACTGGGACTAATTTTGTAGAAACTAACTAAAAAATTACCGAGATGAAGAGTTGTTCTCGATAGTTTATTTTTCTCCACCGCATCCATTATGAGATGTAGCAACATCGGTCTATAGTCGATCTGTGGTGAACGAAAGTATATGGTGTGACGTCTGAGCTCCGTCTCCCTCAGGGTCTGGAAGATATCATCTGAGTAATCGCATATCCAGTGCGATTTCTGCAAACGACCCTAAAAAGATGGCCGTCAATAAAATCATTTCTAAGCAATAACACCAAGTTACCTCATCAAAATTGGAATATGATGCATTATAAGATCTTATAACTGGAATAACTGGAGACCTAAATTCAATGCGATTCGGAGTGGGAAAGCTAGAAACAAATTATAATCAGTACCAGTTCTAATAGCTAAATTCCACAAAAATACATTTCACTATGAACATTAAATGGGTCGTACGTCCAGTTGGGTCCACAGCCGTTTTTATTTGCATCACCAAACATTTTATTTACATTATTTTCATTCTAAAACAAAAACTCCTTCGAATGTAAGCTTTGACAACTAACGGTTCTTAATAGAAATCAGTTGCTAAAAAGGGTATTGGTCGGTGCCTACTGCTACTGTTGCAAAGATGCAAAATACGGGCATTTAAAATTCAAAAGTTATTTTCAAGGTATATTGATTGGGTGGTGTCATCGCAAGCATGGTACTATGAAAAGGTAATGTAGAGCTGAACACAATGTTCTTCTAAGTTTGCCCGACTTCTGCCAGTTTGTGTTTGTTTTATTGTTATGAAAAATAAACAAAAAAATATTTTCAAAAAACTACAAGATATAACGTACATTGCGTGGCGCGCATTTAGAGATTAACCAGCTTTGCAATTTAATTGAAAGAGTGAACATTTAAATCATATTTTTAACGCTGTTTTATCTTCTTATTATAGTACTTCTAAGCCCCATAGTAGAATTATATAGGTGACAGAAAGTGTTGCTGTACAAAAAACGTAACAACAACCATATACAAATTTGTTTTTGTACGTAATACAAGTGTCAGAGATAAATGTCCAAAAATGCAAACAAAACAATTAATTTAAAATAAATTATTTTATTTTCAAAAATGGATTTTTTTAAATATAAAATTCTTAAATTCTTATGCTTGCATATCATTCCCCTGTGGTCAAAATCTCTGAACTGTAGGTCCTCTCTACATTTAAGGCAATCTCTAGAAAATCGTGAAAAAATCAACAACCCTTTCAAATTGAAATAAACTGCATATATTCATAATATATTCTGCATAATATACGACTGTATTACCTAATGTGGCGTAGCTGTTCCTTAACCGCGTAAAAACGTGTCCACTCCATCGCCGTTTTGTTAAGTATAAAAGCGAATTTTTTATTAGGCAAAAATATGTTCACATCGCCCTGCAGCGAAATTGTATATCAAAAAGTGGAATTAAATCACAAAAATACAATATATAATTTCACACTGGTAGTACTATAGAATTAAATCAGATGGGTTTTGCTGCTACCTGTAAATCATTATCATTAAGGTTGGTTCGCGTAGCCGGAGCTTGACATGCCGCGAAGAAGGAAATCGCAAGCTATTAAAAAAGGCATACGTTTTAGCAAAAACGAGTATAATTATTAGAAAACAAAGACGCGTAACAATACAGAACATTTCAATTAAGATCTAAATTAAGAAAGGAAACAACATTTCTAATTAGTATTTTTTCTTTTTGACTATTTTCATAAATAAAACCATTCCAATAAATGTTACTATTACAAACACAATCATTAACCACATCCAACACTTCCACGCATTGCGCGAATGGTCCTCTAGTTTTTCAGTTTCTTTATTTAAGGCACTTATATTTCGATCCGTCATCCCGGCTGATCTTGACATCATTTCAGTGTCCTTTCTTATGATTTTATTGGCCGTCTCCGTCTGTTCCTTTAAATTTCTTGTTAGTGATAACATATGCTCTGTAATTTTCTCCTGATTATCACGTATAAATTTCACAGCTTCCCCCTGATCACCGGTGTTATCCTCTAACGGTTTCCTTCTTCTTAAAGAATCGTCCTGCAACAATTCTTTCCGAAGCTCTACATATTGTCTGGTCTGATTCAATTGATTGACTTCCTTCAAAGCTTCATCGCCAGTCTCAACAGCTGTTTTGAGATGTCCAGATATTCTCTTCCTATTCCCCGATATTGGACTGTCGATGTAATTCGTCAACATTTTTAAATGTTGAACTCGTTTGCTATAATCCGGAATCTTCTCATTGCTGTATGAACTGCAAAGATAGTTTTTATTATACCTGAGCGGACAGTTATTATACCGTAAGATACCTACTCTTCCATGCCTCCGAGCTCTTCAATCATAGTGTCTAAGGACTTAATGAATTTCTTTAGACGCCAATAGTTCACTTCATCTTTGGCCAGTTCCTCGCAATTTGCGAGCAAGGTCCGAATGTTTACATTCAATTTCGTCGCTTGCATTAGAAAATCGTTTGCCAACAAGTCCGCACAAGAATGAACATCTAATAATGAAAAAGAAAAAACGAAACAAAGCAAAAATGCGTGGTAAAGAAGAAATCAAAGCAAAACAAAGTCAAAGACATAAATACGTAAAGACTAGACAAGAAGAATTTTCCAATAATAGTGTAAATTATGGTTATAGAGGGCTACAAATTTGACTGGAAAAAGTGCATTTTTCAAAGCCCTCTCAGCAAAAAACTTAACAGCAATGTAAAAAATCTTTTGAAGAAAAGAGTTTTCTCGTTTTGTGAAAATGCTTCATACAAAATGCTTGTACAAAAAGGTAAACAATTATTTTGACAGCAACGTGGCAGAATGAGGGATTTGCAATCACAATTATATTTCTTGTTGTGAATTACACGACTGTTCAGTGGTCCCATGGCAGAAGAATACAGGTAGATGCATCAACGCTTGGGAGCATTAAATAAATTTCAAAAGTTTTTTCAAATATAAGTAGATTTTTATATGTTTTCTTATACTACGTCATTCGAAGGCTATTATAATTCGCGTTTTTCAACAATTTTTACAAATTTAAATAATTTTTCATTCAACATATTCAATTCCAAAATTGGTTTGACAGTTCATAGTCCCAGCAGCTGTGTCGACGCGTCTACCTATATTCTTCTACCATGAGTGGTCCTTTATTCTGACAGTATAGTTGTATTTCAATCACAATGGTGGATTTTTGTGAATTGCATTAAATAATCTTTCATACGAAATCTGTAATTAACCAATCACAATAAATGTGACTACAGAAAACATTCGTTAAATTTATTTTGATTGGCCAATTATCAGGGATTTTTCTTGTTTATGCGCTCCAAATGTCGGGATGGGTGAACTCCTTCCGTTCGAAGAATGTGTACTTCACGTATATTCATTTTATTTTTCAGATATGCTGATATGTCTTTGCCTTAGATGTTGGCAATTACATGAGTAGTGTGTTCTTTACTGAGTGTTTTCAACCGTTAGGCTGGAAATACATAAAGAGCATATTTGGCTGGCTTAAGTCATCGACTGGCCTCTTCGTAGATGGAATATTTTTTCCAAACGAGACGATAAACAATCCATTTTTTACAACATTTTCATATGAAAAGGAATTTGCTTTGTATTTCTCTTAGAAAACATTCATGTGATACAAACGATGGAAAAAAGAGGGGAGAACATAATTGATTTGGGTTTTAAATTGCATAAATAAATAATTAGAAACACAATTTGAAATACTTTTTTTAACTTAATGCAAGCGAAAGAAATAGGGAGAACCAAAAAATAGGGGTGTAAAGTAAAAAATGCATATTTATAAAGAGGTAATGAAACTCAACAGAACGATAATTGCATTCATAGTTTGGGCTTGTTATTGTTCTGCTTTTTTGTTGAAGATTGTTAAGTAGTTTGTCGTTGTTTTATTTTTAAATTACATAGGTGGTAATAGTGGATTTGGTTGTTGGTTTTAGATTGTCTTGGCGAGATTGGTAACCGACCAGATAATAATGGTGGTATCCAAAGAACCACTGGCCACCAATTGGGAATTGGGTGTCCAGGCCACAGTATTGACACGTGCATTTCCCTTCCTTGTTGTGGGCAGGCTGTAAAAACAAAATAATTCAAATATTTTATATTTCAAACAAAATCCTTTATGGAAATTTACCTTATATTCCTCCACACTGTATAGGACAACTGTGCGATGAGCATCACAAACCACCAAGTATTTATTGTCTGGCGAGTACGAACAATCGGTGGGTTCCAGGGTGGTGCCATTCAATGAATAAATATGCAATTTCTGGTCATCACCACCCACAGCAACATCCAAGGTTTCAGGGTTAACACTAATACTGCTCGCCTCATATTTAGTGGGCAAGGAGAAGGCCTTCTTTTGATCCTGGACCAAGGTGATTTCTTTGACACAGGCCACAGCTATGATGTTTTCATTACGGAAAATGGCCAAACCACGGGGTTGACAATTCAGCTTCACAACATAATCGGTGAATGCATTCGATTCGATTTTGAATTGACGCAGACTGTCACCAATGCCACAGGTGTAAACAAAATCACCCCAGGCAGCAATGCCATTCATCTGTTAACAAAGATAAGGAAAATTTAGTGGGTTTCTTCAAAGTCATTAAATTGAGATATGACCCACCTGATTACCATGACCAGCCCCAGTTACACGATCATTGATACCACTGTCCGAATTCCAGATGGTCACCACACCATCATGACTGCCGGTGTAGATGGTGCTGCGATCATCACTCAAACCCAACACAGTAATGGGTTTATTGTGACCCTTAATGACACGCAATGGCTTCGTGTTCTCCTTGCTTGGTCATCTTGAACTTGAATGGGGGACCCTCAAAGACATCAATGGTTGTTGTCTCCACTGCCTGCAAAATTAATTTGGGAAGTTACTCTCAATTCCGATTTTAATGAAAATCTATGGTTATACCTGTGACAATACGGAATGGTCTGGCAGGACGGAAATCACCTGCTTAGCATGCATCATGACGCTTGACATTGCGTCTAAATAAAATTCCACAAAATGTGTGGCTTCATCATGCCCCATCATCATTACCCCATGCTGCATTCCAAAACTTGGGACAGCTCATCTCAAAAAAAGGAAGAAACAATAGACTAATATATTGTACAATACAAAATAAAATGAACTTAAGAAAAATTTTCGAAATTATAACTTGTATTACCCCTGAATATTAATAAACGAATGAGGAAATGGCAGACGACGAAAGTAATGTATTGTGTTGGCATTCTTCTCTTGATCTTAAAGCTGTTTCTCTCAATATTCCATTGCATTTCAGAGACTAAATATTTTCTCACTCCTGGTAATTAACATACACTGTTGTTATGATATCGTAACAACAGAGGTAAATCCACCTGGTGTTTATATTTTGACTCTGACTTGTCCTATCTTTATACTTCTATCACTGTCTTTACACGGTGACATTTTTTAACCATGCCATTTTTTTTTGTTGGTAAAAGGTGTAGAGAGACAAGGATAGAAGAAAAAATGGCACGATAAGCCACCGCACAGGGTTACAAGCCATTTTCTTTGCACTTCTCTTTTTGCTTCTTCTGAATTTTTTATGATTTTGACATTTCATATCGTTTCTTTATTGTAATTTTTGATGCGTTTCTTTTATTGTGATGTGATGTTTTTAGTGATTGAATTGTATAGTGAATTATATGAAAATTAATTGGAAGTATTCAAAAGTAAAAAAAGAAAGTTAAAATAAAAGTTAATAATGCTATATTTAACACCTCAATAACTTTTTCCATCATTTCTTCTTTAGATTCACACATTTAATTTTAAATCACTTCTTTATAAATATCTGTTACAAACAATTAGCTCTATACGAAATACTGAATAAAATAAAATATCAGAAAAAATTCCAAGCACTATTATCGTAAAATGCCACCGTGTAAAGGCGCGAATATTTACGCAGAAATTTTAAAAGAGAATTGATAAAAATGCCAGCTAAAAATTGCACCGTGTAAAGGCAGTGTATGTCTTTGACAAAGTCAAAGACATAGAAGTATAAAGATGGGACAAGACAGAGTCAAAATATTGTCACCAGGTGTAAATAGCTCTGTTATTACGATATCGTAACAACATAGTTACCAATGTTAAGTTGTTTTAACAGCAAATGCAATTTTCAATTAATTGAAAACGTCAAAGGAATGCAATTTTGAGACCAATTTTTTGGTTTACAGAAAATGTTATTCGTAAAATTGCTCTGTAAATATGATTTTTATGCTAACTTCTAACTGTTGTGAGGAGCGCCCCTATATATTTTTCACATCAACTATTCTTCCAAAATGCATTTTGTCCAGTCTTTACCATTTTAGGTCTTTGTCTGTTGTTACGATATCGTAACAACATAGTTACCAATGTTAAGTTGTTTTAACAGCAAATGCAATTTTCAATAAATTGAAAACGTCAAAGGAATGCAATTTTGAGACCAATTTTTTGGTTTACAGAAAATGTTATTCGTAAAATTGCTCTGTAAATATGATTTTTATGCTAACTTCTAACTGTTGTGAGGAGCGCCCCTATATATTTTTCACATCAACTATTCTTCCAAAATGCATTTTGTCCAGTCTTTACCATTTTAGGTCTTTGGGCTTTTTTCGATCTTCTAGATACCATTAGCAAACTTTGTCAAAAACCTAAAATGGTAAAGACTGGACAAAATGCATTTTGGAAGAATAGTTGATGTGAAAAATATATAGGGGCGCTCCTCACAACAGAAAAAGAATAAATGTTTGCAATTGAAAAAAGATAAATTTAGTAGAATTTTTTGATTTCTGAAAATTGCCGGTGACTTGCGTATTTGGGAAATATGCCTTACGTTGGGTATTATGTAGGTCTGTAGTGGAATTCTCTAGCTCATTTTTAACTCATTTGTAAACATTAAAATGCTTATAATTTTGCTAATTAAAGACATATTTCGGCGAGTTAAGTTGCGAGTAGTAGCTAAATTCTATAGATAGCAACTGTGTCGCCAAGTTTAATTTATAGCGCGTTTAGATACAAAATATTATCCGGATTTACCCATGGTACAATAAGGAGGTAGAACAGCATCGTAAAACTACAGAAATACAGCCCTGAAGCTATGCATGCTTACTGTCAAATTTGCTTGCAACAAGTTGTTTTCAGGTTGCGTATGTTGATTTAAAGAACACGGCGGATCTAGTGAACCCTACAACATACCAGACGTGCTGTTTTAAGTTTCTATTAAAAATTATTTAAAAAAGTTAGAATCATAAGAAAAAGACCTCCAAATTGCATAATTTTGCAATGGAGGATCCCGATTCTCTTCCCCCCGACATGGAGTTTGATGTCACGGAAGAGATCGCATCAACCTCCAAACAATTGCCGGCTTTTGCAAACTCCACTAGTATGCAAGAAAACAAGACAAAACAAAATGAACGCAAGAGACTGCGCCTAGAAAGTGCAATATCATCAATAAATGTATCGGATCTGGCTGAGAAATTAACCAACTACAATCCGCAGGACCAAAACAAATTTGGCATTTTGGGGGCATTGGCAGACATTGACATTTCCACACCTGTCAACAATCCGACCACAACCAAAATCAATGTTCCTCCAAAACCAAAAATCTCTTGGTGCCCACCGATTTTTACATACAATGTCAACATAAACTCTCTAGTAGAGTCATTACGAGCCGCATCCCCACAGTGCACTTTTAAAATTAAAAACATAAATAAAAACAAAAGTAAGTTGTACTTTGCAGATTCTAAAGTTCATGCCTCAATGATGGATCTTTTAAAGTCAAAAAATATTCAGTCATACTCTTTCACACCCAAGGATCAAAAGCAGACATCCCTGATAATCCGAAACCTCTTCTCTCTAACTGAACCAGAGGCAATTAAAAACGAACTAGATCAGTTAGTTCCTGAAACAGTGGCCAGTGTCTCAAAATTTAGAACACCGACATCAATTAAAAACAACACTGATACGGGTCTCTTCTTAGTTTGCTTATTGCCAGGAAAGAAGTTTGGCGAAATTTCACATATTAGCCAACTGCAATACCAATCCAAAATCTGGGAGAAACCCAAAAAAAGGGATACCTTCGTCCAATGCCGAAGATGTCAAGGGCACGGACATATAGCACGTAATTGCAATTGCTCTTACAGATGCGTTAAATGTAAAGACAAACATCTTCCTGGAGAATGTAAAAGGTCCAAGACAGACACCTCGGAACCTTACTGTGTTAATTGCGAAAAAACAGGTCATCCCGCCAACTGGCGAGGATGTCCCTCCTATAAAAAATATGCCTCCGACAGGAAAAAAAATGGCAGTAGCTTTAGAAAACAGAGCTCTAGCTCAAAACAATGTATCTAAAGCATTAAACACATCCAAATATTCACCGGAAAAAACTTTTTCAAACTTATTTAAAAGTGTCACATCTATTCCCCAAGATTCAACCAAAAAACCATAAATAATTCGAGACTTCCTTAAGCTAGCAAATCTTTTTTTGGAACCTGAAGAGCTGACCTTAGAGCAAGAAATTCAAATATTCCTAACAGAATATAAAAACTTGTCAAAAACCGAAGCAAAAAAACAATTTTTAATGCTTCTTAATAAAGTTAAATTGAATTATGGACCATAGATCACTAAAATTTCTTACTTTCAATGTACGATCCCTTGTGGATAGAAGCCGACAAATAGAATTAAAAAAACACACTACTTCACAATAACATCGATATAGCATTCATCCAGGAATGTCATCTCAGATCCAACATGCGTGTCAAAATAAGTGAATACACTTTTGTCTACGATAATTTTCCCACTGGAGTTGCAATTTTCATCAAGGACACAATTCAATTCAAGAGAGTTTCCGTTCCGGCCACTGGCATTAATACGACACTTATAGAAATCTCATCTAACAATTCAACAAAAAAATACCTTCTGGGATCGGTATATATCCCGTGCAGTTATCCTGTACAGCGCCTCGATCTTGATCTGAATACATTACTTCAGTTATCTAGCAACTTTGATGGTTTCATCTTTGGATGGGACTTAAACTCCAAAAGACCAACATGGGGCGACTCCTACGAAAACTCAAATGGAAGAGTCTTGAGGTCCTGGTTATCAGATAATTCCATGGATGTCATCAGGATATGCGATACTAGCCCATCGTATCCAAGTGGTACCTCTTACCTGGATCATTTCCTACTCAGCAACCATTTAATCAACAATAGAAATCCTAACTATACTATATCCACTAAACCCACTTTCTCCGATCATTTCCCCATTAAGTTAGACCTAAAACTGATTTGACGCCTCCGCAATTCTTCATATCCTATAAAAACACTAATTGGCATAACTTTCGTCAGGACATAGACCTTATCTCACGTCAAATAATGCCTTCCATCAATAGGAACCTGACCAATGACGAGATTGATACCACTCTAAACGGTTTTAAGAGTCATTTTTCCAATATACATGAAATACACTCCGAAAAATTTAAAATAGAGGATAGGAGCCTACCATACTCGGACAAAATCAAGAAAATCCTACAAATTAAACATCAATGGCAACGAAATCTCAAAAAAATCTTCCATCGTTCAGGCAACAGGACAAGCCGTGAGTACTCCATTCTTTCTAATCAAATTCAGCTCTTGAAAATAATAATAAAGGAGCTAATCAAAATAGAAACAGCCCAAATATTTAATGATATATTACAAAAAATCAAACCCAGTCCGTCCGCCTTTAAAGAAATATACCGATTTACAGGAAGCAATAAATCATCTTTCTGCCGTCAGATCAACCATGCTAACAACACTATTACAAACAGTAACGAGATTGCAGATCATTTTAAGAATTTTTATTCCACCATATTTGAAGGCTCAACAACACTTCCTGCCTCAGATGAGCATAATTCTACGCTGTTAACATGTATCAACTCAACACCAACTCATATATACTCATTCGATGAAAATTTTAATTCTCTCCACAATCCAGACACATACCACTTTACTTCATCTGAAAATATAAAAAACATTATTTTCAACATCAATTCAAAAAAATCTAGCGGCCCTGATGAAATCTCAAACTTTATAATCAAGAGATTTCCAGAATCCACAATTAATTTACTCACGTGCCTTTTCAATAATTGCATTAACAACGGATACTTTCTCAAACAATGGAAAGTTGCCAAAATCATACCCATTAACAAGAAAACAGCAAATTGCAACGTTGATGACTTTCGCCCAATTTCCCTTTTGTCAAATATTAGTAAAATACTGGAAGTAGTGCTGAAAGAAAAATTAAACAATGGATTAACTATTGATCCAATATCAAACTACCAATTTGGCTTCAAATCTGGACATTCCACTCAGCACGCACTTCTCAAGTTTCATAACGACGTAACAACAAACTTAAGGAGTCAATCATGCACAGTTGCAATATCATTGAATATACAAAAAGCGTTTGACTCAGTGTCTCACCTCGGTATTTTGTTCAAATTAATTCAACTTGGAGTAGATCCATTTATTATAAAAATGCTAAAGAATTTCTTCAATTCTCGTAAATTTATGGTTCAGATCCAGAATACATCATCATCCTTGGGCCATGTAAATAGCGGCGTTCCTCAAGGTAGTATCTTGGCACCATACCGTTTTAACCTGTTTCTTCATGACTTTCCATACATGTATCAACATTCCAAAGCAATCCTGTATGCAGATGATTGCATAATCTACGCACATAATCCTTCGCCAGCCATTGCCCTGAGTGTTGCTTCAGAACACCTACACATAATCAACAACTTTTATAAACAATGGGGTATTAAAATAAATGCCGCTTAATCGGTAGCCATATGCATACGTAATGCGTCGGGCAAATGCCCTCGAAAAGTTGTACCAGAAAGCAAGCAATTAAAATTGTCTTTAGAAGGAGTAGAAATTCCTTTCAGCACAACCTTAAAGTACCTTGGTGTAACATTTAATCATCTCCTAAAATTCAACGAACATGCTCGTTCCATCATGCAAAAAGTTAAAGGTATATTAGTGAGTTTTTCAAACATCCTTAACAGCAATTATTTACCTCAAAACACCAAGCTGCTCCTATATAAGGTGGCAATTGGATCTATCCTAACATACGCATTTCCAATCTGGTTTCCTATTTCCCCAATAGTTGCCAACGAATTGGAAATCCTGGAAAGAAAGGTCTTAAGAAAATGCACAAACAAATATTATCAATCTCATCACAAAAAATTCTCCAATACTTACATATACAAAATCTCTAACGTTGTGCCATTTTGTAAGTACGCCCAACAACATCAAAGGAAGTTTGTAGAGAAGTTGGCTACTCACGAAAACCATATTGTAAGCGAAATCCACGAAATCGAGAAAAATATATCCTGGTCAGATTCGTCATATCTGTCTACAGTGGGTATTCTCAACGAACCTACTGAAGATGTCGCAGATGACTATACCTTACCACGCTTCTACATTAAATCAGTACCTGGAACCCACAGAGGTTAATCATTAAAATTAGTTTATCGTTCACTTTGTATTTAAATGTACCATCGAAAAGAAGAAGACTCAATAAAGTAACTTACTTACTTACTTACCTAAGTTGTTTTCATATATTCAAAATTTATCCTCATTTTTAAAATCATTTAAACGGAAAAAGTAAATGATATGCCTGGAATATCTTTCAAGGATATGATCTAAACCGCACTATCTTTCAATACCAGGGCAAACAGGTGAAAAGCTTTAAAGGACGTATCGCAATGCAAAATTTATCCTCATTTTTAAAATTATTTAAACGGAAACAATGAATGATATGCCTGGAATTTATTTCAAAAATATGATTTAAACCGCACTATCTTTCAATACCAGGCAAAAAGGTGAAAAGCTTTAAAGGACGTCTCACAATGCACGATTCTTCCAATCATTGATTTTGAAAATAGTTTTTTATTCAGTGAAATTTGACAAGGTAAATGTAAATTTAAATTTACAATGACTTTAATTTAATTTTACAATGACTTTTATTTAATTTTACAATGACTTTACCTAATTTCTTATATTACCAATTGTGCCGCATACAGTTCAAATTAATCTTGAAAGAAAATAGATCTTCTCACGATTTATTTTTAATCCGGTGTGGAATCTAAATACTAACGGAAAACATCACTGTGTATATCATTTGTACGGCATTTTTCCGCAAAGGCGTTCTTTACATTTTGCATTGGAACAATAAAAAAAAAACTTTTTTATTTAATTGGTTTATGATAATACATTACATTACATTACATTACATACATCGGTAGGCTTCTTCATAAAAAAACAAAGGAGTGTAGATTAACAAGTTTATTTATGGCCCGAAGTTCAACTAAGTCAACCTATAGCTCCTTTGTTCTTTTACGAAAAAGCCAGCCAATGGCTTAAAGTGTCGGTACATAAGCATCTTGAATTTTGGCATCGCATACTTCGAGATAAAAGGAAGCCAGAGTCGCACCAAAATCCTTTCGTCTTTGTTCCTTATGACTTGACATTAATGTGCCTAGCCATGATGCCAAGCTAATTATGTACAATTTTTACAAATTTGAATAATTTTTCAATTCCAAAGTTGGTTTGACATTTGATAGTCCCAGCAGCAATATCGATGCGTCTACCTGTATTCTTCTACCATGGCATGTACTACATCCCAATAATTTGTACGAATTATTACAAAGCGTTGTTTGATACCTTGAAGACCATGAAATTCATGGGAATTGGTAATGCAATTTAATGACTAAAGCTGGGAATACATAAAGTGCTTATTTGGCTGGCTTAAGTCATCGGCTGGCTTCTTCGGAAATGAACAAAGGAGCCTAGGGTCAAAATCGAACTAAGTCAACCTAAAACTTCTTTGTTCCTCTACGAAGAAGCCAGCCGATGACTTAAGCTGCAAGTACATAAGGCTGGAAATACATAATGCTAGGAACACAATTGGAGCGAACGACGAATTTCGCCCTATGCGGCGACAAAATGAGCCGCGAAAATTCGTCGTATGGAACACAATACCGACGAAATTATAAAACAGCTGATGAAGTTGTTTACTTTTTGCTCATTTGTTGACTACAATGAATTATACAAGAACACATAATTCTTTACGTTCTCTATTATAATTTCACTTATGTCCATCTTCTCTATTATAAATTCACTGATATCCATCTTCACTCAGGCGCAAGTACACAAATAAATAAACAAATTAATTATGTTTTTTTTATACGAGTAACAGATAGTAGAGTGACCATAACAAATTTTAAAGTAAAAAGTAACTTTATTTACTAAAACACATAAAATTCGTACAAGTATGGCCACCTTGTACTGTTTTGTTCGCCGGTCGCCGGCGTATGAAATAGAAATAAAGCTAATTGAGTTCGCGGCGACCGACGAAATTTTCGCCGGTGCCGTGATTGTGTGCACTTCCATATACACATATGTGTTTTATTTTTGACGACGAACATACGCCGCGAAAAAATTCGTCGTTCGCTCCAATTGTGTTCCTAGCATAAAGCGCATATTTGGCTGGCTTAAGTCATCGGCTGGCTTCTTCGTAGATGAACAAAGGAGTTTTAGGTTGACCTAGTTCGATTTTGGCCCTAGGCTCTTTTGTTCATCTACGAAGAAGCCAGCCGATGACTTAAGCCAGCCAAATATGCGCTTTATGTATTTCCAGCCTAAGAAGCTTGAAGTCATGGCTAGGCATATTTTGTAACATTTCATAAAGGGAGTACAGAGCCGCACTAAAATCCTGCCGTCGCTATCCATTATAACTTGACATTAATATGCCTAGCCTTGACTTCAAGCCTTTTATGTACTTGCACCCTTAAGCCAGTCAAATAAGCGCTTTATGTATTCCCAGCTTAAGAAGATTTACTCTGTGAAATGTATCGACGTGTCAATCGAACTGGGGCTGGATTCTTGTTCTATGAAAATATGAAATGAAAAATATTTACTTCATTTCATTTTCATTTGACATTTCTTTCCTTTATAGAAGTCTTAATTTCACATTTTCATAGAACAAGAATTGAGGCCCTGGACTTTTGAAACAGCATTGCCATTTGCCAAGGTTATGTTAGTAGCGCCACAAACCTCGCAGTGTCATTGCCAAATGCCATTTCTTTCTGAACCGCAACCAACTTCGTTTCATTTTGCTTGTCAATTTGACGTTTCATATTGCGGGCCTACGTCTCTTTCTTTTTCCGGTCGGCACTATGGTAAGACTTGATGTGGAAAAATTTGTACAAAATAATTGTAAACAATCGAAAAATAAATAGTCTAACCACGCGAAATGAAATTACAAAATAAAAGAACTGAAATGAATAAGTGTTAACCAAGTGGAATTTTCTGTTTGCCTATTTCAGGGTATTGATATTAGCCACAAATACGATCGTAAGGTTCGCAGAACCGAACCCAAATCACAAGATGTTTACCTACGTCTATTGGTCAAGGTGAGTAGATTTCATACTTTTATTGTATATGCTAGCATCAATGGAATCTGGAAATATACCTACTTCTGCTTTCCGCCTAGCATTTGCAAGTCCCCATCTCTTGAACCGTTAATAATTGTTTGTTTTATTTTTCAGTTGTACCGATTCTTACAACGCCGCACCAACAAGAAGTTCAACCGTATCGTGTTGAAGCGTTTGTTTATGAGCAAGACCAACAGGCCACCCATGTCTTTGCAACGCGTTGCTCGTTTCTTCAAGGCAGCCCAACAGCCCGAATCCACTGTTGTTATTGTCGGAACAGTCACCGACGATGTCCGTCTATTGACCGTGCCCAAAATGACTGTGTGCGCCTTGCATGTCACCCAAACTGCTCGCGAGCGTATCTTGAAGGCTGGTGGTGAGGTAATCACCTTCGATCAGTTGGCTTTGAAGTCGCCCACTGGCAAGAACTGCTTGTTGTTGCAAGGTAAACGTACCGCTCGTACTGCTTGCAAACATTTCGGAAAGGCACCCGGTGTACCTCACTCCCACACCCGCCCCTATGTTCGCTCTAAGGGACGTAAATTTGAACGCGCCCGTGGTCGTCGTTCCAGCTGTGGTTATAAGAAGTAAACAATACATGGAACACCTTCCAATGTTTAGTTGTAATTTAAGTTTACTCATCTCTCAACCAATTGAACTTGTGACAACACCGTTTAAGAAAATTCCAGCAAAAACGTGAATAAAAATGGTTGATGGAATTTTTAAAAAGGAAGTGTGTGTGTGTTTTATTTGTATAATGCCAACATGGAGAAAAGTGTATTAGAGATAATATCAATAGAACGTGTGTGAACATATTTTCGGATTTACAAGAACGAGAGACTATTGAAATAAGCAAAATATTTGCAATGTTGGTGTCCTACGGTCGCGTAGAACTTGAGATGTATTTGATAGTTTCAGATTTGAGACTAAGTAGACACACATTGCAACTGTTGCAAATAATTTCAATGTCTTGTTGCTAACATTTAAAGGGCTTTTAAGCGGAACCAAAGACACACATTTTGTTTGTTTGCCTTCTAATTTTTTAATTATGCCTGAATTAAGATAATGAAATGTAGAGGAGCAACAAGTTGACAGTTTCGAACAAAATTTAAAGGCATAGTAGAATTATTATAGGTCAACGTTTTCGTATTGATCCCATATAATTGTTCCTCCCAATATCGTAGATGTTTGGTACTTCCCCCTCAAAAATAATCAAAAAAAGTTCCTCTTTAATTATATATTACTAATAATTAGTTGATTTAATTTTAAACCTACCAAAAATTAAAAAAAAAACAAAGATTAATTATTTTGAGTACAACTTTGAATATATTTGTCATGTAATTGTAAATCATACACAATTAATTTCTATTCAATTCACATTCTAAAACTGAGAATACATAAAGGTTTTTTTGACTGGCTGGCTTCTTCGTAGAGGAACAAAGGAGTGTTCTTGTATTACGTACAAAAAACAAATTTGTATGTGGTTGTTGTTATGTTTGTTGTACAACAACACTGGCTGTTACCTGTATTATTCTACCATGATTCTAAGACAAGAAAACAAAAAAAATTAAATCGATTGGTAGCAGTGCTCTATCTTGATTTCATCCTACCATGGGTGTTGACATTTTTTTTCGTCAAAATAAGTACTAATTAATAATAATTAAAATAACTTTTTCAAAAAACCTTTAATGGAAATGCATAGAAACGTAGAAATAACGTAATATACAAATATACCTAAAGCATTTGCATAACCCTAAGACAATGGCTCCAAACAGTTTTTGATACTTTAAAGGTCACATCTTCATTTCCTAATTGAATAGGCTATTCCAATGGAATAGGTCATCTTATAGTTCACTAAAACATTTTACTTATTTTTATTTAATTCTATCTAACAATATTGGTTATAGTTTATGGCTCCCATATAAAAATTAAGGACGTGCTGGATGTAATGGCTTTTTTTTCATCTAGATGAGCGCAAAAGCTAAATATATACCTTGGCCGTCAGCATTCAAAGATACCAAGTTTTCTCCCCGAAGCACAAAGATCCAAGAATCCATAAGCATTGTTTAGAGATTCCAATAGTCAGGAACGCAAAAATAAAAACATTTTTTTTCTTGACCAATTAGTTCGAAATTAATTTTCCACATCGCAGTTCATATACTAGTCTAGGTTTATGTTTTAGTACATAATCCATATAGCTGACATTGTGTTACCACAAAAAAAGTTAAAATTTATGGGGCGAAAAATAATGAGGATTGCAAAACATTACTAATATAGTTTCCTTGTGATGGAGTGCATAAACTCAGTTCAGATTAGTTGCAGCCCAAGAAAACATAAATAAAACGTGTCTTCCTCGGATATTAATTGATTAACTTTTACTCTCAGGGCACATTGCAGAGACCATTTATAGACCAGTGTTGGCATGTTTGTTCGGGATACCGTAGTTATTTTGTTGTTACAAAATAGAATTAATCCCATTGCTGTTGTTTTTATAAAAACAATGTGGAGAAAGAAGGTAATGTTTACCACGGGGGTAAGGCAGGAAATACCATGGGTTCGGAAAGAGACACCAATCCTCATCAGTTTCCTTGGTTTTTGTCTGCGGATATTCTCCACAGGAGTTATTTTTAAATAACTCTTATGAAAAACACATTTTTACCCAAGTTAAAAACAATGTTTATTAGTGGAGAGAGAAGGTAATTTTTACCAGGGGTAAGGCAGGAAATACCATGGGTTCGGAAAGAAACACCAAACCTCATTAGTTTCCTTGGTTTTTGTCTGGGGATATTTTCCCCAGGAGTTATTTTTAAATAACTCCTATGACAAACACCTTTTTACCCAAGTTACGAGATTGTAAGCTCAATAGAAGAAGAACCAAAAAATTAAATTAAACTAAAAATCGTTTGGCATTTCTTCGAAATCTTACAACCGCTCTTATAAACATTTATATCTCTTTCCACATATTTTGCATTCTTCGTTTTGTCTCTTACAACAAAAACCTCTTCGTCTGTTAATAGAACAGTGTTGGTATGCTTGTTCGAGATACCGTAGTTATTTTGTTGTTGCAAAATAGTAACTAGTGTAGGTTAACCAAAGTTGAAAAATACAACTTAGAAACTAGTCTTGATCTTTCGAAATTATTTATAACATCTGGAAAATCTAAGTTTTACCGGTATTGAACCTACACCGGAGGAGGAAATTTGAGGCCCTGGTCAAATGTCGACTATCTAAATAGAAGTACTGTTTAAAATATATGTCCTCTTTTAGCAATAGTACACAAAAAAATCTGTAAATGTTGAATTTGTAGTACTTTGAAAATTCAATGGTCAAAAAGAGCAAGCCGTTCTTCAAATATTAGGCAGGAGTGAATTATAAATTAAAGCAATGTTGTTTTTTGTTAAAAATTGTTCTTTGTATTTGTACATATTTACTATTTTATCTATTGATCCATACATACTATTTTGCAAGTTTATTTACAAAAACATATGCAGACACATTTACTTACTAGAAAATTGTGTTAAATGCTGACATGCAATAAAAACTATAAAACTCGTTTCAACATAATTCCAATTGAGATACACAAGAACTTGACCGAAAAATTGTCCGATAAGTAAAAGATGCCGTACAAAAGTTATAGCAGCTGTTCAGACTTAAAATCTATTATTTCTAGAAAATAAGTTAAAATTATTAAAATAATTACAATCACTCTAATACGGATGAGGAGGCCAACTGAGTCACAGTTTTTAGTAGAAAAATATCAAATAATATTGATCGCATTATTTCCTGGGAAGCCTACTACTAGAAACAGAATTGAACATTCATGGAAAACCACAATTTAATATTTTACAGTTCAACTCTAGGTCGAAATTGCAATCGCAAAGGTGGATCTCGAAAACGCCAACGTGTTACATAAACGAATTTAAGTGTGTGGTCCTTTCCCAACAATTCCTCGTTGCACAAAATATCGATCTGAAAATCAAATATTTTAATTAATATATTCATACAATTTTAATGTAGATTTAGTTTACCTCTCTATATTTATCAATACCATTCAATATCTTCTTTGCTACCAGCTTTTTAAGATGCGTGATAGTAGCTTGCGAACTGCAGCGAATAAAACGTCTTTGTAGATTCTTAAAATTGTTGCTCATGCATTCCAGGCAAACATTAACTTGTTCATCCAATCGGTGGAAATCAGATTCCGCATGAGCCTCCATAACTTTTTCGTTATCGTCTTCGTGATTTTGAGGCAAATCTTTGGGACAAGCCATGTTTCGACTCTTGTAAAAGTCACGTTCTCTGCGCATTTCATCTAAAATTCAATTAGATTATCAAATATATATTACTAGAGCAAAGATTATTCGAATGCTCTTAAACTATGTTGTTGTAATATATTTTATGTTAAAAACAGCAACATTTTTGAAAAATATAAAGGAATTGGTTGAGTTGATTTCGTAAAATTATTTCGCTGCATTTTTGAAGTGATCAATAAGTTTTGCATTTTATAAAAAGTACATCTGTATGAATGAAAAAGTTCAAGTTCAGTTACTGACGATTAGCTGTTGCATATATATGCATTATATACTATAGAGTCAAAGTAATCAAAAGCTTGCCGGATCTTTGTCATAGTTTTTATGCGTAATTGTAATATTGGATTGAATAAATATAAATGTGTGATAATAAATTTTCATATATTACACCAAATCTACTCCTCCCAAAAGGGGGAAAGAGAACCTAAAAATATGGTACATAAAATATACCTGATCCAAAAGCAAGATAGAATATCGAACGGAAATCACTAGGGAGTCTACTCGAAACCGATGCCTTAGAGACATGGCTACTGCATTTTCATATTATTTATCTTACCGGTTATAAAATATAAAATGTATGACTAACATTGAACCTACCTTCCTGAAGGTTTGGCACGAGTTTGTAAACAATATCCTGCATTGTGCGATCGAAACTTATATACTGCAGCGGGTGAGACTGATGGATAACATTTTCGCACGTGGGACATGTCTTCTTTTCTTCTAAATGTTTGACCAAACAACTTTTGCAGACTACAAAATAGTAATATTTAATAAGTACAATTTTAGGTGGCAATAAATATATGTGTATAATACTAACAGGTATGTAAACATTCGGTGACAGTAGTGGCGTCGATAAAGTAACCACCACATATTTTGCAGGTGATATGGGGGTTTATAGACTTCAGTTTAACTCTTCTTTCCATTTCTACAGCTTAATTAGACATATCAGATCTTTAATAGTGAAATATTCAATTTTCCACCGTCAACAAAAATACAACCTGACAACAGACACGACAATAATAAATTTCATATTTTTATTCCAATGTTGGCCACACTGACTGTCAAATTGAAATCGACCTTGCCACCATGTTTAAAAAATCCAATTAACAGGAACACATTTCTGGCGTCATTCAACACTCATACATTACCATGGTAGAAGAATATAGGTAGACGCGTCGACACAGCTGCTGGGACAATGAACTGTCAAACCAATTTTGGAATTGAAAATGTTGAATGAAAAATTATTGTAAAAATTGTTGAAAAACGCGAATTATAATAGCCTTCGAATGACGTAGTATAAGAAAATATATAAAAAACTACTTATATTTGAAAAGACATTAACATTTTTTGACATCAATGTTCCCAAGCGTTGATGAATCTACCTGTATTATTCTACCATGGATATGCCGATATTCTTCTGTCATGCTTTGGTTAAAAAATGTTATGTGGCGTTTCCACTGCACTTGATTCGCTCTCTATTCGTTGTTTGACCCTTAACTATGAAAAAAACTACTTAATTCTTCACACAAAATTTCCTGAGCGAACACTCATATTTGTACATTGTTCAAATCAAATCACTCTCAGAACAACGAAAAAATATGTCCCATCCCTAACAAATGAGAGCATTTATCGAAAAAATAAATTATGACATTTAAAAATTGAAAATATAAAAATTTAATGAAATTTTGAAAAATTTTGGGAAGACTGAAATTTATGAATGAAAACTACAATGTAGAATAGCGTATGTATATTCAAACGAAAGTAAATTTTGTTTTCTCTCTCATCCGAGGTACGCATTTTGTCCACGAGTTGACATTACCACAGAAAACAGGAAACAAAAGAGGCAATATTTTCAAAATGTTTGTATCGGCAGAAAAAATGTCTGACAAGTGTCTCTCCAGCAGAATTTAAAAATAGAAAAATACAAAAATATGTTCAAAATGTCAACATTTACACAAAAAGTTGGAGACGTGAATGAAAATTATAAAATTAATGTTATAATAAATCTTTGGGAGAAAAATAATCATTTCTTCTATCCATATTATGTGGATTTTCCACTGCACTTGATTCGCTCTCTATTCGTTGTTTGACCCTTAACTATGAAAAAACTACCTAATTCTTCACACAAAATTTCCTGAGCGAACACTTATATTTGTACGTTGTTCAAATCAAATCACTCTCACAACAACGAAAAAATATGTCCCATCCCTAAAAAATGAGAGCATTTATCGGAAAATAAATTATGACATTTAAAAATTAAAAATACAAAAATTCAATGAAATTTTAAAAATTTTTGGGAAGACTGAAAATTATGAATGAAAACTACAATGTTGAATGACGTATGTACATTCAAACGAAAGTAAATTTTGTTTTCTCTCTCATTCGAGGTGCGCATTTTGTCCACGAGTTGAAATTTCCACAGAAAACTGCAAACAAAAGAGGCAATATTTTCAAAATGTTTCTATCGGCAGAAAAAATGTTTGACAAGTGTCTCTCCAGCAGAATTTAAAAATGAAAAACACAAAAATATGTTCAAAATGTCAACATTTACACAAAAAGTTGAAAACATGAATGAAAATTGTAAAATTAATGATATAAAAAATCTTTGGGAGGAAAACAATAATTTCTTTTATTCATATAAGTGAGAATTTCATGTATTTTCGTATAAATTCCCATTAAAATCAACAAACAAAATTTTTGGAAAAAGGAATTATTTTACTATGAATTACGAATCGTGCCGTATGAACGGGTTAATTCGTGTACCTAATTCTGAGAGCGAACAACGTTGTTAGGTTTCCAATGGAAACATGCTATTATTCTATGTCATGTTGAAATCCTCAAATAGATATCTATAAAAATTGTATCAAATCAACTGCCTTCGTTATAATTCCTTAAAAACCTTCTGAATCACGAACCTGATTGATTCAACAAGTATCTGACCACTTTCAAAAAGTTCGTTAGCTTAACTCGTGTTTATCTCGCCAGCCAGTGGTGGACACATCCAAATGTACGAGTTTGTATAGTACACAACAATATACACAATACGTATATAACTATATACGACTTAATCGAAAAATTCATTTGTGGCTTTGAAGGAAGTCGATTTAATATTTGCTCTCTAAAACGTGTAAGCCGACTACATTTAAAAAGGAAGTAGACCAAGGGCATTCAATAAATAAAGTAATTCATTACATTGAATTCTCTCAAAACACGATTGAAAACTCGTAACTGTTGCGCACGTATGTACATCAATACATAATCAGCGCAACACTGACTAAATCTTTAATTTGTCAGTGTGTATTGATTTTTATTTTATTCCGCTGTTTGTAATTAAATCGTTTCGGGTAGTTGGTCCGGTTTCCCCAGCAGCAGTCGCATTTTGCCTTTCCACTGTATCAGTTGTTTTAGATTGTTAATTCAGAGATGTCTGTTGGTCGCGTTTTAATCTACGGCGGTAAGGGGGCCTTGGGAGCAGCATGTGTATCTCATTTCAAAAGCAACAATTATGTGAGTATTGTTAATAACAAATTTTGCATTAACATGGCCTTGGAAAAAATAACTTTCGCTGAAAATTCTAGTGGGTTGGCAGTATAGATTTAAGTGAAAATGAGCTGGCCGATGTCAGTATTGTTGTCCCAAGGGATGGTTGCTGGACCGAACAGGAGCAACATGTTCTCAGAAAAGTGGGTGACGTTTTGCAAGACAATAAACTGGATGCTGTGATTTGCGTTGCCGGCGGGTGGGCTGGAGGAAATGCTAAAAAAGGTAAGAAGTTTAAGGAGCATGTACCCCCAGATAAAATTATGCATAAATATCTTTAGATTTGGCCAAAAATGCGGACTTAATGTGGCGCCAAAGTGTGTGGACTTCTACCATATCGGCTGCCGTTGCCGCTCATTATCTCAAAGATGGAGGCGTTTTGGCATTGACCGGTGCCAAACCTGCATTAGAGGGCACACCTGGCATGATCGGCTACGGAATGGCCAAAGCTGCTGTGCATCAACTAACACGTTCGTTGGGTGGCAAAGATTCTGGCTTACCAAACGATGCTCTAGTTGTATCAATACTACCTGTTACGCTTGATACTCCAATGAACCGTAAATGGATGCCAAAAGCTGATTTTAGTACCTGGACACCATTGACTGAAGTGGCTGGGTAACTTCATTAATATGCCATTCTTATGTGTATGTATTCAGCATTTTCATTATCCTTATTCCAGTCTGTTCCTGAAGTGGACCAATGGTGTAGAACGCCCTAAATCTGGATCATTGCTGCAGCTAATCACAAAAGACTCAGTTACACAACTGGTTGAAAGCTCATAAATACTCCTGTTTACTTAAATGAATTTAAAAATATTTGTATGTCTGTGTGTGTGTATATGTAAGAACGAATAAACTCGCTTTTGCTCAAATTGTATTAAATGCTTCCCCTTGATCTATAGATAACCTTTTAGCAAGAATAAAAGCAAATCAGCAGAGTACCATAAAATAACTTACCCAAATCGGTCTTTATAACAATATTTCTGTTCGAGATTCGATGAGTAAAGTATTTTATTGGTGATTTCCTATATGGTGATATACCTATATGCTTTCAGGAATTACAATTTGTTTCCTGCATATATGAAGAATTAATGATTTTGTAGAAGATATTTTGTTAATAAAATGATTGTTGGTATTTAGAGCAAATTCGCGTATTATACAGTTTTTTCTATATTTTTATATATTGGGCGCTAATTTGGTTAACGTCTAACGAACATTAGTTTCAGTAAATTCACAGTAAATGACAACAAAATATTTTTAATTCTAAAAAAAAGTTTTTTTTTGTCATAGAAGTTATTTTTAAAATAACTTCGGGTGAGAATATCCCAGACAGAAACAAGGGAACTGATGAGGATTGGTGGCTCTTTCCCAAACCTAGATATTTCCTGCCTTACCCCCTGGTAAACATTACCATCGTTCTGCACTAATAAACACGTTGTTTTTATAAAAACAACAATAAAAGAATTAAGCCTGGCCATTTTGCAACAACAAAATACTATGGTATCTCGAACAAACAAGCCAACACTGTTTTATTTCTAAATTTTAAAAAAGGGAGTGTCATAACGATTTTGCGCAACATTAAATATTATTAACGCGAAAGTATTTAAGATCAGCAATTTTTTTTCATTGCCAATTGTTGTTTTCAAATTTTAAACTCAATTTTGAAAATGTTTTCCATACTTATATTTGGTTGCATATCTATGGTTTTACTAAAATACTGAATAACCATTTCAATAATGATACACAAAATACAATACAGCAAATGATTTTTATTTTTAAATAATGATATACAAAAATAAGTTACATATATGTGCGTGTAAAATGGAATGGCAATTCTGTGATAATTTTGTACAAACGCACATTTTTGATATTATTGACATTAAGTTGTGGATAAATAAAATAGTAAGCCTGAATATTTTGCAAACCATTTTTAGCATTTGTCTATATTTCTGACAACGATTTGTTTTCCATTGCATACCTGTGTACCACATCCTTAATACAATTTTGTTCCATAACCATATCGTTAATAAACCTTAAAAGAGGTTGATTAGAAAATTTCCGGTAATCCCCTAAACCTTACAAAGTAATAAGCGATCAATTTTATTAAAGTGCGATTAACAAATATTTATTATATTCATGATCCCGATACTCATAGTTATTCAATGATACATACAGTAGGGTATAGTGGGGTATGGAAAACTTTCTAAACTAAATCCATATTTTGGTTGCCAACTTCTATTTATTTTGAGTCTTTTATTATCACATACATAATGTATAAGGATGATGGTATTATTACATATGTCAATTTATTCATTGTATTTATCTCAAATTAGAGATTGAAAATGTACAAGCCTACTGATTTTTATTGGCGAAACTATAAGGCATGTAATGGAAAAACGTTTTGGAAAATCAATTACCAAAATGAAGCATTCCCTAGACTTTCTAATAAAAATAAGTGTGTCTTTTTTTGAATTTTAACATAAAAGAATTAACCAAATGGGAATTTACGCTGTGGTACATATTTACATAGTCTTATCATAGTGAAAAACAGTGAAATTCTTTGATGCATTTTGTGCATCGCAAAATTTATGACCTTTGACATAATATATACCTTATATATTGTTTTTTATTTGTAATTTTATAATAATCTTATTGAATATTCGACTTGGATAGTGGTTTCTTGGTTTTAATTTTTTTTGTTAATTTTGTGCCTGGGAGGTGGATATCTATGCCCCAAGTGTGGACGATATGCCGTCATTGGCATGGGGATAAATGGCATCGCTCCTGCTAATCCACCATATAACGCTTGTGGGGGGAGATGTCTCACTGAAGCAACCATTGGTAAGAAAGGGCGGTGTTGTACACCAGGCAGAGCCAACATTGGTGCGACATGCTAAAATAAATGTGCGATAAAATCGAATTAATACAATAAAATTACTATACTATCAGTTGTTGTAATGTTCGGTATGCTTTTAATTTGATAGGTAGTTGTTAAGGATTCGCTGAAACGTAAGCGTCTGTCAATACAAGTCCACAGTACTTACATAATGGCATGGATAATTGGTTAATGCTGGCGGTAATGTTGGAAGAACATTTGGATATGACCTTTCCTGAGATCTGTGATGTCTATGTCTATATTCTCTTTCATCGTCCTCGTTGGAAGAAGTAGAGCTTCTGCGTCTCGAACGATTTCCTCTTGGAGAGCGTGTGCGCGAACGGCGACTAGTTCTATGTTCAGGGTTATGCTTCCATGAAGTTCTATCTTGGGAATTGCTTCGACGTCTATGTCGACTTGTATAGCGTCTACTCCTAGGGCTACCGCTTCCACGCCGTGATCTATGTGAACTTCGTCGCCTATTGCTGCTGGGGGAATGTGAACGTGATCTTCGTTCATTGGGGCTGCCATACAAACGTCTCAATCGATCCCTTTCCCGAATAGGATCGCTGAAATACGGTCTATAATTTCCTTCGTGACCTTCAAGGTGGACTCCAGATTTTGAATTGGACTTGTGGTAATTGTCTTTCTCATATGAACTATGCCGCCTAAAATCCGGATTTTCAGAGCTTCCGTATTTTTTGGTGAATTTTTGCGTAACGTCTGGGGAGTTTTGTTTCACCAGCCCGTTAACGCCTTTGGAAGGACTAGATGCCTTTTCCCAAATTTGAATTAATTTTTTTCAAAAGATTTGTTTAAAGAATAAAATTTACCTTGTGACTTTTGATTTTTTTGGAGGAGATACTTTCACCATCGGCAACTGTATTCACTTTTACATCATCACGCTCAAATAATGGCTTGGTACCTTCACCTGTTCCGGAAAACAATATAGTTCTTAAAAATGCTTACTTATGTTAAATAAGGATTTGCAAGTTAAGATAATAACTCAAAATGTTTAAAGGTTAAAAAAACGTTTATCTACAGGAAATTATGTGAATGTTACCATTATTGTCGTTTGTTGGTAGATATATGATGTATAAATTCATAATAATGTTGTTCTCAAATTATATTCTGCCTTTGCTTGGATGCAGCAGATAATAAAAAAATTGGAATTTTGCATTTTGTATTGCTGATATTTCGTTTTTTTTTTTTCAGTACATGTTTTCATCCTCTTTTAGGGTTCAGTTGATTGCTGTTATTTCCAGAAATAGATGGTTGATTGTAGTTCAATTTTGCTAAAACAATGCCTGTAAAAATGAACATACTTACCAATGTATCTTATTTAGCGCCATATGTGGACACTTGTGTTCATAGAAGTTCAGCAAACCTTCAATAATTATCGTGTGTATGTTTTATGTCATGGAAATATAACTACATATGTAAACTCTGTGATATGTGGCACAAATAAACACTAATCTTCCAAAGCCTCGAAAACTTTTATTTACTATCTGCGCGCAAGTTGTCGTTCTTAATTAATAATATTTAGGGGAAAAAACTTTCAATGTCCTTCACCATGAAATTAAGAAAACATTTATGAACAGAAGTTTCTGTGCTCAATATTTGAAAAAATTTAGATAGGATGGGGAATGCAGCTAAAGTTTCGAAATCTAATAGCAATTGTCGGCTAAACGGAATAAAAATTTAATATACCCTTCTCTCCATGTTGGTGGCTATAACAACTCTATGCTTCTAAAAGGTAAAATCTTATAAAGGTCGAAATCACCAACAACTCTAATGTTTTAACCTTTTCCCGTGTTCAGGTTAGTAAATAACAACCCGTTTAAATTGATGAAAACAATTGCCTGTAAAATAGTCTGGAAGCTTCAATTAAAAACTTTCTAGATTATATGAATCTCATAGAAAAGTAGTTATAAGATGTTTTAATAGATACGTAAGAGTACATAACGTGTTACGCAGAGTACGTCGTTTTGGTATACTTTATAAAAATAATATTGTTCCGTATTTTTGGTTTATTGGTCCACATATAGCACAAGTATTTGTTTTTTAGATCTCTGTGGAATCCATTAATTCAATGACATATGTATATAATAACGCGATGTATGAGGCTATTTGCAAATGTAAGTAATCTTCTTCTTAATGAAGTGAATATGTAAATAGCCACATAAACACGTTTCAATGGTCCTTGGTATATACCTCATCACAATTGTTGCCTCCGCAATTTTTATTTGAATAATTTAAACATTCTTCTTTGTTCCTTTGTAGGTTTGTTGAATGTTGTTTGTAACGTTGTTGATTGAAGATTTGTTGATTGCAGACGTGGTTAATGAAATAATGTTGATTGCAGATTTGTTGATTGTAGATTTGTTGATTGAAGATTTGTTGATTGAAGATTTGTTGATGGAAGATTTGTTGATTGAAGATTTGTTGATTGAAGATTTGTTGATTGAAGATTTGTTGATTGAAGACGGGATGCTGTTATGCCTGTTGATTGTAGACTGTAGGTTGTCAGACTTGTTTTTTGTATGTGATTATGGATATGTTGGATCGTTTAAACGTCTGTCACAGAGAGTCAAACCACAATTGGGCGAAAACTACTAAGTTTGTTGTCAAAAGTAGTCTTCTTGGCCAACCTTACCTAGGCTTTGGTACTGTAAAAATGCGAAATATATTCCCATGTTTTCAAAAGCCTTCTAACCTTTATGCTAGAATAACAGAGAATATTATATGTGATTTCTTATTGGGCATTTTATCATTTTTGCTTTTATTTGCTTGGAATATTCTTGCAAAAATCTGTATTTTTAGAAAAAAGGATCGAATGCCAAAATCAGTCACTTTCTTTTGTTTTGTTGAGCGGCACAAAATCCGCGAAATTATCACAAAAAGTTTAGAGAGTTTAGCAAAACCCAATATGTATCAACAACTAGAATATATGGTACACTGTTTACACCACATGAAAATTATTTAAAAATACACCTTTAAGTGGGGTGTTCTGCTTGATATGCTCATAGGGCATGATAGTTAAGTATAAATGCAATGCATAGTAAAACATGCCGTTTCAGCTAACATGTACATAAATGTTGGTTTTTTAAAGTTGAACAAATTCAACATTGACAAAACTATTCTCCTAGCTTCTTCGGTAACGTGGCGGTACGAAAGACGGTGATTATTTTTGTACATAACGTGGGGTATTAGGTAGGCCTGTTAATGTGTTGAGTGGTAAAATTGTTAAAACCTATTGGTTTTGGCTGTCCGTTATCCCCGAAAATATCGATTGTTGATGAAAATTTTGATTGTTGTTGGTAAAGTTGATTGTTGTTGATGATGTTGATAGTTGTTAAAGGTGTTGATTGTTGTTAAAGGTGTTGATTGTTGTTAATGGTGTTGATTGTTGTTGAATATGTTGTTTGATGTTAAGTTTGTTGATTGCTGAAACGTTGACATTTTACAATGTTGATTCTTGGATATGTTGATTGATGAAAATATAACTGGTTAATACGTCTTGCGTTGTATACTGCCTACAAAAAAGCTGGATTTCATTGGATGTTCTATTATTATCCCTGAAAATATTGGCTTGTGTGACAGATTTTTAAGGCGTTGAATGCTGCAATGTTGATATTTGTGGATGATGAATGGTGCAATTACTGTTATTTCAATATGCCAACCGCTGGATATATAGATTCTTGAAAGTGTTGATTGATGAAATTAAAGGTGTTTGAATTCATTTGTAGATTCCGCTGGCCAAGTTGGTATTTTCTGTATATTAATTTAAAATTATAATTGTTAAAATAACAGGATTGGTTTGTTAATGAATTTATATGAAAATATAGTAATAGATAGCAGAATTCAAAAGGTGATTTTTTATGAAATTATTGGTACTTGAAAGAATGAATATTGCTTTTATAGTATATAGAAGATGGGCAATTAAATGTTGTAGGAATATTTTGCCAAGAGAATAAAAGCGTTTCAATAAAAAATGAGACTACAAAAGAGACAGTCTAATGTAAATTTGGACAATGGACCGCAAATAATTGTAATTGTATATAAATGAGAAATAAGTAATAAATTCAAAATACGAGGGATAAAAAATAGGGATTTGGAATATGGATTGAAGACTTTGTCACACACTGTTCAAGCTTTCACACTTACTAGAAGAGTTTAATCGGATGTACAGCAAGATTAAATTTGAGACCGAGCTTTTAAAGCCTCCTAGTGATTTTCCCTATTTTTTAATTAACATAACAATATATTTCGTACGCCAAATAAGCACACACAAGTAATGGAATGACTGTGCTCCGTTCACAGTGATTCTGACAATTCCATACGAACCGTTAAAGCAGTATTAAAGTATTTTCATATATGTCTGCTCATGGGATCGATTTTCAAACTAAATTTCCTAAAAGGCTAAATTTGCGGTCCACGCCACACTTCTACGATCTATGTTGTTTTTCTTATAATGATAACCTACTGTGACTAATTCTTTTTTGGGCTTACTTACTAAACAGGGCCAAAATCCAATCCAAGCTGCCAAAGAGAATGTTGATTGATGATCCAGCATAATGCAGAATTTCCATTGGAAGATAGCTTCCAAATGGGATGTTGATTGAAGACCCAGCGATTTTAAAAATTCCATTTTAGAATCAAATATAGCTTGATACGAAACTAGCTGATTGTTAGGATCACAAAATATCCTCTGAAAAATACATATTGTATTTTCGTTTTAAGGAAATTACCAAATCTCCGCTTTATTTGAATCTCCTCAATCAGATCGTTAGATCGAGCAATCATGCTAGGGCCTTTCTTTTCTGTAGCAGATGTTGGTTGCTGATGTACTTTAATTGTATGCTTCAATACGCCATCATCATCTGGCACGAACTTTGCTATAGCTGTCTTCGAGGAATCTTTCCCCATAGACGTTTGTTCCATGGTGCAAACTGAGATTAGACGATTTGAGAACAAATGATTTGTCGCACAAATATATCCGATAGAGCCATATTACACCAGTAGCTTAAAATGCAAATTACTTGCGCATGGACGGGAAGCTGTTGTACGTGGTAAGAAGATATATACATTAATATTTTGTTTACGTATTTAATTTATCTAATAAACAAACGCTAGCTGGTTCATCAATCAATTTCGTCAACTTCGCGTTCCTTGTTACAAAATAAATGCATCATATCGAACAGAGTACCCGATACTTTATTTCCAATTCGTTACTTGGTATGTACCAGGTAGATAAAAAAAAAAACATTAACTAAATGTCAACGTGTACCGCCGAAGTTTGATGCCACAGAGATTTAAGATAACATCGTTACCGTACGTTTACATATGAATGGATAAACATACTGAATTTGGATAAAACTTTTCATATCCATTAATTATAGTTCAAATAAATCGCTCAAAGTAGGTTAACCCTTCAAAAAGCTCTAACGTAAACATTATCGATAATTCAACGTACTCGACGTTTTTCACCACAAACGTCGAGCGTACGACATTTCAAAGTTGAACGATTTCAACATTGACAATTGAGGAATTTCTTTGCTTTTTGTTTTCTTTTTCTTAAGGGCAAATAGAACAATTGGGTGAATTTTGAAAATTATCTATTTTTACTACGTTAATTATTGGTATTGGTTTAAGTGGATTATCAAAAAATAACTCATATCTAAATTTACGTCAAAATTTTCATAGATGTCTTAGTTTTTGATTTTAAATCCGATTTTATATGTTTTATGCGACATTGTCTAAAAATGTGAAACAAAAACTGCAAACAACATAAACTATTATTTTGGAAGAATATAATCGTTGTTACTTTATTTTTGAAAATATAATGGGTGTTTGTACAGTGTAAACACAACTCCTCCATGTGCTGTGTACGGAAACGCATTTCTCAAATTGCAAAAGATGAAGATTCTTGTACGAAAGGGAAGCAAGCCATGTGGGCCGCATCACGCTATCATATGATAGTTGCCATATCCATACAATGTCGATTATTTAGTGCGCCTAACTAAGTCAGTGGCGATATGCATCAGAAATGCGTCTGGAAAGTGTCCAAGAACGGTGGTTCCCGAAAGCAAGGAATTGAGGCTGTCACTTAATGGTACGGACATACAGTTCTTAAACAACATCATATATCTGGGAATAAACTTTGACAAGTTGACGATATTTAAAAAACATGCGCGGACAACACTGCAAAAAGCAAACAGAATAGCCGGCTCATTTTCTTACCTACTTAACAATCGTCACCTGTCACAAAAAACCAAAATGTTACTTTATAAAGTGGCCATTAGGACCATTAGACCCATGGTACAATGAAGAGAAGGTAGGTCAACTTTGAAAAAATTGCAAGTATAGAGGTCTACCTGTTTGGTTTGTAATGTCAGAATTAGTATCAAAACAATACAAAAATCAAACAACTTGTTGCATTTATTTTGAATAAATAATTGAAAACCGCGAAAACTGAATGAAAGGTCAACACTATTTTTCAAAACCAGGTTCTATATATCTCTAAAGGATTATTTCACTACAAAAACTCTAGATTTTGTCGATGCATACGATGAAATAAACATTTTGAAAACATCCGAATTTGAATGTTTTCTGAACATTTTTTTTTGTTATTGAAAAGAAAACACATACATAAACAAATAAAGATGACATATTAAGCCAAGAAAATAAAAAAAAATTGAAATCATATGGTATCATAGCCCTACCTTGATATCATTGTACCATGATTAGACCCATCTTAGTTTATGGATTTCCAATCTGGTTCACTATCTCACCGATAGTGGCAAAAGAGTTGGACATTTTTGAACGCAAAATATTGAGGAAATGTGTAAACAAGCACTTTGTAAATAGAACAAGAAAATACTCATACGGACACATTTATGAAATATCTGGAGTACAGCCCCTTTGTGCTTATGCTCTACACATGGTAGAAGAATATAGGTAGATGCATCAACGCTTGGGAACATTGATATGTCAAAAATTTTAAAATGTTTTATGAAAAATAAGTGGATTTTTAAATGTTTTTTATACGACGCAAATAAGAGGTTGATATAATATGGATTTTTCAACAATTTTTACAAATTTTAATCATTTTTCATTCACGATTTTCAATATCAAAATCGGTTTGACAGTTCATTGTCCCAGCAGCTGTATCGGTGCGACTACCTGTATTCTTCTACCATGGCTCTACATCACCAGAAGTTGTTCGTTGAAAAACTGCAATCTCATGATAATGATCTAATGATAGACTCAACTCAACATACCTGTCTCCCATAGGTATTATCAATGAAAGCAACGTCAACGAACCTGGCCAGCAAATACTCCCCCAATTTTATCATGAAACAACATCTGGAACCAAAAGGGGCTGAAATGAAATATTCTCCAAGATTGGTTTGACAGTTCATTGTCCCAGCAGCTGTGTCGACGCGGCTACATATATTCTTCTACCATGGTGTAAAGGTCTCGAGTCATTCATATTGACATCATTTTTGTATTTAATCAGCTGACATTATGTGCATGTAGCACCACTCTGTTTACCGTGTAATTGAATAAGACAACAATAGTTTCTATACATAAAATACAATTTGTTGTCAATTCGCTGTGAATCATTGTCCTTGCTTTCTGTTCATTTTTTATCGGGTATTCCTTTGTGGCCTTCATATTCGTTTCGTTGGGACGTTTTTCATTTTTGTTTTCCTTGGCCTTGCTACTACTACTACTGATATTGCGCCTTAGTAACCCTATCAGTTTGTATGTATTCTCAACACACTCATACATAATCTGTGGCTGTTTTCTTTTTCTTTAACGAAATCTTGAAACATATTACATTGTTAAAATAAAAAGTAAAGGACTATTTTCAGCATTTTATTCTTGAAAAATTTTGTAGCGCTATTCTGTTTGTAAGATATTGGTAAGTAAAGTTTCAGCAAGGGACCCTTGAGCTTAGAAATAAGAGAAATTTTTAAAAAATGAATACATACGAATGAGAAAATTGTGGAAAAAAATGCGAAAATATGTTTGCTTGTTTTTACTCTAGGTTTGGGTATAAGCTATTAATATACAATTTTCTGAAAACGCATTTTGTCGTTGAAAGACTTATCTGCAAAATTGAATTATTTAATATATCATGTAATTGTTTATTTGATTATTCAGTCATCATAAATTAAGCCTTGATCGGAATATTGTTAAAAATTGATTGTGCTACGAGGCAGGAGAAATAGTAATAGTAGTATGGTGGGTGGTATATATATATATGGGTTGAGTTGGGAGGGAAGTGTGAACTAAAAATAAAGTGTAAATTAACAATTTTTGGGAATGAAATCGGGTTTATGTCCTAAAACATAGAACACTAAAGCAATTGAAAAATGTTGATGAATACGAAAATATGTAATCTCCCAATACATGTACAATTGGCTCAAGGCTTTCTTCGTATTGCTATCAAAATAAAATAAAAGCTTCAATTAGTATGTTTGTTTGCTTTCACTTTATTTCTTAAAGTCAGGTTTAAAGCTCCTCATGGACCATTTTGAAATCTCGAGGTACTACTTACAAATTTTTATCTTTCAATAAAAACTTTACTTTTAAAAGGGCATTTTGTTACATAGTGTCTCTCCAATGGCGTATACCTTAAATTGCCAACAAAAACTCTAATATCCAGAAAAAAGATTTTTTGCGTGGGTAAGGTCAGGCCCATATCTTGGCAAAAGGTACTTTCCCTAGCGGATTAAAATATATTTTTAAAATCATGACCTCAATGGCTTGACAATGGCTGCTTATGCTTAGCAATAGTGCAATAGAATAGACTTGTTTAATTTCAGTTTAAGACCAACGGCACTTTACTTTATTAACATTGAAGATGTTAGATTAAATACGCCTTGAATTTAAAATAACTACTTATCGAATTAATAACTTACTTATCGAATTAAATAACTTGACGTGACATTTTGTCAAAATAGTATAATAAAAAATAATTTTGTTAAAAATTTTAATTTTGTTAAAAATGTAATTAAATTATTCTAACTGAGGTCCGGCGAATAATAAATAACCCACAGGTGGACAGATTTGTAAATTGTTGCTTTTATTTTGTTTTTTTTTATTGTTTACATGCCTTGTGACTAAATCCGATACAGAATTTTCACGTTACATCAGAGCTAGTAAATAAGAATAAAATAAATTAAATTATTATTACAAATTATGAATTAAAAAAATAGGTAAAAAACTTTTTAAATTAAAAGGTTTTATGTTAAACATACATTGATAAATGTACTAAAAACCAAAAAATAATAAATAAATAATAAATGTGCATAGACTTGACTAAAATAAAACCGTGGGCACGTTTTATTTTCTATTTCGCATTCTGTTTAATTCATATTTTATATTTTTGTACCATTTTGTTCCCACGAGTAATGGACATTTCAACGGTTGACAATTTTAGCCACCCTAACGCCACACAATCCTTAACACGATACTTGACTTGAGGGGTGGAATCAGGCTGGATAAATCTGATACCAGAATTACAGATGCAATTTCTAAATTTAAATGTTATTATTATACTCCATTTAGTGGCTGCGCCATCCTAAATATTGAACTTGTATAGTATAATGTATTCTTCTTGTCATGCCCTTTTATTTGATACCCATATTGGTGGAATTGATAAAAAATTCTTATCAGCCATTTGGTAGCGGCCACCATCTTGGATTTCAATTTTTATAGTATATTGTATTCTGCTTGTTGAGCCCTTTCATTTGATACCCATATTGATGATAAAACCTACGTTATCCGCCAATTTTTAGCGGCCGCCATCTTGGATTTCAGTTTTTTATATTATATTGTATTCTGCTTTTGAGCCCTTTCATTTGATACCCATATTGATGGGATTGATAAAACCTACGTTATCCGCCATTTTGTAGCGGCTACCATCTTGGATTTATAATGAAAATGAATAAACATAATTGTATTGTCACCAAAATCCAAAGTGTATACGAAATTTCAGATTAATCAGTTGTCAGGAAGATGGTGAAATTTGAATTACTAAATTTGACCCAAGAATAAATAATAAAACAAACGGGGTGAGCTAAATAAAACCCTTTAAAAATAAGTTCTACGTCACATGCAAGACAATTTAATGGGGTTACACAGGAGGCGAAGTTAGGCCCTTATCAGAAAATAGATATTATATTTTTTGAATAATAACAATGAGTTTTGGCAGCAAAAGAAGACAGCCACATCGTCTTTGAAAGTAAGAGAAGACTAAGTTTTGTGTGTGACCTTATTAAAGTGGTCTTCATTTTAACCATTCAACAGTTTGCTTAGAGGCGAATTCAAATAAAAAAGTTATTAATGCTATCGTCGATAAAATAACCACAACTTTATGAAATTGATAAGGTTGAGGCACCAGATCCTACTTTCGGTAGCACACAATTTTACATAAATAGCAGTGTGCAGGACGTTCAAGGATTTGGTTTGGGTGGGAGATTTCAGACGGAGTCGATGACATTTTGAAAGTGAAGCAAAACTTCAAAACGGTTTTGTGTTTAAGGCTAAATGACTTTAATATAGATCCAGGTTATATCGGTCATAATAAGCATTATCTGTATAAAAAATCACACAATGAGTGGTATGCGAATACACATATTATATTTACTACGATGTTTGTGTGTGCATCTGGTCTCTAAAGACACAGGGATTACTGCTGACGATAATTAAACGATCATCCTTTTTATTGTTCCTTCAAACACTACATTTTAAGTGCCGTTACATATCAAGCAACAAAATTTTAGCTGTATATATATTATATATATTGTAATGTATGGGTTCGCAATAGGTAAAAGTCTATCCATTTACGAATATCTCTGTTTCTAAAATGTTTTCTAGAGCAGAATCCTTTCTTCCCATTGATTCGCTGTAGCTAAACTTATAAGGGACTTTTGCTTAGTTGCGTAGATTAAGTTGGCCTAGGCCACGACTCTAGCTTATGTGTTATGACTTTAAGAATAAAGAATAAGAAAATTATTCATATTTGCTTTTGAAATGATACAAAATTTGCTAATACTGATGCTGAAGTGTAATAAATGGGAGTTAAGAAGAGAAATTTAATAGTTTAATTATTTATATTTATTTACTTTGAAATTGCGAAAACCTAAGATTAAATGTTTCATGCTTGATGTCTGTTAAAGATGACACTTTATTTGTTTGGCCTAAATACAACCCAATTAAAATTACTGGCAGCACAGTGAATCAAACTATTGTCAAACGTGATGAAAATGGGTTATGGTAGGGGTATAGCTCTTACAAATGTTTTTCATCCTTTTCGATATTTACCTATGACAAATTTGGTGGAGATCGATTCAGATTAATGGCTAAGAGTAAAGTAAAATTATTGTCGTAGGACATGGGCACAGAGCTAGACCAAGAGTTACTTTTAAAGTTCTTCATAGAAATGCTTTATAAATCGATTTAAGTATATCCGTACGTACATGCTTGATGTCTGTTAAGGATCACACTTTATTTGTTTGGCTAAATACAACCCAATTAAAATTACTGACAGCACAGTGAATCAAACTATGGTTAAACGTGAGGAAAATGGGTTATGGTATGGGTGGGTATAGCTTTCACATATCCTTTTCGATCCTTTTCGATATTTACCTATGTCAAATTTGGCGAAAATCGACTCAGATTAGTGTGTTGCTCCAAATATATGTTTCATCCGATTTCAAATATAAAGCAGCAGTGATGCCGTAATACGTATTTAATAACGTTAATAGTATGACTTATAGTCGCCCCGCCCGACTTTTTTCCTATCTTTTTGCCAGCAAAAAAAGACGACAGTTGCCCTTACCTTAGTAGAAAATTAAGATCTCTCAAAAATATTTAGTGACAAATTTGACCCTGTAGGCGTAATTTACAGGTAGAAACTTTGCCAGAAAGAATAGTAAGTTTCGTGAAATTGATGCGAGTCAAACAAGGTTTACTTATTCTTTTTACTTGTGAATTGAAATATGAAGTTGTTGCACGGCAGTGAAGTAAGTTGATCTTGAAGATTGCTATGAAGTTCTTAATCCCTTTTTTTCAATCAACTCCGCTTCCCAACTTTGACGTCATAGCCATTTAAATCATCATGAGTTGTATTTCTAGTTCTCTAATTTCTTTAATAATACTTTTATATTATATATGGCGGATATTGTGGGAACTGCTATGATTACATATGAAATAAAAAAAAAACTGTATATTACGTTGCAGTTGTGTTGAGTGTAATACCCTTCTGCTCAAAAATAAGTAAAACAACGTGGAATACCAAATTGCAATAACGGTTACCGTAAGTATTATTCTTAACCGGCGTAAAAACAATGCCATGTTTCGCTTTTATGACTTTATATGTGATCTTAATATGCACCAAATACGAATATCAAAATATTAGCAAAACCTTTCTTATTTTATGTGTGAGATTTGTACCAAATATGTATGCGAAAGCCGTTACACATATTTGAGTCATTGGTAAGTTGTAATTGTGGGCATAATAAAGTATATCAAGATGTAATTAATTGCAAGGGATGAATGATAAATGAACATATCTGATACTGAGCTGATACTTAGACACAGCAAGTATGTCGGGCCAAAACCAGCTATATTTGGATTATTATGTGGAGTTTATTTTTGTTTAAACTTATGATGTTTTATCCCTTATTGTATGTCATACCACATGAAACCTGTGTGTCCTGTTTATCGATCTTGCTGATGCGCCCCCGATTTAAACATCGCAACATTTGTACCAAATTGAGACCCCGTTGGGAGAATTGTAACCCTTACATGAATATAAACCTAACCTGAAATTTTGGGATGCAGTGAAATTTCTTTGGTTGCTTTACGTAGTGGACAGTTTGGTAATAGACTGGTTGTTAAACCTAACTGCGTTACCTAAAATTCGACGTACATGGTCAAAGTTTTTCACCATACAAGTACATGAATATTACCCAAATACGTCGAGCGTACGAAATTTCAAAGTTGAACAATTTCAACATTGACAATTAAATAATATTTTTTGTGTTAAAAATAGAAATGGTTAATGCAAAAAATGTGAATGTTTATAATTGGAAAATAGAACAATTGAATGGATTTCAAAAATTAACAATTTTACAACGTAATTAGATGGTAGATTTTAAGATATGAACCTGGCCTATTTGTGTAATACGAACGTACAAAACACTATCCCATAATGGGGAAGTTGAATATTTGTTTACGCTACGTCGAATTTCATGTAGCGCAGCAATGAAAAAAATGTATTCTTTGATCATGTGAATCGAACACAGGTGTAATTTTGTCAACTGATACATATTATTTTATTTATTTTAGAAATGAAATGTAAGGCGTGAAAGTAATCTGGAATCTGTAATAAAGATATGGAGAGTATGTTAACTGACAAAAGTTAATTTTCAACAAATACAAGTTGTTAATGCGTAAAATCTCTGCGGACGCAAATATGGTACATTCATCGAGACTATGTACAAAAGAAAGTTCAAGTCCGATTTAAATAGCAATATAAATTCTTATGCCACACACGATACAACTGGTTGTACAACTCAAATTGTGTGTTTCGGTCACAAACGATACAACATAGTGTACTACCTCTTTGTACAACTTACTTTTCGTAGACTTTGAGTTAAGATGACAGCGGAAAAAAAATCATGCTCTATATTTGACTCAATAGCTTTTATGTTTATTAATTGTTGACATTTCATTTTATAAATTGAAATTCAATTTTATATATACATAAAAATCACACATTTGATAGCATATCGTATTGTTTTGATGTGCGAAAAAATGGTGTTGCCTCTTCAAAAATAAACACAAATCGGGTGTACAGCATGCCAAATATAGAAAAAAATTATTTTTTGTACAACCGAGACACAACTTCGTACAACTGCGCCACAAACGATACAATCTTGAATACAACCTCTCCAAGTTTTACAACCAGTTGTATTGTGTGTGGCTTGCATTAGACTTCTGGGAGAGACTTTAAAAGTGAAAGCTTTTTTTATTTTACAATACTTTTTTAATTCAGGCTAAGACATGCACTTCTGTCGGATTTCGTTACTATCAATATCCTAAAGGAATACAAAAAGCATTTCTTTATAAAATATTATTTTCATTTTCGTATTTGATTCTATATTATTTTCTTTTGCGCCAAATTGCGCCAAATCATTAGAAATAAAATAAGCACTGAGATAAGTTCAGGTCTCTTTTTAAATAAGATTTTCTTAAGTTCTAAATTATAGAATAAAATAAAAACTTCTTTATTTATTTGGTTAATTGCTTGGCTTAAGGTCATTAAAAAACTATGTTTTTATTTTTGAATTTTTCCTTTTTTTTATTCATCCAATATTTCGATTTTCTCCGGAAATCATCTTCAGGGATCTGTTTTACAAAAAACACAAATTACAAACTGATTTTAACAATATATAACACAATAAATAACATACATTTTTAAAGTAAAAAGCTCGTCTATTGAGTTTAAATGTCACTATCAAACTAAGTTTTCTTTCGTCGGTGTTTATGAACTAGGCTTCTGTAAATGTGAGCACAATGGTCTGTATCGGTTTTATAATTAATTCGTTTGTCATTTGGTAAAAAAACTTCTCATAGTTCTTTACATGAATGCAGATTCTGTTGTTCGAGAGGTATTAAAAAGTGCCTATCTTTACCGAGCACTGATTGAAAATTATGCCATTGCGTGTAGTTGGATGTTTTTCGTTTATTGCTCTCTTCCAATGGATCCACTATGTTCGGAAAAAGACACCTGAGATCGTTTGATCCATCTTTAAAATTTCTAATACAAAGCGCCCTTCCGATTTAACATTATTCAGATTCAGGGTTTAATTAGTTGCTAGGGCTTTAAGTATGTAGGTTGAAGAAAATTGACACTTGTTATAGTCTAAATAAACAGAATGTTAAATATGTTGAACCAAAAAAAAAAAATAATAATAATAAATAAAATAAATAAGTTGAAGTCCTCTAAGATATCCAACTTGTTTTTGAGGACATATCTCTATTATTACCAATAAAGCTTATAAAAACCTAGGTTTTGTCAAGAGGTGGAGTAAAGAATTTGCAGATCCGTTGGTAACACAAAAATTAAATATATAATTTGTTCGCTCCATGTTAGAGTAGGGTTCTATAATATGGGATCCGGTCTACTCACGCAAACAATGTTGGATCTGTTTAAACAGTTTCTTATCTTTTGTCTGAGGAGCCATACATACACCGATCAGAGATGGGAACCTGCCTTCAATACATTGAAAGGTAAATTACAGAAAATGCAAAGATTGGAATGCTTATGGCTGGAACATTCAAACTTTACCCTCGTGTAAATACAGGTTAAATTTGATGAAATTGTCCACACCAATAATCGCTGAACAATGTTAAATTTACTTCTATTTAAAACATTACACTATAAAAACTATTTTCTTAGTTTTAAGTATTTAGTTTGTAAGGATTGTATGAATTTATAGACTTAAGAAAAAAGGGATTTCGATTGATCTACTTTTTATTTATTTCTAGTTATTTTGATCTCGTTACTGCCGCAAACAATTTGTATTAGTGTTCCCATAACTTTTCAAAATGGACGGTATTAAGTTATATGAATCCTACCATTGGAATACTCTATTCGATTTTGAGTCGACTTGTCCCAAAATTTGTCTTAACGGGCAAAATGCAGCGTAGAGAATATTTAGAAAAAATATATCGATTTTAGGCTTGATTCTATGCCTTCTCGTATCAAAATCGGTGATATCAGTGTCATAATACGGATTTGAAGAAGTGTATGTTGTAAATCTATCGGTTGTCTAAAAATTCCATCCCAAATATTGGGCGAAAATGCCAATGCAAATTTATGTCAAATTCATCCCAATGAAAATTCATTGCCGCAAACAATTTGTAATAGTGTTCCCATAACTTTTCAAAATGGACGGTATTAAGTTATATAAATCCTACCATTGGAATACTCTATTCGATTTTGAGTCGACTTGTCCCAAAATTTGTCTTAACGGGCTAAATGCAGCGTAGAGAATATTTAGAAAAAATATATCGACTTTTTCATATTACGGCTTTGAAAAAGTGTATGTTGTAAATCTATCGGTTGTCTAAAAATTCCATCCCAAATATTGGGCGAAAATGCCAATTTATGTCAAATACATCCCAATGAAAATTCTTCGCTAGGATTTTTACATTAACTTTATTTGTAATATCTAATATTTCAGGCCTCGAGATCTCGCAGTACTTGGCTTTTTAAATATGGTATTATACGAATTTATACGGTATACAGGATTTGCTTGAGGGCCAGCAATTGGGGTGGCGACTGCTGCTGGTCCGCGGCTGACGGCATTCAACCCTGATCGTAAATTGGGCGCCACATAAGGGCGTTGACTTGTTGACGGAAGTGATGCCTGCGATTTTTGTTGTTGCGGTGTGACCGGAACAGGTTGTTGAGTGGCCAATGTATTCGATTGTTGTACTGAAAGACCCGGTTGCTGCTGTTGCAAAGGTGGTAATAAAGAGTTTATGGGAAAAACTGGAGCATTTGTTTGCCTACGTGGGGTGGGGTTTGGGGTTTGTTGAGTTATCTGGGGCCTCCTCGTCACTGAAGGAGCTAAATATGGATTAACATCTGCATTACTGTTATTTTTGGGTATATTATACGTCTTTCCATAAGGCGTAACAACTACCTCACTTCCGACAGGTTGCTCGTGAACACATGGCTTGGGGTAAATATAGCCGATATTGGAGTTGGGGATCTGTTGCACATAGTTATCGAAATACTGATGTACCGCATGTCGAGGTGTGGAGTAGTTAAAATTTACTAGCGACTCTCGAGTCTTTAACTTGCTTGTGTTCACTTTTGGCAAAAGTTCAGCATCGCCCTCGATTTTCTCAACAAATTCCTCGGAGGATACTTCGAGCACGGGTTTTTCTGTTTTCTGCGGCTGCACACTTTCCTTTTGCTTCTTTCCACTGGTGTCGCTTTTACTTGGCTCCTTGGCTTCAGAGGCGCTATGTTTTTTATTCACATACTCGAATAGATCTTCAACGTCGGGGACGTCGGGTATTACTCCGTAAGCACTAAAATTCTCTTTAAACGCCTTTGTCCATTCCTCATTTTTATGCAGGTCCGGGTTTATCTGCAATGTTCCCGTGTTCCGGTCGGTTCCGATGTTTTTAATTACGGTCACAGTTTTTACATGTGTACCCTCCTTAGAATTGATATTTGTCGCAGAGTAAGCCAAGCTTATATCTCGTTTTTCTTGATTAGGAGCCTTTCTTCTAGAACGTGTTTTAAAATGCTGATGCAAGTTTTTCGCTCCGTCATTTAATTCAATATTTGTGTCATGTTCAAATATGGCTGCCGATGTCACTAAAAATAATGACAGCGTTGCTAGTAGAGCACATTGTACCTGTAAAATAAAACAAACGAGATTAAGTATCGTTGACGATGATAGTAAGTGAACATTAAAAAAAATTGCAGCTCAATTATTGAGCTTTGTTGAGTCAATTAAGCCTTCCTCCCACAACAACAATTAACAGTACGTTTACATATAAACGTATTGTTATGGTAAATTGGTTTGTTTTGACAAATCAGCTGATTAGTTGCAAGCTTCTGCAGGAATACCGTCTGTTTACTTTTCGCATTTTCCTTGCAAAAGAGAATAAAACTACCTTACTCTCTCAGAAAGATATTGCTGGACAATTCCTGCAGGAAAAGTAACCAGACACACCTAATGTAAAACATCTGATTGAATGTTGATGAATGAGAAGAAGAACAGTTGCAAGTGATTGCAAGAAGAAATTTGTCCAGCAAGAATTTGCAAACTCTCACAGAAAGAACTGTCAAAATTTCTCTCTTCAACCGCTCTCTTTTGCAGAACTTTCGGGTTAACAGACGACTTCCAGTAACAATTTGTAACAATTGTTACAAATTTTAGGGTAACCAGACACACCTAATGTCAAATTATAATGGAAAACAACGGCTGGATTTTAGTGCGGCTCTGTAATCCCTTTGTGAAAAAATAAATTGTTTTGAATTTTCTGTCAAAATGGTTTTGGGAGAATATTTAGTTTTGTTCGAGCAGTCGATGCGGAAGGTGTTGTCGGATATTTTTATGAATACACCGTAAGAAATATTGGAGCAAAAATATATCTTACTACATATTCGGGACAAATATTTCCGAAACTGTAAAAATTACAACTTTTAAGATTTATATTATTTGATTGAAATGTATTTGACAAAATATGCATACGAATTCACATGTTAGGAATAGAAATTCATTTCATATTGTTAGACAAATTTATTGTCCTTTTTTAAATTAATGGACATTTTCATATCCCTTGATTTCTCTGAAATGATATGTACTTTCTTAGTCAATATTTGGAAAAATAATATTTTAGGACCCAACGCAGGATATGAGTTTCAGATCAGCATAAAATTCTACAATTATTTGCGTATGTCAGCCTGTGGTAATCGGTATTAATTTTTAAAGGATCAACTTAGATGGTTAGGATGTTAAGTCTGAAATTATTATTTGTGTTTAATAATTTTTTTTTTTTTAAATTTTTTTTAATAAAAATTATATAAAATTTTTGAAAATGTCAACTTATATATTTTTTTATTTTAAAATGAAACATAGTTGAAATAACTGTGCAAATATATCTCCGAATTGTCTGATCAAAAAATTAATTTTTACCAATGAAGTTGTTTTGAAAACAGAAAAATTCAAATTGAAAATTGAAAGATAACCAATTATTTCTCACCCTGTAAAGAGTGGCAAAAAAACACTTGCAATATTTTGTTATTTCAAAACACATACAATCACAAAAAAATTTTTGAGGCTCTCTGCCTTGCCCTGATTTAGACCCTAAGATTGGCCAAGAATATTACTTTTGAAAACAATTGGACACTAAACTTGTAGTTTTTGCATTATTGTGATTTGACCCTTTTAATTTCAAATCACAATATGTCTTTTGACGGCAAATTTTGTTGTCAGATGGGCTTACTTGCCGACCTTCTGCCATTCATTACAATTTTCGACACACGCGTAAATTAATTATTTAGTTGTCAATGTTAAAATTGTTCAACTTTGAAATTTCGTAAGATTCATATAAATACATGTTTTTACTGGTGTGTAAAAACATATAATAAAAAAATCTCCACAATTTTTGGATGACTTCAGGCCTTGTATATCTATCTTTATCAGCATTTTCGAGCATTTTGTACAACCAAGGCCGTATCCCATTCCAAATATATTTTTCAATGTTTTAATTTTAATCACAAAAATCAAAATGTTTAAAAACTCATTTGGAATGATGTTTTTCCACATTCACTTTGGTACAGGCCACCCTACGAAAAAAACGAAGGAATTACGTTCCGCTCACACAGAGTCAGAATCTTTATAATTTTTTTCAATCCTTTTGTTCTCCAAACAAGACCACAAACATTTTGCAAACGTATCGCCGGGAAACGAGTCCAAATGACTGATGTGCGAAGCGTTGACCTGTGCATTAGTCGGTTTTGCAGACAGATGAGGGTATACATCTGTGTTAGAAGAAATATTGAGAAATTAAATGTGACCGGATGCTCATTTCGCGTTTTATGCGAGACTTAATTGTTCAAAATATACAAAATTTGATGACTCTTTTCTTTTTCTATACGGCAAATTTTTTTTCTTTCATTTCATTTCGTTAAATGAAAACCGTTATATGGTTTATATGAAAATTTGAAACAATTGCGGTGAATAATGTCGTAAAAATCATGAAAATACCAAATATCTGGAGGTACCGTTATATGAGCGCTACACTAAAACGTGTACCTATATAGATAATTCTCTTCCAGAGGATAAAGTACTCACAAGCAACTCCTTGTGCAGATTTTCAGACAATTCCATTGAAAAATGTGGCTAAAATCATCAAAATACCGAATAACGGGGAGCCCATATTCTAACTTGACCTGCCTGCAGACAAAAGACAGATCTGTGCAAAAGACTGCTTTCAGAGTTTGCTAAAAGAGAATGTAAAGCATTATATATTCATTATACCCTACAACACTATGTGTTGGGGGTATTATAAGTTTGATTGGGCCAGAATTGATGATCGCCAAATGTTTAGGGTTTGAAATGGACCAAATACTGAAAAAATATCGGATTTTGCAGTAGCTATACAGGTCGCAATTATAGACCAATCGACGCGGAATTTCGTATGTAGCTAGAGTTTAGGGCGGGGAAGAAGCCTAACAATTAGGGTGGTCATCGGATAATATTGAGCGGGTAAAATAGACCATATCCTTTGTGTTGAAAAAATTCAAAATTTTTCATTAAACCGCGAATATTTTAAATAATTGATGTTAACATCCAACAAATTGGATATATAGCAAATATGTGCGATATATATATCTATCAAAGAAGATCTGAAAGATCTCTTATATGTCGAGAACGGCTGAAGTGATTTCGACAGTTCTCATTAATTCAGAATTACCTCTTGGCAGGAAATAAAAAAGGTCTAAAAAATCACATAAAAATATCTCTCTAAAGATGAAAATATTGATTTTGTAACATTTTCTCATATTTTTTTCAATTTTGTCATATTTTTGGCATATTTTCATTTTGAATTAAACATTTGGTACTATTTCTACAGCTAACAAAACTAAGTAGTTAGGATATCAGGATATCATATACAGATCGCATTTATGGCCCGATCCTTACGAAATTTTGCATGGGGATAAGATGAGGGTCAGAATAGAAGCCTACTCTTTTTGGAGATGATCGCCATATAATTAGGGGTTGAAATGGACCAAAAAACTGCAAAATTTGTCAGCAGGTCGTAATTATTGTCCGATCCTCACGCACATTTGAATGGGGGTTACCGGACATTGCAAAAGCCAAGCAGTTTTGGATGGCCATCACAAAAATATTCAATGTGTGAAATAGTTTGCCAACTTTTGTAGACAAAATGCGAAAATGTCAATTTCAGAGACTTTTTGGAGAATTCACAAACACAGGAAAGACGCACTTCTGACTATTTCGTTAACGCTGATTTCGTTGAAGAATATAGTCAAATGTCTGTATCTCATATAGATGCGTTTCAGTCAAAAACCAATAATAAATGTTAATCTTTTGCCACTTCTGAGAGATTATAGGTCTTTGGGAAATATTGGTTCCAGATCTAGGAAGACCATTTACGTGCAACATCTACCAATAAATTGGAAATGAGCAAATTAGTTTATGTTGCTATTATTCGAAAATTAGAGAACGAAACCTGATGGGTTTCTTTTATTATTTGTCACAATATCTTGTGGAATTCTTTCGAGTACCTCGCCCATATAAACTGTATCGTTTATTATAGTGTTGTAGGGTATTCAACGGTCGGCCCCGCTCGACTGTAGCCTTTGCTTACTTGTTTTCACTATATTTTTTTATTTTACCTACAGTTCGTCTCTTTTTAATTTTTTTTGTCAGCAACAGGGGATTGTCGCCAATTTTCTTTTTAAACTGTCGATGTCGCTTCTATGCCTTACCGTAATACCATTTTTAAATCGAAGCGACGGCGACGGACTACAATACTCAATGCAAACGTTTTCTGGCATATTACCTCGTTACAAATAAATGTAATTCATGTATTTGTATACCCTTAGCCATATGGCTACAGAGGGTAGGCTTCACTTGATACGGCTAAAACGTGTATCATCGAAATAAAGGTTTTAGACCCTAGGTCCCTTAGAACAAATCCGTTTCAGGACATTTGGAGTTGATCTAGACGTGTCCGTTCGTCTGTTTGTCCGCCTGGCTGGTGCGCACGATAACTCCCGAAGGGAGTATCCGTTTTGATCTAAACTTGCTACATCGTATTATTATTGTCAAACTGAGATCTAGCTCAGAGATACCAAAAAAGATCTTAATTTGAATTTCGAATTCTTCAAGATGATTCGAAATATTAAGACTAAGACTAATAAGACTACTTTGTCATTAGAAAACTTGACAAAGTACATTGAATTGATGATAATCAAATTTAATTCCCTCACTTTATATTTCCGCGATACTTCTCAGGCCTAATTTATTTCCTAATCCAACTACAATTTCTTTTTGGTTTAGTGCTTGCGGATCTAGTGAAATAGGAGTTTGACCGATTATTGAGTTTTTTTTAGCTCAGAAGGAATCAATCAACGAAGGAATGCAACACCTGTAAAGAGTATCCATTTTACGAGAATATTGCCCCATTTTCATTTTATGACCTGCCTAACTTAAATCGTTTTTCATTGGACAATTTTGTTTGTTCAATACGTTCTTCACTTTTTAAACACAATCTTCTCCGGCATATGTTGCATAAAAATAGGATATTTAATATTTTTTTATACAAATTGTGCCATAACACACTTCACAAGAGTTGTTAAGAAACCATTCAGTTGATCGCTGCAGCTACGATCGACAAATACGATATCCAATGCAATGCTATTCATAATTGAATGTTTTAATCAAGACACAAATGGACTAACGTTACAATTTCAACACTTGTGCTTCATGAGGAAGTACTCACGATTGACATGGATCCTCTTTTAATAGTAACACACACACACGCAAGGACATCCGCTTGGCACACAGAAAGAAACCGTCCCGTTCCGCGTTGTTCAATAAACTTTGAAATTAAAAGTTGTGGCATGATTTATATATTTCGTGTCGTCGCTCCGAATCGGGGCAACTTTTATGAGAGGGAAGAAAGCTGGACGCAATGAAGAAAGAAATTGTCAGCTATGCAGGGATAGCTGTCAGCTAGCAGGCTAGTAACACAATAGGAGGATATACATTTATGTACGTACTTGCCATGCCATGCCGTTTGTTTTTGTTTTTTTTTTGGACCGTAATCTGGCAGGACTGGTTTTCCTCATCGATTATCGCACATTTTCCACTCGTTGACAAAGGAGCATGGCAAGAGTAAATGGTCGATCCTCATTGCCTTCCACAATTATGGCAAACACGTTTCTAAGCAAAAACTCTTCGGCTATTGTCTGCTGGTTGATACGGAAATGGCAACTAGTTTCACCTGGTGGGTTTTGCAAATAGACCTGGCACAATAAACAGTGGCATTATTTTTATAATTAACCACTTCGAATGCCAACAATTGGAAAAATAACTAATCAAAAATGGACGTGATGGTAAGAGCTGGCATGTATATATGTAGGTATGTCGTTAGTTTGATTTTATACATTCGGTGTGGCATCCATGACATAAAACCAATATAAAGTGTGTTAGGAAGATTACAAATCAGTATGGAACTCGACGGAAGACATATATCACTGCACACTTATTACATGCGATGTGATGACCTCAGCGAGTATTTCTTTAGGTTGCTTCTTTTGTCAGCATATTCTGTTCTGAGCGTACGACCAAAGCGTCCTCGGATTTGTAATTTTTTATGGTCCCGATACAGCGCCAGAAAAAGTTATCCGATAATGTGTGCTTTCAAAATTTGCGCCTATGTAAAAGAGGTCAAGGAACAAATGGACCAATATAGTCTATCTTTTCGGATATGATTTTATAAAAATATCAATGTTTTCAGGATTCAAGACTGTGCAAAAAGTCAAGCATTTGTGGGGAGGCAAGATGATATTCTATCCATAGAAATCCCACACACAGAAGATCTGCAAAAGGCTTTCCGCAACAGAAGACCTATGAAAAGACTTTCACCTACAGATGTAGGTTTCTAACTAGGGAATTAAGGGAAGAAATACTGAAGAAAACATAATGCTTTTTTTATTGATTGCTTTGAAAATATCGGGAACTTGATGAAATGCTTCTGGTCCCAGGTTTTTTGCATAAAACTTACAGTTATTTACGACACTAGGACATCGATCGTACATAGATACGTCTCGAAAACCAATAGAAATGTTGCTTAGCTGTCTTTGACATAGCTGGAGATATGGTCTAGGAGGAATGAACTATCGAAAAGACTTACAGTACACCAAGTACACCAAGATTGTCAAAAGTTCACAAATTCCATCGTTTTTGTCAACATTTTCAGTTTAAACCAAAGAACTAATTTACATTCATTCTTATTTTATTTGTTCAAATCGTATTGTTTCTCAGTCAATTACTAAAAACTATTTAATACAATACAATACATCAAGTATTGCAGCAAATAAGCCATATAGATGGACATTTTTATATAACACCCACATAACAGTACCGACAGATTATTGGTGTTTTAGTCACAGTTTCAAATCGAGTTTCCTTTAAATCGGCACTTTGTGTTCTTAGTATATAGGACACATCCTTGCAAAGAACTGTGCATATGGGTCCAAGTTTTTGGTATAAACTTTGGTTTTGGTTAAATTTGGTAGGATAGGTATACATAAGTTTTCCGATTATGCCGTCGTTACGGACCATGATGCTTTAACACCTTTAATGCGGCATGATCAGGTTTAGACATAAGCTTCTGAAAAGTTTGCGAATTACTATCACCTCCGAACGCGAACACATGTAACACAATTTAAAATATCCTTGTAGTTGTTTTTAACATTCGGCGCCATTAGGAACTTTCCGGTGAGCTCAACCTCTGACGATGAAAATTTAAAATAAATTTACTTTATGTTTTAATACAATTATAACCTAGTTTGTTAGGACGTGTTTAAATTTCAACAGAAGGTGAGTATTTTTTGTGCGCCAAGCTACTAATTGAAGCTGCGTCTAAATAAATAATGAATGAATAGAGAAGCTGTGCCTGCAATTTGTTTTAGACAAACAGGCCCAATAAGTGAACAAAATAGCACAATTTTTATTTATATATTTTTTTAAATTTTTGGAGGTATATTCGTATATGTATTAATTATTTATTTGTTTCTTTTTCTTCTTTTCAGATATCAATTGCAACACAAACTTGCGCGTACATACAATGCTGAACTCAATTCACTTTCATCCGATGTGAAATGCTATTGAGTTTGGAAAAAAATAGATGAGGCTAAACGGAAGCGAATATTTAGTTCTTTGTTCACAATCAGTTTGGAAATAAAAAAACTTATTATTTATTGAAAGAATAACAAAAACAAAACAGTAGTTGAGATAAACAAAGACATAATGAATGTAATCATTCGCTTGCAAAATTTGCCATGGTCGGCAAATGCTTTGGACATTCGTCAATTCTTCAATGGTTTATCAATTCCGGATGGTGGTGTTCACATTGTCGGCGGAGAAATGGGTGATGCTTTCATTGCATTCAGGTATAATATACAGCTTCATACAGATCCAATAGATTGTTAGTAATAAGTTAGACAAAGCGAAACGAAATGCCTTGAATCGATTTGAATGTTGCTTAGTCACGTTGGTTTGTTAGCGAATTTGGCGAGAGATCACGTGCCTGAACTGAGTAAAATATCAAAAATAGATCTAATAGATCACGATGCAGGTCTGGGGTGGTCCTGAAGGGAATTATGTTACAGTTCATTTTTTGCGGAGTACCAAAAAAGTACAACTCGTTAGTGTAACAGCCTTTAGTGTAACCGGTATCAGTCTTAAGAAAGTTGCTGGAAATTTAACAATACAAAAACTCCGTTGCAAGTATAGATATATATGTGTAAGTATGTATGACTTGGGATTCGTCTTCGATCTGATACATAGCAATATAACAGAGTGATTTTATGTAACTCTTTGCAAGCATGCATAAAAACCTGCATGAGTGATAGTAAATTGGATGAAAATTACATATTATTATTAAATTACATATTATTTTCCAGTTTGTGAATCTTGGTCATTAGATTGGGTGGGAATGGAAGAAATTCAAGGTTTTATGAGTTTCTGGGCGGTGAAATGTCGATTGCATAGAGCTGGGAGACCTTCTCAAATAAACGCAAAGTAAGTGCGGTTGTAAGTAGCAACATACAGCAAGAAACAAAGAATCGAACTATCATCGAACAATCGAAATATCACGTTGTTCGTATTCAAACCCACTCAGTGGTGCACTGCTAGACATATATACCAATGTTTAGGTGTCTTTCTTGTTTGAATACATTAAACTTCAGTTTCTTGGACGAAACATCTGCAAGAAATTATTATCTACTATAAGGAATGTGGAGTATGCATCCAAATAGTTAAATGTTGGCTGACGCATCAGTTAAAAAGCAGGCGATCGACTGGAAACCAGTTTGAACATGCAAAATTAAACAATGTCCACGACAAAGCATTGCGCGTTGGAAAAACGCGTTGACGGTATTTCGGAATTGAATACTCTGTGATTCGTTTCGTATGAAAGCGCATTGGTACACAATACTTCGTCCGAATGCAATGTAACTGACGTTTTGGTAACATTTAGTTTCGGATCTGAAGTTTTCCTGAATATTTCTTTTAACCAACCCATTGTATACTGAGTTTACAAGTAAGTACAGAAAACAGAGTTTTTTATTATTTCCTTTCCTGCCAATACAAAGTTCAAATTAGTGCGAATTTCATATGGTTATTCATAAAAAAAGCTTATAACGGCTTATAACCGTTTAGGTAGCAATAGATTTGACACTATAGCGTATTTATACTATTGAAAATTAACCCACTGGGTTTAATGCACCAATTGGGTCAAACTTGTGTTTTTAGATACACTCTTAGGACGATACAAAATCCCGCTCAGCTGATGTTTGTTTATGCATACATGCACAACCAAAAGAGAATGCAACAAGTAGCCAGACATGATGTAGGGAAAATGATAAAATGGAACAAAAAATGTTGCGAAATAAGTGTTTATTCATAAGTGTCCGTCTACGAGGAAAATAATGCGTCTTCCAGTGTATTATCATCAGAAAATACAATTGTAAGTGGTTCTTTCTGGCTATTGTTCGAATGCAAAATGTAACCAACACATTTGGGAATTTAGAGTGTACCGTAGAACCAACGTAAAAACCCAGTTATGCTTTCCGCTAGAATGTAGATTCCGCTCCGGATTTAAAACAAATCCGGTCGTAAAAAGTTCAATTAAACTTGATAGTGTGGGTTAATCCATGTACAATTTTGTATCTAAATGCGCTATTAAATAGGCAAAATATAGATGTGGTAAGTATTATTAAAAAAAAAAACCATCAAATGTATTAAGCTATATTAAGCTATGCTCTGTTCCAGCACCTTCAAGAATCTACTAGTTTTGCAATTGTCTTCGATTTCATAAAGTACAAATCGGTTATCGTAGTAAGAACTTTTCTAATTTTTGTATTCAGTTTTTGATAAAGGTGGCGGTACATAAGCAGCTTGGTGCGAGTGCGGTTCTACCATCCCTTTATGATATGTCAAACAATAGGCCATGCGAATACTTAAAGCTTCTTATGTACTTACACCTTAAGAAACATCAAGCAATCGGATTCAAGTTAATGTACCGACGATACAATACCCAAAAAATATTTTGTTGTTAATGTAACAATACGAAAACGTTGGGCGCCACTAGTTCGAACATCAACAGATTGGAAATCAATCAATTTCTGAGGAACTCATCGTTTTTTTTGGGCTTAGAGATTCAAATTGGCAATGATGACCGCACATATTCGCCAGTAAATAGTTCCTTAAAATATTTTTGAAATTATTCTTTTATCTTCAAGTTGTGTTAAGGATAAAACACCTTAATAGTCGGATACCTTTGACATCTTGGTATATATTTTAGAATTTGTGAAGTTTTGAGTAAATCGCTTATTCATATTGTGTTGTATGAGAGTTATTAGAAAGGTATGGGGTATTCATACTAGATCTAAAGTTTTATAGAAAAATGTCCATTCTTAAAGTTTTTTATGAGAGTTATAATTATTTTAAACTGTGATCCTATTTTGGGGAGGTATCAAAAATAATAGACCGTTATGCTATATCTACCGGTTAAGATTGAAAAATATGAATTACTTTTTTTAATTTAATTAGGGTATTGATTATTTAAAATTTTTTACAATTCGTAAGAGAAGTTCCAAAAATAGCGACTGTCCATTTTTGCTAGGCAGTCGAATGAACATCTTTTGATCGCCTTAAAATTTCTTGAAACAGATATCGCCCAAAGGGACTTGTTGACGATAGAGCATCACGTTTTCATTTCTTTTCAATAACTCATTATATCCTTCAATTGTGGAAAAAAGTGTGTTAGGAACAAGCACCAAGAAAGGTGACATATGCCTCATTCGATTACCCATTTTCCATAAAACTCAATTTTTTCCTTTTCTATCCCTTTAATTGGGACAAACGAATATTTGCAATTAATTATGTTAATACCTTTTCCGAAGTAAAAAAGACATATACGGTATATCATTTGATATCTTTTGGGCGAATTGATGCACACGATATCTCTCAAACCGATACCCGATTTAGTTCAAACTTTGCACATCCTTCTATTCTAGCCAAACTTATATAAAGTTCGGAAATGACCAGTATCATCCCACTCTTCATACCCATGCAAATGTTTAAAATTAACAAGTAAGCAATGGCTATAGTCGTGCGGGGCCAACCATGCGATACCCTACAACACTACAATATGTTAGAAGCCCCCATTATATCCAGATCGATTTTGGAAGATTTCGCTTTTGAAATTATGTCACGAGACAGTGACCAGGGACATTTGCACAATTTTTTTTAGCACTTCGTCATACTGTTAGTTGTTGTGGTCCAGCTAAATATAATCCAATGGTTATCCAAACTGCTAGAATCCTTCCCTGTCCTTAACTATCTTCTCAGGCGTGTTGGCTTCAAGAATTTTTTCTGTTTTTGGGTCATTTAAACCCCTAAATATTTTGCGATCATCTCTAAATGCAAGAGGCCCGTCTGTATCTCTAAATTAGACTCATCTATATTATTAGCTTGTCTACGATATTTGGCTTTATTCGTCAACGAAATTAGCATAAACAAGTAAAAAAACATTAAGTTCGGCCGGGCCAAACTTTTAATACCCTCCACCCTAGGGTAAAAGAACATTAGAAGAAATGTGGCAAAAAACATTAAAATGCCGAATATCGGGAGGTACCGTTATATAGGGGCTACACCAACACGTGCACCTATAATTACAATGTTTCGCCACACGAACTAGGACCCATTATGACCCACAAATACCAACTTTTACACAAATCAGTGAAAAAATGTGGCATAAATCATCAAAATACCGAATATTGGGAGGTACCGTTATATGGGGACTATACCAGAACGTGGACCTATACATGCAATGTTTTGCCACACGCTCAGGGACCTGTTGTGACCTACAAATACCAATTTTCAGACAAATCCGTGAAAAAATGTGGCATAAATCATCAAAATACCGAATATCGGTAGGTACCGTTATATGGGGGCTATACCAAAACGTGGACCTATACATGCAATGTTTTGCCACACGCTCAGGGACCCGTCATGACCTACAAATACCAATTTTCAGATGAATCCGTGAAAAAATGTGGCATAAATCATCAAAATACCGAATATCGGGAGGTACCGTTATATGGGGACTATACCAGAACGTGGACCGATATATCTCATTTTCAATACCAACCATCCTAGAGACAATACACACACTTGGGCCAAATTTCAAAGGTCTACGTCAAATAATGTGGGCTCTATCGTGATTTCAACAGACAGACAGACGGACAGACAGACAGACGGACAGACAGACAGACAGACGGACATCGCTAAATCGTCTTAGAATTTTATGCTGATTATGAATATATATACTTTATGGGGTCTACGACGAATATTTAGAGGTGTTGCAAACGGAATGACAAAGTTAATATACCCTCCTACCCATGGTGGAGGGTATAAAAAGCCAGAAGTTCGGCTTTTGTGTATTTCGGATATCGCCTGTAAGTAATGCTGGTATTTTTTCACACAAAAATAGTGGTCCATTCTACTCGCTGTCCTAAACACTAAACTCCGTGCAAGATTTCGTGTCCTTTGGTTTCTATTTGTGACCTTTATAACGGCAGCAAAATCAGGAACATTTTTGGTTGTTGGTCCATTTCAACCCCCAAATATATTGCGAACATCTTTAAAACCAATAGGCCTAGCCCTTTTGAGCCTAACCCTGCACTTACGAAAATTTTCGTGAGGATTGGACGATAATTGCAATCTGTATATAATAACCCCAAACTGTGTTGTAAGGCGAAAATATATTACAAAATGTACACTTCAATATTATAAGTCAAATTGAAAAAATCGTGCGATAAAAAATATGAAAAAATAAAAAAAAATGTCACAAAATACTACAAAACCTATATTAACATCATTATTA